GTAATTACAGTTTAAGGATTTCTGGAGGCTTACTTCCCATGATTAAGACAGACCCTTTTTATAGGGTTTAATCAGAATTGGATACAGCACTTACTCGTTCAATGTATTATTGACAAAAATAATACAGTTTCATTATTTCATACATTAAAGGAAAATGCCTTTATGAAGCCAGAGCTATTTTTATTCTAATGTCTGATCTTTCTACCAACATTTATTGTCAATGGCACACGACAACTTAAATCTGTCCTCTGTGACTGTTTAATGTTTTCCTAATATAAACATTACTTTCAGGGCAGTGTTTACCTCAACACCAGCTGAAAGTTAAACAATCACACTGCTCTATACACATGCTATGTTTGTAAGAACATCATATAAACACAATTTATACAACTGGAGATTGCCAGGCTATAACTGGAGAGGCAATGCAGACTTCTGTGGGCTTTTGATGGCCAAATGCACCTGAGAAGCAATTCCCAAACTCAGAAGATGCACTTTTGCCTTCACAATTTGCCTGTCAGTTCCACATCCAGAAACCTCTTTCCCAGGCATTTGTGCAAATGTTTCTTTCTCTTTTCCCTGCCACTGATGCAAAAGAAGCATCGCCAACAAGGCTTTCAAATTCACAGGTTGGAAATAGTTGGCCATTTGGTAATAAATAACCCCATAAACTTACATATTAAACTTTATGCACCCATGTGAAAGAAAATCCAAGTTTATACGCATTGCATAAAGGAGATTATTGGACAGCAAGTGTCCAGAATAGATGCGCTGGCTCACAATTAATCTCCTTTTCAAACATGAGAGTAAATTTGAGGCTGCTGCTTGGATGTTCACACGCAGAATGAAAACACTGTTCTATGCATGAGCCTAGATTTACTTTCATAACCAAAGCCTGACACCACGAATTTGCATCTCCAAGTGCTACAGCGTCCATCTCAGTTTTTTCAGTAGACGGTGTTGGCCAAGCCCATAAAATGATGTATCACATATCTAAGAACTATCTAGGGAACTTTCTGCCTTAATCGAATGAGAAAATCCCATTGATAAAGTATGGTTATTGCTTGCTTTATGCAATACCTTTGTGGGAATAGGGAGAGAAAATGAATGTGGCAAAGGGCCAAGTAAACTTGAGTATGTAGCGGGAAAGGGGACACTCTGCATGATGTGGGTGGACAGGTATTTACACCACCATGCACAGGAACCCCAGAACTACAACTCCCTGGTTGCATACTGACATTTACTTACTAAGATTAGACTGCCAACTTTCCCATGGCTATAACCCCCCCAAAAAGGGCATATCTATGTCTGCTACTTCTTAAATTAAGCTTGATGTAGCACATAAACAGTGGTTAATGAGGGCTAATTCAGATTAAATGGCTCTGAACATGCATCCTGAAATGCACTGAATGATACCACGGTATGACCTTGGAAGACCTGAGCATAAAGGGATGTTGTGAATCTTCAAGTACAAGAAGTGTAGACAATGTGGGAAAAGGCATGAACAGGGACCAAGGGATTTTCACGCATCATGAAATGGTCAGGTCCCCATGCTTCCAGAATCCAGGTTTCAACAACCTGGTGCCCTCCAGGAATGCTGAGTTACAATTCCAGTGTTGCTGTCCAGGGCATGTTCAGAGTTACAGCTGGACATAACTGGTGGGCACCAGGTTGGGAAAGACTGCTGTAATGCGTCAGCCAATTTTTCAACCTGGAATTGAAAATACCAACATATAAGAACAACACGCTGATATCCAAACTCCAAGGTACACCTTCTCGGTATTTCTGTGCACATGCAGAATGTTTAATTGTATGAATTTGAACATTATGGAACAAAGTCAATACACTGGAATATACAGAAATCATTTTCTCCTACAATACATGGGAATGGCTGGTAGGTAGTAATGAATAACCGTGCGAAAAATTAAAATAAGGACCATTTTGCATATTAAGCAGGATACTTAGTTTAACTGAACGTGAACTGTCAGCAAAGATCTGATATCCATTACAGCTCCTGGGGAAGCAAGGATATATGCTTTTAACAAATGTATATTGCAAATGTGCAGGGGTTTTAAACCACATCTAAACACACTCACAGAACAATCCTACGGCCCTTACATAGTGCCTAAAAGGACCACGGGATTATTCAGAGATCCAGTTCCAAGTTCAGAAAGCTCTGACTTTGGAGCTGGACTCCATGGTAAGAGCACTTGTCCCCAGCATGGAAACATCCATACCAATGCATCTCTGAGGTCGTGAGATTGACCAGGAAAGTGTTTGCAGGGTAGAGCGGAGACAGGTGCTGCCTCTGAGTCTGGAGGGTTACCTTCATGATGCCAACATGCTAGAGAAGACGGGATGGACATGCCAAGACAGGAACCCAAGAAGCAGTCTTAACACGGAGCAGGCCACAGTCCAAGCTGAGAACGGTCTCCTTCAGCTGGCTGAGGGCCTACGGCAGGGAGTGGTCTCCCTCATCACTTTGGAATGGAGGTGCAGGAGAATGAATCTGGGGTCTCCCACATGAACCGCACATGCTCTACCACAGGGTTGTGGGCCTTCCCGGAAGGGGTCCCTCCTTCGGCATAAGTGGTGCTCCCTAGCTAGGACTGGAGTCTTGGTGCTATGCTGCTGGTTGCATGAGAAGCTGCAGAGGCCAGAGAATCACGGGGCTACACAGGAGGCTTCAGATCCAGCTCTCCGTCAAGAGGGGCTTCTGGCAGTGCTGCCAGCAAGCTCAAACAAGCGTGGGAGTGAGGCAGCGTGCTAGCTGCCATATCAAGGGTTGGCAAAATGGGTCCTCTCTTCTACTGCAGTCGTGGCCCAAAAGTGAGATAGGTTAGCCTGTGGGGTTTTGCAAAGAAGTGCTGAACCCTCGACCTCCTGAAAATAACTTGCGTGTGTGTGCTGGCAGATATACCTGGACCTGGCTCTGGGAAGTCACACGGGAATGTGGTGGCAGCCATGATCTTTAAGGTCAACTCATGGCCTTTATATACTTCAGCCAAAATTCCCATCAGCCCTACCCAGCAGTGTCAATAACGAGGGCTGATGGGAAGGGCAAACCACAGTGTGGAACACAGTGAAGCCAAGTGACTCCACAACGCTGTCAAAGGGCCGTGTCATAGGTCTGCAGCAATAGTGGCAGAGCTCAAGAGAAGAACCAGTCGAAACACTTAAGTGAGGTTTGCCCTTCCCATCAGCCCTACCCAGCAGTGTCAATAACGAGGGCTGATGGGAAGGGCAAACCACAGTGTGGAACACAGTGAAGCCAAGTGACTCCACAACGCTGTCAAAGGGCCGTGTCATAGGTCTGCAGCAATAGTGGCAGAGCTCAAGAGAAGAACCAGTCGAAACACTTAAGTGAGGTTTGCCCACCCAGTCCCTCCACTGACAACAAATGAGTGTCAACAGAAAGCATCTAATTTATTATTACTGTATGTTAATTTATTAGCAGCAACCTGCCCTTCCCCCCATATTTCAGGAGAGAATTTGAGAGAGGTGGAAAATAGGTAGAATGTTCATGCTTCATGAGGAATGCAGTGAAGGGAGAGCGATTATGGTGAAAGAGAAGGCATTGGTAAAAGGTTTATTTTGGGTGGGAATAAAGGGTTCTTTCTTCCTTCAAGGCAGTGACACACAATGTGTGGCCCTCCAGATATACCGGCCCAGAACTCGCATCAATCCTAGCCAGCATGCCCAATTGTGAGTGCTGACGGGGACTGGAGACCAAATTATCTGGAAGGGTCACACAATTCACAGTTCCTTGCTGTCGGCTATTCCAACAAGGGAGGTATAGAACTAAATCCCTGCTTTAAGGTACAAAATGATAGCTGTGCAGCAGTGGCATTCAATGGAAACAGCACTGGGAACCAATTGAATAAGGTTCACCCTGTCCGCCAGACCCTCCACAAGGAATGCATGAAAAAGATAAAGAAATCTGTCACTAGCTTTTTGGGTGATTTTTGGGCAGAGAATCCAATCTGAAGGGGGTGGGGGAGAAGAGGCAGATGGTAGGTGCCATCAGCCTGGTTCAAAGTGAGGGAAGCAGAGCAAGTGTGTGTGAGAGAACTTATTTTGGGTGAGAGTGAAATTAAAGTATGGGGACAGGCAACATGCAGCCACCCCAATGCTTTGGCCTAGGGCTCGCCCATCAGCCCTAGCCAATGCTGAAAACTGCGGCCGGAAGTTGTGGCCAAGACATCTGGAGCAGCACACAACCCCTTGCAGCTGGCTGTCAGCAGTTGTCAGTCAAAGTCATACTGAGCACCACAAGTGGCCCACCCCACGGTTTTAAGGGCCAGGGCAGAACCACCGCTTCATGGCAGTGCCACAGAGATCCCTGGAAACAGCACGTTCCCCCAGTTGAATCATGTTTTTCCTGCCAGCCACCTCCTGCACGAAAATGACCAACAGAAAACAGCTGGCATTGCAACAAGCAAGCCCAGCACCAGCCCCCCTGGAGTCTTCACTTCACTTGTACCACTCCGCAGCCGAAAAGCCCTCTGGCCAGTGGACAAAGATTAAAAAGCTGAAGCATTCTGAACACCATCCCTCTCTCTCTCTCTGTCTCCACAGCAGACCTACAAACCACACCTACAAAAGCATAAGCATACGAGAAGGGGAGACACACAGACACACAGTATTTGTGGGGGGGGGGGCACGAGGGTGGGGGGGGAGGGCCGGGGGGGGGGGGGGGGGGGGAGGTCAGCGCCTCCTGCGCGCCCCGCCGCGAGGGCACGAGAGCAGCAGTGACTCCATGATGGGTCGCGCCGAGGGAGGCGCGCGGGGGGGGCAGGACGGAGAGAGTTGTGCAAACGACGGTTGGAGGGAGGGGGCGGGCGGGCGAGCGCGGAGGGGAGTGACGGGCGGGGGAGGAGGGGGCCGACGCGCGCGAGCCAACCAACGGGCGAGCGCGCGAGCGAGCGGACCGAGGGGGGAACCCGTCGCGCGCGGCCGCTTTTGTTGCCAGGCGCGGCCGAAAAGGGGGGGGGGGGAGGCAGCGCTTACCTGAGGCGGCGGCGGCGGGGAGGAGAGGCTGCGCTCCTGCTTCTGGCCGCCGCGGTGAGGGAGAGGAGTCGTGCGTGCGCCTCTGCCTCCGGCAGAAGGGCTCCTTCGCGCTAGCCCCGCGGCTTCCCTCTCCCCTCGCCCAACTCGGGGGGCGGCCAGTTTCTGCGCCGAGGAGAAGGCGGCGGCGGCAGCCCGGGCGGAGAGCGGCGTGCCCGTGTGAGAGCGTCCCTGCCCCTGCTCCTCCTCCCTCCGTCGTCGTGACTCACAGCGGCAGCGGCGGCGGCGACCGAGGGAGGGGAGCGGAGGAGGCGCCTGAGCGACTCCGAGTGGGAGGAACCGGCCGCCGCTCCTCGCCGCGTCCCAGCAGAGCCCGAGACCGCTGAGAGGCGGCAAGCCGCGTCGCCTCAGGCAGCTGACGCGCCTGGGGGGGTGGGGGGAAGAATTAAAAGTAGGCGTGGCTTCGCTAATCTTACGCAGGGGGTTATTGTCTCGGGAGGGTGGGCGTGGCAAAAGGAAAGGCCGGGCCAGGTGGTGGGAGGGGCTACGGGGAAGGCGGGGGCGGGGCTTGGGGAGGGTCCGCCGCGGGCAGGGCGGGGCTTACAATGCTTGCGGGCCGAAGCAGGAGCGATTAAAAGCGATGAATGGACTGGAGGGAAGAACTTTGCGGGATCTGGCCCAGCATGTTGGTCTCACGCCAGCCAACAAGCTGCTCCTAGGAAAACTACGAGCAGGATGTGGGGCCAAGGCTAGCCCCTGCCCATGTTCCCCAGAAACTAATACATAGAAGCATATTGGAGGAAGGGTTTCTTTTAGCCCTATTCCTACCTTGAGCACCTATTCCCTAACAGATAATATCGAAGCTAGGAAAGTGCTGTATGTTGAGCCAGGCCCTTGGTCCCTGAGCCCAGTATTGTTAACACAGACTGGCAGCAGCAGCTTTCCAGGGTGTCTAGCAGGAATCTTTCCGTTCCTTTCTGGATAAGCTGTGGATTGCGGCTGGGACCTTGTGCGAGCGAAGCAGGGGCTTTGCTGCTGGGCCACAGCCCTCTAGCACTTGATCAGTCTTCCTTTTCCTAGTGCTGTCCACATGTTTGGGGTGTCAACTCCCATCATCCCCAAGCATTATGCTCAGGACTACAAAGCACTACAGTTCCAATGTCTGGAAGGCATCAGGTTGGGGATGTACTAGATGAACAAATAATTTCTCTTGGTATAAAGCAGTATTTTCTGTTCCCCAGGAAGGAGATCAGGAGAGAAACGCTCGCCTATACTGAAAGGGAATAAACAGACAAAAGGATCATGACAGCGATGATGACATACCCTTTGTTATAAGGATTAATTAAAAAGTCACACAGAAGGAAGTCAACTCTCCTGAAGAAGGCAGGAGGAAAGATTGCTCAGTTTTCAATCCAGGTAGAGCACCTCTTTTGCATGCCAAGTGTACCAGATTTGATCCCCGGCATTGCCAATTAAAGTTGAGAAAGAGTTCTGTCTGGAACTCCAGAGACTCACCCCCAGTAATTGTAAACATTTCTGAGTTAGATGGACCAATTATCTCACTCTGGAAACAGCAGTTTCTTAGGTTCCTTACAGACATCAATGAAACAGTGAATGTAAAAGCAAATAATTATAAACCCCTATTTTTTTTACTCCATTGTTAGCTTTCTGGGTCATTATTTTCAAATAATTTGAACCATTTCTTGATTTATAATTTATCCTGCCTGTTTCCTCCTGCAAGGAACCAAGGCAGTGAATATTATCTTCCTCCTCTCCATTTTATCCTCACAACCCTGTGAGGTAGGTTAGTGAGTCCACAAATTTCCTTGGCTTCATGGCCAGAAAAAGACTAGAACCTGGATCTCCAAGGCCCAGTCCACCACTGTAACCATGATGCCTCACTGGCTCTTCTGTGATGTGATTTAGAGCTGGGGCAAGGTGGGCAAGGTCTCAGCACCGAGCTTTTGAGCACATGCTCCAGTCTGAGGTCACACAGATAAAATCAACAAGTAGGTCACTGTGAGGGAGAGGCTGAGGGAATGGTTTTCTCCCCCAAAGAGCACCAGCAGATGCAGTGGGGAAAGGGGGAACGGTTTCCCTGCTGATTAGAACGGCTCAGTTTTTCCTCTGGTGCATGCTTCCTTCTTCTGCAATCTCTTTGTGCAAAGCCAGTGAAGAGAACCTAAATGGGGCTAAGTTAATTTCTCCTTTATTCCTCCCTCTCCTCTTTACATCTCTACCCTATACATCACAGAAATGAACAAGTCTGCACCTCCTGATCTGTGTTTCCAGACTTAAAGGACATCAAAGCCTGATGCCACCAAAATCTACAACCTGTGTCAGGGAATGAAGACCTTAACTTGAAAGCATCTGAAAAGAGCAAAAGCAAGCAGCAGACAGGAACTGGAAGGGTGCAAATATGCTGGGATCTGAGAGGATCATGAACCCACACACAGCAAGCAGCAGGCAGTAATGATGATTAATTATTGAAGAAAAACCAAGAGCATCAGCTCAGGCAGGGTGGAAAAAAGGATACGGAAACATCGCTCTGGGATCCTTCTGTCAGAGGCACCTTAATTAGCTCACTATGGGAAGCAGAGAGAAATATCCAAAGCCATTTTATGCTCGTATGAGGTGGGAGACCAGCAATTAAGGCATCTGTTTATCCTTTGTAACTGACCGAGATTGCTTTTGATGGAATTACAGGCTTAATACAATTTTTAAAACATGCCATATGTTCTGTCTTGTCCTAATCTGGCTGCTTGATTTCGCAACGGCTCAGGGACAGGACCCTACAGATTCTGTACTCTACACCATGGGAACCCAAACTCTGCAAGCTAGTAACAGAATGAAAAAAGGAGATAATCTGATTCATGCACCAAAGTAGGAAATGCACATTTGAGTGGCTCGTGTCTAGCTATAGCGCTAACCTTGCAAAAGGTACGTATCAGTATTCTGAAGGAAACCACTGCCCAGGGTTCAAGAGGCCCATATAAAGCAACTTATAGCACAATCTCTGGCATGTTTATGTGGAAGTCAGTCATAATGTGTGCTTATTCTCTGGCAAGGAACAGGTGTAGGATTGTAGCCTTGGACAATGTATGAAACGCACCTTCCTCAGTTACCACTTGCCTTTCGGTAAGCAGTGAAAGCCTGGCTATTCAAAAAGGCTTTTGGAGGAAATTTCTGCAGCTGCTAGATGTACAGTTGTATTATATTTAGATCAGTGTTCTTAACACTGAGCTAGTATTATCATCACTACTTTCCTCCTATGTTCTACAAATCTAGTTTTACTTGATATTCCGCTATAAGAACAAAACTCTTATAAGGCAAGGAAGTTTGGTATTTTGCTAAGTTAGTGAGTACCATTGAAGGATGTATTTTATTTACTCTTTATATCTCTAGGCTGCTTTTCTCCAGAGTTTTCCCTGATGGGGTACCAATTTGATAAACAAGTCACAAGCAGGAAAAAGGTGGTGGTGGGGAATCAAGAAAACGCTTTATTTTGGCTATCAGAATCACATTGCCTTGGCCGGAACATCAGCATTTATGACAGTGAGTGTGAGCCAAGGGCATGGCCAGAGAAGGTTAAAGCAAAATGAAAGGCCTTTCATTAGGGAAGGCAGAGAGGCGAGATTGAGCGCTGCAGGGAAGAGACAGGAAGCTATTCACAAAACTCCTGTTGCTCCTGACCCAGTTCCTAGCCACAAAAATGGTCTAATCTTCTAGATACTTATGGAAGCAACCACCCCTGGGTCCTAGCTTTCTTAGATGGCTGTCTTACACAGCTCTCTGGCCTGCTTCATTTTTCTTTTCCCTTTTTAATGAAACCATGGACACCACTCTGAACCTACAGCTCACATGACATTGGGAATCTTACTGCCAGCCCTCTGTGTTGATGCAAGCAAGTCTCACTAGTTTCAACAGAGCTTGCTTCTGGACAGACATGCATAGGACTGCAAGCTTAGAAGGCTTTTAGACATTCTGTTCTATCGGATGGGTTGAACATTATTTTGTGGATCACCATCTGTGAACCCCTTTGAGCTATACCGTTTGTTGTTTTCAGAAATCACAGAGTTCAGAATATTAGATAACAGGTAATGCATTTCTGTAATAGGTGCAGCTACAGGGTTGCAGCTTCACACAATACATACACAGCTCTCCTGGCTTTATGCATCTTCTTTCTAAGGTGTGGCTGTTAAAACTGAGTTCTCACCAGCCTTTGGGTCGTCCATATTTATGCGCTTCTCCTTCTCAAAATTGCCTCTCTGTGCCAGTCTGTATCCACAGTAATCGCCTCTGAAATCCATTTAAGTGACCACCACAAACTGAAACCTGTAGGATCAGAGCAGTGGATTAAGCCTGACACTTAAGACAAGCATCTTGGCCAAACTAAAATCCCTGTTATGGCATAGTCATCTGGGACTGCTCTTGCACCCCTCACCCTTCCTAGGAACAAGCAGCTATCCTGATCTTTTGCCCAGACCATGTTTCTAAAGTGGGCAACTGATATGCTCCATGCTGCCTTTTGGGGGTCCAGAACTCCCCTTTTTATAATTTGGATTCTCAAGTGCCATTAGTTCAGTTGTTCTTACTTGTCATCCAGTCATATCTGACTTATGGCTATCCCATTTACTTATTTCCCACTTTTTCCTTCAAGGAGGCTTAAATAATCTTCTCTTCTCAATCTTATCCTCACAACAACCCTGTGAGGTAGGTGAGGCTAGGAGTCAGTAACTGATCCTAAGATTTCTGATGAGCTCTGTGGCTTGGGGGAACTAGAACACTGGCTTGGCCTGAACTCTCCCAGGTCCCAGTCCAACAATGTAACTGCTAACCTACACAGACAGCCTAAAGCCCTCATAGGACTCTATGAATGAATGTCCCGCCCTTTATGGGCCATTGTTTTTACTGAAGTATTATTGTGTTTCTTGTACAGAAAAGATGCAGAAGAAAACAATGAGTATATGACTGTTCTTAATTTTACAGTGCTGCATATTAAGATACTTGACAGCAGAATAGGACTGCTTACGGCCTACCTCACAGGACTGTTGTGTGAACAAATACATTAAAACCTACAGAGCAGACAGCTTGTGATCCTCCAGATACTTGGGCCCCCAACTCTCCCGATTCTTTGTCACTGGCCATGCTGGCCTAAGCTGACAGGGGCTCAGGCCCAAACACACTGAGGATCACAAGTTGCCCTTCACTGATCCAGAGCAGCTTGCCCGTTAAAGGGCTCTGTGTCTAAGAAGCACTGTTGTTGCTATGCTTAACATCTTTGATGTAGAAGTGCAGTCTCTAAAAAGGGATTTGAATTTTCAATACCTTGAACCTTATTTATAATTGCTCTAAGCAGTATTAGCTTGAATTCTGGGTGTTGAAGCAAGAAAAATAAGTCCTTCCCCAACATACATGAAGTGTGTGTGTGTTCATATATTTGCACCACAAATTCTTGGTGCCATAAGGGGAAGCTGTTGCTAAATTGCTCTGAGGAAATCCTTGAAAGTGTGTGTGTGGGGAGGGAGGTGGAGTGGGAAAATAGAAATCAACAATCATGATAAAATGCCTTTCTTGGCGGTGGTTTATTAAAGTGAGATGAACAATATGCAAAGTGAGATGAGTAAATGCAAATCGCTTAAGCAGAGAGAGATCAGAAGCGGCAGCCTGTTTCCAGCCAGTCTGATGGCTGGTTTTGGCTCAAGGCACAGATTTGCAACTGCAGAGCAGCAAAGCTTCACTTCTGCAGGCAGCAGACTAACCCTCTAATCATTGCTAATGAGGCTGCTGCAGAATTCCAGGGGAAAGGCATCCATAACCACTGTGACTTCAGAAAGGTTGTTATTTAGCCATCACTATTTTTAAAGGAAAAATATTTAAAAGGATTCTACTCCAAGGATGCCGATTGCAAAGCCACGCAGGGGAGTAGAGGCCACTATCCAGGCAGCCGAGAGCGCTGAGGGCCAGCACCAGAAGGCAACAGCCAGACACTCAGAAATGCTGCATGGAGGGTTCCAAAGCCACAAAGTCCACCCAAAACCCAGCTGCCAGGCCTGCCTTGTCCCTCTTTCTCCTGGACCAAAGCTATTTCCCACCTTCCTGTGTGGCATAAAGTCCCAGAGTGCTGGGCATGAAATCTTAGTAGGGTTTGCCCTTGTTTTTCTCACAGTTCCTTGAACAGCATCTGAGAAAACCCTGCATCTTTTTACTGTTTACCAGTAGCAGAGATGCAGAAGCCCTGCTGGCAATGGGTGGGAACAGGACCCTCAATTGCCTTCGCCCTGTTAAGCCCTGGCAAATGACTTTTGTTCATCCTCTGTATCTGCCAAATGTCTACATGCATCTACTTGATGTCTGTACTGCCTTTCCAAGACCAACCAAAGTTTGTGACATGAAAACTACAGTCAACGAAAAACACAGTAAGCCATCAAAAATGCCACCTCTGTAAGTGAGGAGGCATTTCCCCATCAGCTCCACTGGACTAGAGCCTTTAGGAACCTAGCCTTCTCTGACATTAGTGGTTTGGCTCACTTCAGCAAGCCATCAGGTTCTATGAGCTGCTTGTCTCCAAACCAAAAGCAAACATGAGATTAACCTTCTGCCTGTCTCACATTAAAGGAAGCTTCCGTACTGGGGACTTGAGTTACAGATGCCTCCCATTATGGAAACGGAGGATCACAAGACTAAGGACCAATTTGCCGCACACTTTTGCTGACTGCAGTAAAGCACAAGGAAAAACGACAACCTGAGGGACAGACCTGCCTCTCCTGGAATACCACACCCTTTCCCCCAACCACTCATCATTCGGTAGTTTCACAGCTTTTGTTCAGCTTTTCCCCATTATAACAAGCGGTACTAAGGCCTAGTTACTGGCATGTTATAAACCCAGAACAATATTCCATAGCCAGCACCCTTTTAGTGACACAGATGCACTTACAAGCCAGGCAAAGTGAATAAAGACATGACAGGAGATGGTATTAACCAATTAGGATCCACACGCACAGTGAGAGTCAATGGACATAACAATATGGAATTCTTTGTAAAAATTACTTAGGGTCCATAACAAGCAGGGCAGGCAATAGAAACTATGAAATGGCTCTATCTAATCCATCTGCTTTGAAATTCAAGGAAGGTAAAATGTAAATGTCATACTGAATTGTAGTTCAAAATAATGAGCTGTCCACCTTAACACCGTTCAGTGGTAACAGTGTGTAGTTACTCTGCATTTATTTGATTTGTATCCCAGTTTTTTCTTACAACTCAAAACTCTAATTTTGGGGGAAGGGCATTCTGATGCTAAGATTACCAGGGCAAGCTCAGCAACCAATTAATACTGAGGCTGAGGGAGGGGGGAAGAAAACAAACAAATTACTGCATGCCCAGGGGCACTACAAGATTATTTAGGAAAAGATCTACAGATCCCAAAAATCATGGTACTCAGTCTTACCAAGCCCTGCTTTGATGAGAATCTTAAGGAATGTCTTCCACCTTCTTAACTATGCCTTGACAAAGGATACCCCATCAGGGATAGGCAGGGTTAGGTGCCCAGGGTCGTTTGTGATCTACAGAAGTGGTAAGTTGGCAGACACTTTCCTCTGTGAAGTAAACCCCAAGGAAAGTTACTTTGTCTATAACAGGAAAGCAGATAAGGAAGGAATTCCATATTTACATCAAAACCATTTTCTAGTCCACTCACTCAGAGGTTCAAGGTGGACCAACTTTGCCCATTTGAACCTTGAGGCCCACCTGCCACAAAACAACAGCTCCGAGTGCAAGCTTGGTTCAAGAATTCATTTTCAGTGCAAGAACTGGCGACGGACACACTTCTCTACTCTTCTTTCCCCCTCTTGATTTCAGTCACTTGAAAAGGAAAAAGATGTGTTTTGGTGAGGCAGCTGTTCCATCACTGGAAGTTGGAAGCCCTTGCAGAGCTACTGCAGATCACCCAGGGATCTAGCAACAGAACTCACAGTAGCATGTGCCCACCCTGCTCTACATACACCAACCTGGCAAATGCCAGCCAATAACCCACGAGAGATCTGGTGTGCAGTACAACAGGAAAATTCAGTCTGGAAAAATCTGGAAAATTCAGACCTGGCCCTTCTGGGATCCCCCACCTGTTGGGCGATTTCCAGACATTTGTGTAGTTCCTATTAAATTCTAAAAGGTGGAAGTGCTTCACCTATGACGGTTACTGAAGGAAGAGATTTGAACTAAAAACATGCTGGGTGTTCTTGTGTTTTGGCTCTGCCCCTTTTGTCCCAGGCCCCTCCACCAGTGAAATGGTAGCCCCCACACAAGAGCGTCCCCAAAATGGACTTCAGTCTTGAGGCTGAGAGAGTTTCCGCATCCTCCTGTGAAGCGTCAGACTAAGATTTACTGTTTTTAATTACCGTATTTGTTTTTATTATTTTACATTTTTTTCATTTTAATTGTTATACATGCCTTGATGGCTCTTTGCAAATAAGGCAGCATAGAAACGCTTACAATAAATAATGAAACACCTGCAGAGCACCAGGATGGTATAGGCGAATGTCGTTGGGCCTGGATGACCAGGGGGAGCCTTGGGGCAAACGGGCAACAAGTTTGGTCTGCGTTGGGCAATGGAATTGACCGTGGCTAAAAACAAGGGTTGTTTGTTTCTACTTGGAAGTAATTTCACGCTGTCCCCCAAAACACGGGGAAAGAATGTCCATTTGCCGCCTGGATAACGCTCCATGCTATGAGAGGATGCCAAAAGCTGGGGCCCCTCGCTGCTGCCTCTGACCATGTTCCCTGTCATTCTGAGATGCGAAGTTAAATTGGCCCAGAAAACTCTCAGCGGGGCTGCTGTTGTTTGCCAATCAAGACCGGACAATACAATGGTGCCCATTCATCTCCCCAGAATGAAACCAGCAGGAGAGCAGAGTACTTGGATTCTGCACCATCTCAAGTTTGGAGGCACAGTTTCAAGCAGACACTGTTGTATTCTATGCAAAACTTAGGTTCCAACTCCACTTCTAAAAAACATACAGGGTCTTAATAAAATCAACACAACCAATTTTCTGGCAAAGGGGTAAACTTTGGCAGCTGCCAAACCCCCGCAGTTACCAAATGGAGACACTTTCTGAAATCACGTGCAAAAACAAGAGAACCCCTTACTAGGGAAATATACATTTCAAAGATACCTGGGAGGTGGATAACAAACACTCTTACTTGCATCCATTCAAAAGATGACAAGCACAGAGAGTCAGGTTGGCGGGGTTTTGTTCGGTTTGTTTCAAAAGTATCACTTTAGTGTTTTAGTTGTCAAGTTTGCAAAGGACACTTTAACACCCCCAACCCACTTTTTCTTAAACTTTACATTAGCTTACTGTTCAAGATAAAGAGCAGTACAAAAAGTTTGTAAGAAAGACACAGATAGAACATGGTAAAAAATGTCCAATGCAGCAGGCTGAAAGCCTGGAAGAGGAACAAAGAATTCCTTCACTGCTTTGATTTTTCTACCTCAAAACTTGCCAGAGCGAAGACTTTATCTCCTGATCCTGTAGTTGAAGAAAGTAAAAAGAAAGAATCATTTGGAAGCGTGTCCTTTCCTCCTGGAATGGGAAAACTGTGGCATTCCAGTTCTGAACTTACTGTTCTGATCGACCCTAGCCAGTAGGGCCAATAGTGGGAGATTGGAGGGGGATTGGAGGAGTTGCAGCTTCTGCCCCATATGCTTTTCCACAGAGCCCCACATCTGTGGAAGCAGACAAAGCCACAAGCCACACACACCCCGGTTCACCCTTGTAACCCTCTATAAACACAAGGATATTTAATGACAATTTATTTTTACCTGATGGCAAAGGGACTGACACATCTGAAAGAAGAATGAGGTGTGAGAAGAAAAAAAAGATTTACCAAGGTCACTGGCGGCTCGTTCAAACTGGCTGAGAGCAGCTCCAGCATTTGTTGAAAGAAATGCCTCATCATCAGCAGTCAGCTGAAAATACAAAGAACAAAGGGGCAGGGGAGAAGAGTTAGCCATAGCTTATTTCTATGGCATTACTTAGATTAATATCCCACCTTTTCCTCTTTTAAAAACTAAAAGCAACTTGCATTCTTCTCCTCCCATTCTCCATCTTATCCCCACAACAACCCTGTGAGGTTGGTCAGGCTGAGTGTCTGTGACTGGCCCAAAGTCACCCAGTGGTCTCCATGGCTGAGCAGGGACTAGAACCCAGATCGCCCCAGGCCCGTCGAATCCAGTTTTTCCAGTGGCCAACCAGCTGATTCAACGGGAAGCCACAAGTAGTAAGTGCAGCAGTCCCCTCCCACTCGTGTTCTCCAAAACTGGTCCTGAGAGGCAGACTGCCCTTGATACTGGAAGTACCGTACGGCCACGATGAGCAGTCACTGCATTTACCCTCCTCCATACATGATTTCATTCAGAAAACAAGGACTAGAAAGCTGCTTTGTTAAAAGTGGCAATTAAAAAAGAGAGGGGAAACATTGGCTCTGGTTCCCATAAACCTGGCCAACCTTGCACTAACGTGGGCATGTTCATTTATATGCGAGTCAGTGCAGTGAAGCGGTTCAGGTGCTGGACTGGGATGACCCCGGCTCAACTGCCCACACCAGCATGAAGCTCGCTGAGTGCCATCGGGCCAAGCACTGACTCTCAGCCTGACCTACCTCACAGTGTTGTGAGACAAAACAGGAGATTGTGGTTCATATATGGAAACTTGGGCTTGTTGGATAGAAATATAACTAAACAGAATAAAGAAATGCTGATTTTATGATAAATAACATAAACGGCGTGCCATCTGCAGTTCCTACCTTTTCCCCAAGCTTCCTGAGGGCAGTGAGAATTTCTACCTTCTGCTGGGTGTAGAGGTCCCGCCCCAACTTTCCAACCATCAGATCTCTGTCCATCTATGCAGGAAAGGGCAGAATGAGAAAAACACATGCCTTCCATACTTAATGTACGAAAAGGGTTTACACAGAGCCCACAGCAGTAATCCCTGATCTGTGTGACCATGAGAAATACATTCATGAAGCAAACAGCAGCTCCTGAGGACCATGGTGGTACTGTACTCAGCCTTCGATTATTTATGCTCAGCAGTGCTAATATTCTGGGTAAAAACAAAGAGCCTTGCAGTACCTTCAAAGCACACAGATTTTCTCTGACAAACTTTAATGAACACTTTCAAATTTGGATACATGAGGTACTAACCTTAAATTTAAGGCAGATTTACATATACATGTAAATTTAAGGCAGAAATGTAAACTTTGTCACAGAAGGAATCAAAATCCAAAGAGCAGAGACTGATGGTTACTTTAACAGTTACCATTCATAAATTGTTAGGTAATAATACAGATATCACTGAAATGGTAAGCCATTAAATATTCTAATAAAAATTCTGGTTCTTGTTCAAAGAAGAATATAGAGCTGAAACTCTTGATGCACTGGCAGTTTCACTTCAATATCCATCTTTGAAATTCCTGTGTTCAGGCAGTTATCTTTTCTCCCAATTATTTTAAAGACCTAGTTCTAGGTTTTGTAAGACTGTATTCTATTTTGTATTCTGTGACACGGGAGACAAGAAGATCTGAATCCGCCTCAACACACTGACTTTCCAACTTTGTCTGCAATTATTGGGGTGCATAGGCATGACACAAAAGGGAAAGAAAGAGATGGGAAGGGAAGAAAAAAAAGAGCGGATTTGGACACCAATTTCTAAAGTTAGGTAGAACATTCACACTGATTTCACAAAATTTATTCTGAATGTCACAAGGAAGGCCAAAAACATAATACCTACTGCCCCTTCATCTTTGCAAATCACAACTGATGACTGCACACATATATTTGCTTTATAGGAGGAAGGAAGAATCTTTACCTCGGCCAACCGTGTCCGCAACTGCCCAGGCTGTTTCTTGGCAAACATCCGAATGACTTCAGGGGTTTTAAATGCCTGGCTGATGGCTGCTTGTATAGCCTGGGAGATAAGGACAGAAACCAAAACCAATCTCTTAGAGCAAACACCAATGGTCCCTGCTCTTCATTGCGGCATTAGGGCAAGCTACTTCAAGCAGGCTATTCCACAGTGAGCAAGGAGTCCTGCTCTCCATTTTATCATCACAACAACCCTGTGAAGTAGGAAGCTGGGAGTCCATGAGTAGCCCAGAGTCACCTAGTGAGCCTTGTGGCCAAGCAAGGACTAGAACCCAGATCTCCTAAGTCCAACACTCAATTAGACCATGCTGGTGCTCTCTGGGTCATTTTCAGTTTCTATAGACTCCGCTAATATTAGTTGCAAAATCTTGCCATCACGAACTTGCCAATCCTTTGTTAGTCCAGCGCAGACTGTGCACCAAACAACTGTTTGCCCTAACCATCATTTGGGATCCAAACCACAGTTGGGTTTGAGCACTGTAATCATGTTGTGCAATTTGTTAAAATGATAAAGTTGCCCAGAGTTACAATAATGACAACTTATGTCATTCTTCCCTTATCCTGGGCAAAAGAGAGTTTGAAAGCATCCTTCAAATGATGCAATGCCTTTGATATGCCACAGCAAAAGCAAGCAAGCAACCCCCACCCACCACAAAAAAAAAATCCTTAAACATGCATGGACTCACCAATTGCATCCCACTAAGTTCATCTACCAGGGTCATATTCCCAGACATGATCTTCTTCAGGGAATCATTGAACTCGCTCAGCTGCTCTAGGGTTTCCTTCTTGGTTTCTTCATATTCATCAGCATCCAGTTCATCTCTGAAAGAGAGGTGACAGATTAACCACAGTACCACTATGCGACAGTTACCTTTTTCTTACTCAAAGCAAACCTGTAGCTGGATCACTGCAAGGAAGTGGAGCTTCCAGGAAGGGGAGGGCCTCACCAGCTGGATGGGCCAGATCTGGCACATAGGTTGGAGGGTGCCCATCTGTTCTCTGAGAAAGTCAGTCCAGTGAACATACACTGCTGTCTCCCATTGAACCAAAAGTGCGATCTACCCAGCACAATGATATCTATTCTGAAGGAACATCAGTGGTTCTTCCTTCCACTACTGCCAGCCTGAAATCTTTGAAAGCCAATGCAGTGTCATGGTTAAAGTGCTAGACTGCAATCTAGAACACCAGAGTTCAATTTCCTAGTTGGTCTTACTGGGTGATTCTGGACTGGCCACTTATTCTCAACCTAATTTACTTCATGGAATGTTTGTGTGAAGGCAAAGTAGAGAGGTCCATGTTAGATACCTTGGCTTCCTTACAAAGAGAAAGAGGTGAAACATGTACATAATCATAAATAATTTTATAATATGAGTTATCATATGGCCTGGAGGGCCTGATCCTGCCTAATCTTGGAACTAAGCAGGGTTGGGCCTGGCTGAAATCTGGATGGGTGACTTAAATGTTGTGAACTGCCCAGAGTGCTTTGGCTACAGGTGGTACAGAAATGCAGTGTAATAATGTTAGTTTTCTCCATCCTGATACCTTCCAGATGTACTACAACCACCAGGTTCTCACAATGAACATGACTGGCTGGAGGGATCCTGAGTGTTGCAGACCAACACCTCTGCAGGCAGCATTTCCAGGTAGGACTAGAAAAACTCCTGCCTAAAACCCTAGAAAGCCACTGCTAGTCAGTGTTGACAGAACTGGACTGGAAGGAACAAAGGCCTAACTGAGTATGAAGCAGTTGCTGAAGTTCCTAAAGATGTTATAGCAGATTTGTCATTTTTAGAAAGCTGCTTCTCACCTGCACTCATCCAGATCTTGCAGCTGCTGCATTAGTCGGTCCAACTGCTCTTCCAAGTTTTGCTTCAACTTACTGGTCTCAATTTTTCCTCTTGAAGCCATTTTCAGTTATCTGCATAACAGATGGATGTCAGAGACAAGAAATATCTATGTGGTCTGTTTAAGAAATGATCAGTCACAATTCCACAGGCAAAGTGCCATAAAAGAACTTTGCCCTAATAAAAAAAAAAGTTCAGGATTTAAGCATGCTTATCTTATTCCAAAGTTCAAGGACAAAAATTTAATACTTTGGCATTGCTATAGTATGCTTTACTCACTGTGGTTAAAATAGATTTCTATGTTTCTATGTATCTGATTGCTTGCCTTAGCTATCTTTTTAATGGAAAAGCATTTCACACAAAGGCCCTATTTTCTAGGGGCGATGGCAGTTCTTTTTCATTACTTAAGTGTATTTTAACCATGCAATATCTTACCAATACAAATACACATTCACCTAATTCTAGGTAACTGTGACAACTTTTCCAACACATCTGTAGTGTGCTATTACAACCCACAGCATTATACTGAAGACCTACTGGTACAGCTTTGTCATTTTTCTTCACCTAGCAGGACTGCTGTGCTTTTAACAGTTATAGTGTAATACGACAGCAACAAAACAGGTTCCAGTTCCTGTTTGGTCAAGGAAACAACCCTATGAAGTCTACTCTGAATGAAAAAGTTGGAATGTACAACCCACTTTTGCAATCGAAGGGCCGGTTAGTTATTTCCCAAAGTGGGCAGACTGGACCCCCAGACTGGACACGGCTGACCCCTCCCCAATCTGCCGGCCCTTTTCCTTCCAATTTCCCACATGCGCCCACCCAAATCCCCTCCCCTCCTTACTAACAGCAGCTCGCCCCACAAACCCCGACTCACCTCGCCCCACAAACGCCACTCCCAACAAGCCTCCCTCTCCAGCCAGCAACAAAAGGACCACCGGGACTCCCCCAATCACATCCTTCCTTTGAGCACCCAATTTCAGAGGCCGGACACACCCACTTCCGGTTTGGGAAACTGGAGGAGCCGTTTATAGTGACGGAAAGCGGGACGCTGGGCTCCAGTGGCCAATAGGAAGGCTCCTGTGGGAACGGTTGCAATAGCGGTCCCCTCGGCCGCCTAAACTTGGTGATTTGGTTCCGACCCTAAAGCTCTGCCGTCCTTAAGTTGTCAGGGAAAAGGCGTGGGCCCGGCTGGTAAGAGCCCCTTTGGGCGACCGGAAAGGATCGTGATTTGGGTGGGCGGGGAGGGGTTGGTATCTTTTGGATGGGGAGGAGATCCTTAATTGTAATCGAAGAACTGGTGAGCTGTGGGGTTATTACAGCGTCGTGTGTGTCAGGGTTATTTTACAGGAAGAGAACCAGTGCGATATACGGTAGTAGTTCGGAGGGCAGGAGTGGGGCTCGGGAGACCTGGGTTCGAGTCCCGACTCCGCCATGGCGTTCACTAGGTGGCGATATGCTAGTCCCAGACTCTCAGCCCAGCCTGCCCCGTGGCGTTGTTGTTGTGAGGAAAAGACTGAGAGGAGGAGAATTATGTGAGCCGCCTTGAGTTCCTTGGAAGGAAAAAGGCGGAATGTAAATGAAGTAAATAAATAGATATTGTAATATTGGTTGTTTTAAATGTATGCGCATATTAACATCTCTGTTAATAATAATATAATAACAATAAGCTTCTTCTGTTGATTTGGGGATGTTAGTTAACTTGATTATGTCTTCCTGTAAGAAAATGAGAGTGAATTCATGTCAGATATGCTACTTCTGGAGATGAGTTTGTGGTACTTTTTCTTGATAGGGTAAAGTTAGGATAGGGTCATCTTCTATTAAATTAATTGAGAGTTCTCAGAACAGCTTATGGAAGAAGAACTCAAGAACACACTCAATTTTAATCCAGGGTGAGACTAAGTATTTGCTCACCTTTTCACAGTGAATGGGGGAGAGTATTTGCATTGTAAGAGATTGAAGACATTCATGCTTTAATGTTACCTCTGTTTGGAATTTTGTATGTGTGGTGTTGGTTTTGAGTGTATTTTACATTACTACGTTTCTTTACCATTCATCAAGGTTAATGGTGCCCACATTTATTCTCCATAATGAAATCAGATCCCGTCCATGGCCTAGAAGTAAATCTGGAATAAGCCAAGTGCTGTCAACAGTATCAGCTGATGGTACCATGTGGTTCCTAGTTTGGATCCCCTGGAAGGTCATGGTGGCAGCTCAGAAGTGTTTTTCAGGGTCCTCTCCCCAGTTCACTGTGCATTTCTTCTGCTCTGGGAAGATGGTCTCAGTGGCCCCCAGCCCTTAAAACCGTCAGGGGAACAGCTTATGGGAATAGCAATGCATTAGCAAGGCAGGTGTGAGGGGCAGGGACAGTGGGGCACTTGCCAGTGACCCAAATCCCAGCAGGGTCCCACTGATAAAAGCCCCCTGGACTTGTTCCTGCTTTTCCGCATTGCAGCCCACTTGATCACCTGCCTCTCAGTCTGCTCCAAACAACTGAGGTGGTGGTAAGGAGCAGAAAATGCTCCGACCTCCTTGTTCCCTGGCTATCTGCTTGTCCAGCAAGGAAGTGGTAGTCAGGATGAGAAAGAGGAGGAAGAACAAAACCGGCTTGTGACTGGAGGGTAGACTGGAGCCAGCCATGTGTGTCAAGTCCTCATCAGTGCTGGCTGTTGTGGGAAAGGGAAGGCCAGAGGTCTTCCAAAGACCTCTTCCCCGTTATAGCAGGTGCCTGACCTGTGGCTCAGTGCAAACATGTGTAAATGTGAAACAATTGCTCTTATGCTGGAACCTGCCCTCCTGTGAGGGAGAATTTAGTCTCTGCAGCAAAACTTTTGCCTGGAGAGGGGGATGAGCCCAAGAATGCAGAAGCTGGGACATCTCTTGGATAGGCCATGGACAGTTGCTGGCAATAAGTGACCTAGATAAGGGGAGCGTGTGATGTTCTTGAACTGGACTAGGGAGCCCTCAGAGCTTGCTGTGGTATAAAATTGGAACCCTTGCCGTTGTAGTTTCTTCTGTGTGTGGCAACTTTTGGCATCATGGCTCCAAAGGCTGGAGGAAAATGACCCACTACTGTATATATGCAGTGGAGATGCATAGCTCTGAGAATGAATACCAGTTCAACCCTGCTCTTAGATTGTGGAATTAGTTTGCTACCCCAACAGAAGGTGTGAATTTTTCTGTGAATCTATAGCTGTTTTCTTTGTTGGGGTGCATGACTGCTTTTCTTCTTAAAACACACCCTCAGCTCCATGCGGTTGGGGGTGGCAGAGTTGCCAACATCTTCTCTCTCTTATTCCTGTAGGACTGAGATGCAGACAATGAATGGGGAGATTTTCTTGTCACAGCAAGAGATAGGGGAAAGCTGCATGTTCTTAAATCCTGTGGGTTGAATTGGATGGGACTTTTATGCCATGTATCAGATGCCTGAAAGGGAAACCATAGAAAGGGACATGACTCTCACCAAAACCCAGGAGAGTCAGCTAGGAACCCCAGGAAAAGTTCAGGAATTCTGGGAGTTGTAATCAAAACATCTGGAGAGCTCCAGGTGAGGAACGGCCAGCTCATGTGATGAATGGATTGGATCTTTTCATGCAGAAAATGAAGCAATCCCTCCTTCTTCTACAGGTTGCTCTCTGGAGAGCAAAGCCCACAAAAGAAGGCAGAACGTTAGCTGTTCGACATAAACTGAGTCAGAGATGATAGAAGTATGCAAAATAACGCCTGGTGTGGAGAAAGTGCACAGGGAGACATTTTCCCCTTCTCTCACTGTATTAGAACTCCAAAGAGTCATCGCACAAAGCTGCATGGTGGGAGTTTCAGGACAAAAACAAAGGCAGGGCCTTCTCACGCAGGGCATGGCGACGTTCTGGAGCCTGCTGCTACAAGATGCAATGGTGGCCACCCATATAGATGGCAGCTGTTGAGGGGGATAGGAAAAATTCAAGGGCCACTATGGGGGGCTACTAGTCCTGATGACTAGATGCTGCCCCCAGCATCAGACGCAGTGCCTGTGTGCGCCAGTTGCTGGGGAACATGGGTGGGAGGGTGCTGCCGCACCCCTCCTCGTGTGAGCTTGTGGGCAACTGGCTGGCCTCTGTGAATGGCAGGCTGCTGAGATGGACCTTTGGTCTGAGCCAGCATCAGGCCTCTTCCAGTGTTGGGGGAGAAGGAATTTTGGACAGCCGCTAAAGAGCTAACTGTACTTGCAGCTTTAAAATCCACTTGAATTTCTGTTTGGCGTGCTGGGAGGAAGAAACAGCACCGTCCAAAATCTCCCATTTTAATGGAGGCAGAAGCGATTGACTCTTCAGTGTGTCAATACTCCACTCCCCCAGCTTTGAAACTGGAGCTTCATGCGTGGCAGGCAGGTTTCTGCCCTTCTGTCTCCGTTTCCCTAACAGTTCCCATAGCAACCATCTCCCAGTCGATTTGCTCTGCAAGGCCTTGCCGCTCAAACCACACCGAAACACACACTGGCAGAAGCCAACCACACAGAGACACAAAGACACACAAAGGTTTGGGTACTGCTTTTGCACCCGCCGAAGAATGAGGGTGCTTTTTTTTTTTTTTAATGTGGGTGGTGAAAACCTGTCTGCCAAAACTCCATTTACTTTTTAAAAAATCGCTCAAGCCAAGCCCTTTCAGCACACAAAGCTGCCTCATATTGGTATCCATTAATAGTTAAAGACTCTGGCTATAAATATCTCTGGTTCTGAAAGCCCTCCCCACTGTGGCCGCTGTAGAGATCAGTGACGTTTCTCCATGGTGGAGAGATGCGGGCATGGCCGGCAGTTTAACAGGATGCCTGTAGTAGGAGGGATATTGCTGAAGAGCTCTGTGAACTCGGTGTCTGGCGCATTGAGGCTCAAACATGCCACAGGCAGCTGCATTCAGAGACTGGCTTGTAACAGATTCCAGTCTTCTTGTCCTTCTTCAGTACCAGCCCAGGAGAAACTATGTTGGCGATCCAGAAGAATCCCAGGAAAGAGAAAAAGGCTTGTGGGAAAGAAAAGGGAAACAAGAAGAGTGCCGTAAGCAGAACAGCGGGTTCGTGGGTTGGCCTGTTGAAGTGGAAAATCTTATCAGATGAGGAAAGCAGACATTCTGAAATCTCAGCTTAAACAAACATGCTTCTAAGCCTCGTGATAGTGAGGAAAACCCCATCCCCAGATGACTGAAGCGCGCCAGAAGTATAAGGCTTGGCTCTAACATAAGATTGGTTTCTGCAGGGCAGCATTCTCCAGCTTGGCACCTCCTGGCACTACCATTCCAGTTGCGTTTTTTGGTGATGCTGGCTAGCGCTCCTGGAAGTTGCAGTCTCACACACCTCTGGATGGTGCCCCATAAGAGCAGTGCTGCCCTTTGGACCTCTGACGTGTTGAAACGAAATTCTCACCATTCCTGAGCGTTGGCCATGCTGGATGGGGCGGATAGGAGTTACAGTCTCGCATCCAGCGGGCAACAGGTTAGGGAAAGCTGGTGTAGGTCTTTGGGTTGAACAGAATTGGAGAACAGCTGAACTAACTCAATGGAATGAAGCAACTCTTGGGAAGCTGGAAATACGTAGTTTTATTCTTTGACGCACAGGGCTACTTCAAGGAATAAAATGATGCATTTTTTCAACATTCTGAGATTTCGGGTTCAGGCGACTTGTTAATCCATACTCAAGGGCTGAGTGTGGGTTGTTGGTGAAACACGGGTTCTCCTTTTATCTGAACCTGACTGAGATAATACCCCAACAACAAACCATAGGTTCTGTTCATGGGGTGTTCATGGTTAACAAGCCATGGCTTGTTAGCACAGCAGTGCTCAGACAACATATGATAACCGGTATTTCAATGACAACCCACAGTTCAGTGGCAACCCTTGCTCATGCTGGACTCACGCTTTGTCTGGACTCAGCCCTCGCTCGCCATTCTGTTGCGCTGCGGGACTTCAACCCATTACTGATGCTGGGTGCATTGTGTGAAGAAAAACAACACCGGCAAATAACCCCTTCTCTTAACGTAAACAGGAAAAGTGTGATAAAAGAATGCACTCCTGGGGCTCACTTTTTTCCCAGCCTCCCTTGGCTCTGTCTCCCTTGGCTGTTGGGTACTTCGTGCCAGGTGTGTACCAGAAAGGGGCCCCAGGTGGACACGAGCTAAATATTGCTGTAAATGCTTTGCGCTACCAGACTCTGATGTTCAAAGGGATTGCAGTACATACCAGCCGATATCGTACAGCTCACTGAGAGCGTCACGGACAGATAATACAGTTCAGGAGTGGTTCTGGCCTGTTGGAGACACACATTTCAGGGTTTATAAAGGTGCTGGAAGCGTTTCAGAACTGGACAGGCCTGGGCCTGCTGAGGTATTGGGCCAGTGGGGTGACGGAGAAGGAATCCTCTCAGGACCCAAAAGCCTTCTCTCAGCATTTCCAGCTCCCCTGTTCAGAAGAGCAACTGTGCAACCATAGCCCAGGTTTCCTCCTTGTAAATCTCACTGCATTCAGCTCCTCCCATGTAGGCATCACAGACCTAGTCTACACCCAAGACTAACCAATGTTTTATTTAACCTGTAATTTGTTTACCCAGGATGTGTCTGGCAAATGATTGAACAAGCCATGGTTTGCTTTCTCAGCGCCTGGGTGATTTGTTTCCACTCCCTCTTTGCCTGCTGCTTCTCCATACCAAAAATGCTTCTGGGGCGCTGCAGCACCAGCAAATGGAGTGGCGGGCATTTTCCACTCTTCCTGCAAACCACCTCTGTAGCCTGGCAAATCAAGCCATGAACAAGCCAGCTCTGAACCCACACAGGTTGTATTCACACATAATGCTAAACCAGCCCACCCCTGCCCTGGCCATTATACAGGGGGCAGCGAAATGTAACCCAGGCGGTAATCTACCCACACATTGCCTTGCTGAGGCTGTCAGGGCAGTCGTGCAAGCTCCTTCTGCAAAGGATGCGACTCCGAAGGCAGCAAAGACAATCTGCAGCTCCCAGGGAACAGGCTCAATCGTGACGAGGAGCAAGGCCAGCCCTGAAGGGACGGCAAGGGTAAAGTTAGTAAGTGTGGAAGCACATTTGTGCACCCACCCAAGATGTGGCGATTGTACGTGCAGCACCGCGCCTGAAGCAGCAGAGGCTGTGGCTGCACACTCAGAGGGTTGCGCAGCTTCCCCAAGCTGGAACCCTCCCAACATTTTGCCCTGAAACGCCCATCCCTGGGCAGCAGAGCCCTGCCAGTGGGCAGAGACCACAGGAGCTGTGGGCCACATCTTGCCCGGGAATCCTGAGCTCCGGCTACGAGCGGGAAGCAGACCTTTCTACGCCCATCTCCCATGTGCCCAAATAAACCCGACTTTCCCTCCGACGTCTTGTGGCACGACTCCCGTGGACTATTGTGCCGAAGCTGGACGGCACAAGTGTTCCGCCTGCCGTGTGCCCACCACAGCCACGTTTTCCCAGAAACCCACAAGAAGCGCCTTCACGGGGTACTGGCGGAGTGTGTTGTCTCTGCTTAGTGCTTCAGTGGCTGGCAATGAGAGCTTTACACTGAAATATAAAGGTGTTCTGCTGCAGTGCGCAGAAGCAAAAAAAAAAAAAAAAATGCAGGCCATGAAATTGCATCCTTGACAAAAACCAACCCCTCATCTCCTAATCTGTGGGCAAGGGGTCCTTCTGGCACATCGTCTGGCCTGTGGGCTGGTGGCAATAGAAAAAAACGCCAGTGGCAACGTACCCAGGGCAAAGAAAGTGAAGACGATGCTTCCAACCAGGTTGTAGAGAAGGGGCTGGCTGCAGTAATGAGACGATTTTGGCCTGAAAAAACAAGGTTAAGAAAATGGAGACTGTGGTAGATCTTGCAACAAACCTTGTAGGTGCATAAGAAGTTCTTCGCAGATCGCCTCGGGCATACGTCCGTCTGTCACCTCGTATCCGCGTTTTGCAGAGTAATTTCTACATTTTGCCAGGGAAAGCTGGATTCCAGTACCTGTGCAAATTAAGCATCTTTGTATCCTCACAGTGAAGCTCTACTCCTGGCCTTCTTGGAAAATTTGCTCAGTCTCATTTATGAATCCCAGATCATCACCTGCTCCTTTCATAGCTGTCTTTGCTCCCTTCAGGGCTAGAAACTTGCTTCTTTGTTCCTGAGCGGCAGATTTGCTGGACGCTCAATCCTCTGTCCACTGCCAGCTTCGGTGCTTGTGTTACAAGCCTTTGTTGAGTACAGAACAGTACTCTGGGGAGAGTGCTGATCACTTAGCAAAAAAGGAAGCAGGTGAAGGTCAGGATCTTTCTTTATCTAGCCTGACTGGCTGGCTGCAGCTTTCCACTGTGTTAGGCAGAGGGGATTTTGCCATCGCCAGTTGACCGATCATTTTTTTGAACCCAGGGACTGAACTTGGGACCTACTACCTGAGCTGCTATAAAAATAGTTTCTTCCTAAATCTCTGGTTCGATCTCAATTAGAATTGTTGTTAGTCGCGAAGTCGTGTCCGACCCATCGCGACCCCATGGACAACACTCCTCCAGGCCCTCCTGTCCTCCACCGTCCCCCGGAGTCCACTCAAGCTCACGCCCACTGCCCCAGTGACTCCATCCAGCCACCTCATCCTCTGCCATCCCCTTCTTCTTTTGCCATCTGTTGTTCCCAGCATCAGGCTCTTCTCCAGGGAGTCCTTCCTTCTCATTAGGTGGCCAAAGTATTTGAGTATCTTGTCTTCTAAAGAGCAGTCAATTAGAAAAGGAATGAGCAAATCCTTGAGCTAAGGTAGATGCATTGCTGACCCAGGAAGAACCCTTAGAAGAACCCTGTGGCAGCAGGGGAACTCTTCCTAAAAGCATACCACTGCTTTGGTGTTGAACAGCAGTGCGCAGGGGCGATTTTGATTTGGAATAGCCCACTTTGGTTGCTGCCACCATATTGCCATTTTTCCTTTGAAAAACAATGGCTCTCCCATCCCACCTCCTGCCCAGTTTTGTGGCTGAATTTTGGCAGTGGGGTGTGTGGTGCTGCTGCGAAAGTGCAGGGGTTTTGGGATGCTCACCCTGCCCTTCGAAACTGGTCAGTCAACGATCATGTTACTGCATCTTCCATAATTCGTAATTGCTGGCTAAAGATTGTAGGAGTAGTTGTAATTCTACACATCTGGGGAATGGAAAGGGTTGTTTTATGCGAATTCAAGGCATAAAAGTTCAAGGCCCTTCCCTTTGCAATGGTGCTGTCCTCAGGGTTTGGGGACTGCCTTACAACTCTGTCCATAACCGAAATCAAGATGTCGTTGCCCACAGCCATCTTCAGCCCTTCTGCTTTGCAGTTGGAACCCTCAGGGGAAAATCCGGAGAGAAACAGCTGCCAGTCTCCTTGCCAACAGAGACCATTTTAAAAACAAAACACGCACGATCCAAAACCAGTCCAAACGTATTAATGGGCCAGGCTGTGTGTTCATTCTTCTCCAGAACGTTTTGGGATATTCCAGTTGGCGCCCCACACGGTCTAGAAGGTATGCAGGGACATGATGCAGAGGTGCAGAACCTTTGGCCTGAGGACCAAATCTGGCCTGCAGAAGTACCTAGAAGGCCACAACCGCTTTCCCCCAACCACCAATCGTGTGGGTTTTGCCTGACTTTTGTGCTATTTCCCCTGTTCTAAGCCTTTTCTAAGCCTTAGTTGCTGTGCAGGAAAGCTTTGAGCTAAAACATGCTGATATTTGGGGTCATTTCAACCTGTTCCTTTTTGCCTCTGGCTCTGAAATGTATTGCCTAAGAGCTTCTCAAAAAGAGTTGTAGGCCCTGGGCTGAAAGAGGTTCCCCACCCCTGATATGAAGACCCAAAGGGTTTTTACCTTACCTTACCTTACCTTTTTACCTTAGCAGGATGTAAAACTGAAGGAGGACAGCAGAGATTCCAAAAGCAAAGATAAGAAGCTGGCTGTAAGAAGTAGGGTGGGGTGATGGGGTTGGGGATAGTTATTTCTTTATTACACTTGGGTTCTCTGGGTGGTTTATATAATTAAGAAGACATAACAATAATAATCTTATTTAAATAAACAATAGACAATAAACAGTACGGCCAATACAGCAAAAAATCAACAACCCGCAGCAACTATAATAAAATTAATAGGCAGCAAATCCTGAGCGATCCTATTATTAGTTGTAAAAAATAATATTTTCATAGGTAGCAGCTAGTGCACAGGGCATTATCCTATTCATCTTTTGACAGGAAAAAGACCTACATCTCCCAGCATGCCCCAGCCAGCTATGTTGGGAATTGTAGGACTTTTTTTTTTTGTCTACATGTCCATCAGATTGTGTCTTACATAGCGGATCTTATTCCTGCAGTTTGGAGAGATGGCCTTCGAGGGGAGAATATATTCACAGGGCAGTTCTGAAGTACACACAGCTTCTAAAAAGCTGCAGAATGGTGGCTGAGTTTGTACCTGCAGGGGCCGCAGAACAGGAGTGGACCTTGCCATTTCGGCAAGCAAAGTTTTCCCTGCAACTAGAACCACCAGAATAGTTCATGCTGAGACCGTTCCTTCCAGGCTAATTTTCTGCTTGCAGGGACCCCTGTGTGCATGAAGGGCTCCCATATAATCAGCGGGACTCTCCCCTTGCAGCCAGAAAAGGGCGGCGTCACCACAGTGTATTTCTATCCCACCTCCGCAACGTGGTCCCCGAGACCGACCCCCAAAAAGGGGTCCAGCCCTCCGGCTAAAAGAGGGCCAGTGCCTCGGTTGTGAGGCCTCGCGGTTGCCATGGTTACCCACGCAGGGCCGCATCATTGGCCGGCCAGCAGGACCGGCCTTCGATTGGTCCGTGGCGCTGGGCCAGGTGAAGGGTGGCGAAGCGGAGGCACAGGCCAGGTGTAGCAGGAGGCCGTGGGCTCCGCTCGCTCGCTCGCTCGGGGTGCGGTGCTTACAGTCGGAAGCGGTGCTGCTTGGGTAGCCATCTGCTGAGGTGATAGGCAGCGTGGGCCAGGCAGAAGTGAAGCATCGCTGCTTGCCAGGAACCTGGGCAGAGCAAAAGAGCCGAGTCTTAGGGCCCGGGGCCTAAACCCGAGACCAAAAGGCTGCTCCGGTCTTTCGACGGAGACCGTTGTGGTCTTGCACGCAGAAGGCCTCGGGTTCGACCCCCCCCAGCCTCTTCAGGTAGGGCTGAGAAAGGCACTTGTCTGAAACCCTGGAGGGCTGTGGCTAGTCCCTGCAGCCCAGGGCAGGGGACTTATTTTGGGTGGGCAGGTGGGGGCACATGATACCCCACCTAGTGAACCAGAGCCAAATAGCACTGATGAATATTAAGTAAGGAGACCCTGAGGCGTCTTCCTAACTGCCTGTTCTGGATAAGGTGCTTTCCCCCAGCTAAAAGCAATCCCCTCTGCTAAACCAAGGAATTGGGCATGTCGTGAGTGGAGCCGGCTGGAGCCGGGGGTCAGACTAGATGGCCCAGGTGACCCCTTCTGACTCACTCTGTTTCTGTGTTTCTATGAATTGCCTCCAAGTGAAGGGAATCCTTCATGCTCAGGGAGGGGTTCACTCCTAAGGAAAGGGAATCCCCCAGCCTGTGAGCAGAGATAACACAGTTAGCCTTCGCCCCACCCTCCCAAGCACCAGGCAGCATAAAGGGGGCAGACGGTGAGCAGAAGAGGGGACATGGAACGGCAGGGGTCCTCTATCCCTGGCCTAGACAGGGCTCAGTTTTAGGGGATCAGTGGCCCACTTTGGACGAAGGTAGAGTCTGCGTTGCCAAAACCTGGCAGCCATGTATAGGCACAACAACACGGCCAAACACGCTACCTTTCCCTCCGCGTTATTTGTCCCAGCCCCTAGCTGTGGGGGTCTCGTTTCTGCACGAGGGGCCTCTGCTTCAAGTCATGACTGGCTGCAGCCCCTCCCGCCACGAATTCTTGGTGGGTAGCTGCAGGCACGTCTCTTGCTCCCTGGTGAGCCTACCTTACAGGACTGTTGTGAGGATGCCCTAAGGCAAGCTCTGAAAGCTTCTTGTGAGAAGGGGAGGATGCAAATGAGGAGAGTTCCTCTGATCAGGCACAGAGATCCTTTCCTTCACCACAGAGCGCCTGCAGGGGATTCCCACACGTTTTCACTCGCACCCCCCCCCACTGTTTTGCAGCAGAGCGACAGAGAAAGGGCCAGGTTTCGGTCTGTCTGTGCCCCTTGCCCTTTCTTTGCTTCAGCCTCAAATGGATATCAAATCCGCCAGTTAGAAACCTTTCCTTGGTTTGATCAAGGGCTCCAGTCCTCCCCGATGTTGTTGGGAACGCGGCTCCCAGCATTCCTCACCACCGGGCTGATGGGAATTGCAGTCCAAGAACTTCAGGAAGGTGACTTGTTCCCCACCCAGCGCAGAAGCGACCTCTGACGGAGTGGCAGGAGCGCAAGAGCAGATCTCCGCCAGCTAGCCACAGAGGGCACGTGCCGGGCCAACGGGGCCCCTGAGCATGCGAGGAGCGCGTGGCAGCCATGCGGAGGCAGGCAGGCAGCCAGCCGCTGCAGAGGCGGTGGGCTGGGGCCCCAGCGCCGTTCTCCTTCGGGGGCGCGGCGCCCCCCCTTCCACCGCCCCCCCCCCCCGAGCTCCCTCCTGGCGTCCTTACCCGGAGCTCTCGGGGAGCGAGCCGCCTGCAGCCCGCGGCCTCCCGCTCCTTCGGCGGCGCCGAGCCGGCGGCCCGCCGGCGCCCCCCCGCGGCCGCGCGCTGCCTCTGCAGCAGGTGGGACGCAGTCCTGCGCAGGTCGCTCCTGGTCGCTCTCGCCCGGCATCTCCTCTGACGAGCGGGGCGTCCCGGCGAGACGAGGCTCCTTCAAGACAGGCTGAAAATGAGCGCGTGCACGTTTCGGCTTTTTTCTAGTCCTCTCTGGAGCATCGCTGCCCCTGCTTGACTGAGACCCTGTCTTTTTCTGCGAGAAGGAATCCCAGCTCGAGGGACTCCAACGTGCCTCCCAAGCGAGCTTGCCTTTAGAAAGGAAGTAAGATGAAATCAAAGAAGAGGAAAACGCTGGGCATGAAAGCTGCGGCTGCACCAGGCATAGGTGAGCGATTCCTGGAAGGGAGGCTAGCCTGGCTTGAAAAACCACATGCACGCAAAAGCTCTTCTCACCAGTGGAAGGAATCCAGCCCCTAAGAACGATTTGTTCGGGGGGGGGGGGGTTCTTTATTATTTTTTAAAGGTAATGTTCTTATCTGTGATGAAAGATGCTTTCATCGCGGAATGATGATTTTGATGATTTGATGATGATAATCCTTAAATGATTTAGGGTGCAATTCCATGCGTATTTAGACAGAAATAAGGCCTGAACTCCCAGCATGTCTCAGCCAGGAGTGCTGGGAGCTGTAGAACTTTTTTCCTTTGTCTAATCTTGCATAAGATGGCACTCTTGATTATGAGAATTACTCCCCGCAAGCATTCATGTATGATTACATGTTCGACTGGAACTCAGGAGACTGGATTCGAATTTCCACTGGGCCAGGGGGCCCTTGGGTGACTTTGGGCTGTTCACCTCGCAGTGATGTTGAAAGGATAAAACAGAGAGGAGGAGGTTTATGTAAGCAACTTGGGTTCTCCGCAGGGAAAAAACATGGGATGTACATATAATAAATACAAATTATTACTATCTCTGCATTTATATCCCAGCGTTTTTCCTCTTGCAGTGAATCCAAGGCAGCCATCACGGTCGTTATTCTCTCAATTGTGGGGAAAAGCAAGGAGGGACTTAAGAAAATTCACAGGCTCATCTGCCCCCCTTTCCTCTCCAACTTTAGCCAAATACTTAGGAGTTGTACCATGCCTTTCTAATAACGGCCAAGCTCTCTCCATCCCACTTGGAATTAATGCATTGTTCACAGAAAATGTTTATTTCCTACCCTTTGCAGCACTCTGGGCAAATCCATGCATTTGTACTATATGTTTGTAGCTTGTCATCCATCTGTCAGTCTCACAGGGTGGCATCTGTGGGAAATTAAATGGTCAGCAGCAACAGAAGAAGAGCAGTTAAACCGAAAGCAAAATGGGTAAAACGACCCAAGGGTCAGTCCTTCCTTGTCCAAAGAAGCAAAATTGCTTAAAGAAGAAGAAAAAATAAAACAAAATTCTGCTGCATATGTGCAGGGACGTTCTGCGGCATGGGCAGATTGTGTAGGTTGTGCAGATATGCACAGTTTCTCACACCATTGCTTATTTCTGAACTCTTGCAGAATTATTTTGGTTTTGCTAAAGGCTGGTGCATCAAGCCTCAAAACTTTTGTTTTGTTGTTTGTTTTGTTTTGTGTGCTAGCAGACATAACAGAACAACTTGTTAAAACTTTTGTGCTCTTTTTTCTATTTATAGCATTTCTACTTTGTTCTGCAGTCAAAAATGGCTCCTGGAGCCGCTACAATATCTTCAGTATAAAACAGAGCCACCCTTGCTAGCTTAGAGGCTGCAGAATGCGGGTGGACTTTCAGCAGGGGTTATATTGCTCTATTTGGGACAGCAAATAACCCCCCCCTTTTCCATCACCCCCATTTCCAGGTTGCGGTTGCTGTAACTCAGATCTCCCTCTGCACACGTGGTTAGAGCAAAGCCCCATGGAGAATTCGGACAGCAGGACTGAAGTGGTTCTTCTGGCTTGTGGATCTTTCAATCCGATCACTAACATGCATCTCCGGCTCTTCGAACTGGCCAGGGATTACTTGCATGAAACAGGTAAAACCAACCATTCTTTGTAAATTACAGTTTGACCTTTCAAAATACAACAGGGCAAGGAGGGAGTCCTGTTGCTGGACTGGAAGGCCTCAACCGTTGGCCGTTCTGCCGGGGCTGATGGCAGCTGGGGTCAAATCCCATCAGGAGAGTCACCACCAATGTTGAGCCTCGTGGCACTGAAATACAGCAGTCCATACACATTCTAAAAACTTGCCGTATGGATGGATGCTTTCTTGTTGAAGCAATCCAAACTGAGAGCTGATTTTGCAGAACGTTGTACATATTCTGCATGTTCTCTGTTTTATTGTTTTTGCTTTTATGTGTTTTAAAATCTGGTGTCATATTACATCAAATGGTTGTAATCCCTTAAGAGTGGCTTTGGACTAGCTATAGCAGAACAAGTTGATTAAATAAATAATGGTAGGCAACTCAGAAGCTTCTTGGCTTTTTCAGGTTTCTGTGTATTTCTGATTTCTCACACCGTTTCTCACTGTTTTTATCACATGTGGGATACAATCCTATGCAGGTTTAGCTGGAAAAATCATGCCCTGCATACGTTCTGTCTCCTGCCGGCATATCAATATGCATAGACTATCATCTTTGATTAATTAACAACCACAATACGAAATAATTAATAGGAAGAAGGAACCGCATTTGCTAGTGGCCGATGGCCGCGCTCTGTAAATATTGACTCCTAGGGGAATTGGATCCTTTGGGTTTCGAACCACAAGTCCAGCACTCTCTAAGGACGCAATCCTGCATGGATTGTACACGCCATCAGCCTCAGCCAGCTTGACCAGCAGCCATGAATGTTGGGAGCTGTGGTCCAAAACTTCTGGAAGGTTTCTGGATGGGGGAAGGCAGCTCTAACCACTATGTATAACTGCTTCTGTGTTTTTATGATGCACAGGGAAGTACAAAGTGGTGAAAGGGATCATTTCGCCCGTGGGGGACGGCTACATGAAGAAAGGGCTGATCAGCGCCAGTCACCGGGTGGCTATGGCGAGGCTTGCCACAGAAAGCTCCGACTGGGTGGAAGTGGACGACTGGGAGAGCAAGCAGAAGGAGTGGCAGGAGACCATCAAAGTCCTTAGGTATTGCCAGCTCTGGGTGTCTTCCCATCACCATTTGACAGAAAGAATCAGTAAAAGAGGACAGTCCCTGCTTTCAGGTTTATAATGTGAAATCAGTACAACACGCAAGGAACTGTGGGGGAGGAGGGCAGAGGAAAAAATTAAACACAGTAAGCAGGGCAAATGAAATGGCATGGTGGCAGGGGGTCCGACTGGAGCAAACCCTGATGTTCCCTTTGTCTGCCCTTGTCTCCTTCCCTCCATTTTCCCCACCAGGTAGTTGAGACCAGTTAGTCCTCCAGGACAGGGGTAGAATGATCAGAGCTGTCCCATGCATCTTTCTAGCATCCTCAGCTTTCTCTTTAAAAAGTGGCACTACAAGCGGACTTCTGCGTGGATCTGTGATCCTGTGCACACTCAGTGGACAGCAGGTCCCACTAAATAAGGACCTAGCAGCCCACCCTGTTCCCACACGTCTTAGGAGATACCCTCCTGGTGGTGCCCACGATTTTGGAGGTCAGAATAGGCCCCTTCAGTATTGTGGCACCTGTGCTACAGTTAAGGCGAGCCCCAGCCCTTCTGGGATTTTCCCTGTCTATGAAAGACATACATTTTCCGACAAGCATTCCCAGGAAGGTAATTTTATCTTTTGTTTCCAGTAGCAATATATAGTGCTGAGTATCTGTTGTTTACTACAGTGTTAGAAATTTCTATTCCAACCAGCCTTCGTAAAAAAAAAAATACTGTTAAAGAATTAAAAGAAAAAGAAGCAAGCAAGCATGCAGAGTCACACGTACTTGTGAGGAAACGGTGACATACCTCTGATGAATAGCTTAGAATCTTAGAATAGCTTAGTAAATGCACCTGAAAGTCTCTGGCCGGCATATCCATTCACCTGCTATAGGGACAAGCAACCTTGGACCTGCTGGATGTTTGGGATGACAAATCCCACAATCCCATGGGCTGTGCTGGCTGGGTGTGATGGAAGTTGAGGTCCAAAACATCTGGTGGCCGTGAGGATGCCCACCCCAGTAAACAGGGTTTCTCTCCTGCTTACGTCGTCATCGTGGCACAACATGCCACTGTATAAACAGCAATCGTTCTAACCACTGAGTATGTGATGGGTTTCCTGGCTGTTCTGTGGGCGTTTTCCCCCCATTCTAAAAGCCTGAAATGTTCATAAGGTTTTGCTACCAGGCATAAGCTAAAATGCAGTGATATTTTGGTCCTGTTTGCCTTCAGCCCGATACAACATTGAAATGGGACCCGCCCCCCGGCCCCAGACTTTGGGCTAGAAAGTGTTCTACACCGCTGTCTTGGGGTGGGGCTCCCCCTCCCACGCGTCCTAAAGCCTAATCTATGCAGAGAGCACATGTTCTCTGGAAGATCTTCGTGGCCTTCTCTAACCACCCCTGTTTTCATTTTATATATACATTGATCTGTATCTTAGGTATCACCAACAGAAGCTGAAGCGTTTGCATTCAACTAACAGCTTTGATAAGGTCACCCCACTGAGCAAAGCAGGACGGAAACGGAAGCGGGAAACAGGTAGCCAGCTCCCTGCTGGAAAGGCTCAGCCACAAGCAAAAGGTGCGTTTTGTATCCGCATGTCAGGATCATCGAATCAGCTCTCACTGCCAGAGGCTGGCTGGCTGGCTGGCTGGCTGGCTGGCTGGCTGGCTTGCTTGCTTGCTTATTTATTTATTTATTTATTTATTAAAACATTTATATGCCGCCCCCTTGGGGCGGCTCACAACATAGAATAAAATACACATTTTATGGGGCAGAGAAAGAGGACGGGCCATGTGGGGGAACTCGATCGGGACTTCGGACAGGCTAGATTCCCCCCAGGGCCCTGTGTTTCTGTACCCCATCCCAGAGTGAGCACCAAAAAGCAAAACCCTGTACGCTTCCAGTATAGTGGGGAACTGGCCCAGCTTGATGACGATCTCATGAGCAGTGCCCAGTATGTAATCAGTCCTACTCCCCAGTGATACTATGCAAATTAATAATGACTGTGGGGAAAAAGAGGCGTAACTGGAACATGCATTCAGCCCACAGAATCCATTGCTTTCTGGCCACAGAAGTGGGATTTCCTGAATATGGGATGTTGTTCTGCTAGCCCAATCTTTGTTGCGGTTGTTCTTGGCTCATGTGGTGGGATAAAAATCCAGCAAATATGTGCATACATATTTATATTCTGCCCTTCTCCAGTAAGGATCCCAAGGCGGCTCGCATACTTCTCTTCCTCCCCTCCATTTTATCCTCAGCACAGCCCTGTGGGGTAGGCTAGCTCGAGAGTCAGTGGCTGGCCCAAGTCCCCCAGGGTGCTCCGTGCCTGAATGGGGACTTGACGCCGGCTCTCCCGAGTCCCAGCCCAATGCTTTAACCGCTACGCCACATCGCTTCTCTGACGGTTTCTGCACCTCCCACTGTCCTTGTTTGCCACCCAGGCGTTCCCCAGGTGAAACTTCTCTGCGGGACAGATATCCTGGAGTCTTTTGAGATCCCCAATCTCTGGAGGGCAGAAGACATCCTGGAAATCGTGGCCAACCACGGCATGGTGTGTATCACCAGGGCAGGGAACCAGGCTCAGAAGTGCATCTACGAGTCGGACGTGCTGTGGAAGCACAAGGACCACATCCACTTGGTGGAAGAGTGGATCGGCAATGATATCTCGTCCACCAAGATCCGCAGGGCGCTGCGGCGGGGCCAGAGCATCCGCTACCTGGTGCCGGACTTCGTCCAGGCCTACATCGGGCAGCACAACCTGTACACTTTGGAGAGTGAAGATCAGAATGCCGGGGTGGTCCTGGCTCCTTTGCAGCGACACTTGAGGGAAGCCGCCAAGGACTGAGCCGGCGCCTCTGCGGGGCCCGAAGGGCATGGGGTGCCCTTTGAGGGAGAGCAGGGCTTGCTGATCCGTGCCAGCCTTCGGCCTCCCTCTACTGCAGTCGGATCCGCGCTTATTTTGTTTATTTATTTATTTATTTGGAATTTTTGTATGCCGTCCCATTCGCATGAGCCTCGGGACGGCTTACATACAATAAACAAACACAATACAAATAGCGCACATGAAATAGTGCGCTTGCCTTTTCCAACTGAATGCTGCCATTTGCAAGGAGACCTGCGGCAGGCAGTCGAAATGTCGGGGCCAGTGCCTCTGACGCGTCCACACGGCTGCTTTCAGTTGGGAATGGGAAGCGCACGTTTCTCTAAGCCGGGGAGAGGACCCTTGAGCTGGCAGGCCCACCGGGGCTTGCCGAAGCAGCCCTCCCAGCTCCCTCCATCCCTGGCCTGGAGGCAGCCAGAGGCGGGGGAAGAAATGGCCTTGCTGCCTCCAGTCGATACACTCCAGCCCCCTCCTTTCTTTGGGGTCTCCCCTCACGGGATGCTGTCCGCAAGGACATGGGGCAGGAGCCAAACGGAACAGGACGTGCTGCCCATGTAAGTGGGGCTCCACGGAAGAGCGATACCTATTTTAAGACGGGGCTTTGTGCAGAGGAGGGAAAAGAGGGGCGCAGCTGTAGTGAATCTGACCCTTTCCTCTTCCTGGTACTCCTGTAGATAGAGCTGCACAGACCCACCCTCTGCTCTTTCCCTTGGGAGAAGGCCCCGCTGCTTCTGTCAGGGCCTCATGCCTGAGCCAGGAGGGCTGCGATTGAAGCCACAGTGCCTTCAGACAACCACAAGCGCTCGAGTTGTCTCGAGAGATGTTGCTGGCAGCTTTGGGCAGTCACAGGCGAGGCGTTTGTGTGTGCAAGGCCGGGCTTTTCTGTTATGAGCGATCTCTCAGAACCGTTTTGAAATGCTGGATAGCTGGGCGATTAAGGCCCTGTTCTCCCAGAGATGGTCTGGGCTGTACTGTATTAGATCCGGGGCAGTCAATTGAATGCTCCTGTGTAACTTGCATGTGGAAAGCGAGCACGTCAGGGAGATAGATAGGCTAAAACCATTCTCGCTGATAGACTAGTTTTCTAAATGCAGGGTTGTTGTTCTCTTAAATTATTGAAATGGTGCAGTTGTGTAGCCCTCTCTTGTGGCCTGAGTGTATCCAGGCGCAGGCGTTAAGACAAGATCCTGGACAGGCAGCCCCTCAGCCAGGCACTGTGACCTTTTGTTTTTAGTAGCCCCAAACAGGCAGCTAACTCAGGAAGTTTCTTGGGCCTCTGAGTGCCCCACCTTTAGCCAGGTGGGTCGCAAGATATGCAAGCTTCTTTCAAAGCTGCTGCGAGTTGCTGGAGCCACTTTGCAGACCTCGGGTTCTCCCGAGATTGTGTCTTCTGAAAAAATGTGACGAAAGGGTGGAAGGGAAGATGTGCAGTTCTGAAGGAAACCAGCCATGGTGGCCTGAGCTGCCAGCTTTTTTCCCCCTTTCCTGTTTGATCTCCTGTTGTTTTGGTGTCTTAACTGGTCGTACAACCTTGGTGCAGACATACTGCCACCTTCCAGGAGCTCTTTGCAGGGTCACAGGTGCCTCTTCTCCATTCTCAGGGTCACGCGCTCTTTTCCTCTCCATCCTCCTCTTGTCCATCAATTCCTCCTCCTCCCACTTTTAGCCACCCGTCATGCTTAGTATGATGTGCTAAGCCTAACCAGTGTTTGCATACACAGTTATAACTCTGGCTGCATTAAGAACAGCACACAATATACCAGCCATGGTTAGCACTGAAAAGGAGAGTGAAGGAATAAATTCCACACAGGGGGACGGGGGGGGAGGACACACCAGAAAATGCGCCTCATCTCTTAGGATTCAAGACTATCGGGAAGGAAATTACAGAATTGATTAAAGAAACCACGAGAGCAACCATAGTTGCATATATACCCACAGTAGTAGTATTAAATGGACTGTGTGAAATTGCAAGAAACAGAAACGTAGCATTTCAGTGGATAATGTCTTGGCTGGGGTAAGAATGTGCCTTGTAATATTAAAAAATAGAAAGGAAGTCAGAATAGGGAAATTAGAATTTGTAGCCTTGCCTTCTCCAATGCAATGCCAACCAGACCTGGCATGTTTCAAGTCCAATCAGCTACCGCTTGCATAGCCAATGCTTAGGAACGCTGGGAGTTGTTCAAAATATCTGGAGGGGCTGATATCAGGGGAAACTGGTGTAAGCTGTCCTTAATAATTCACCTTTGCCTGGGCAATTATGTTTGGGGCCTTTTGATTAGGAAATAAATTGCATCCTAGAAGTATTACCTTCATGAGAACAAACATTGTAAGCTTTATTATATCTGATAAAAACAAACATAGCCAATGATCCTTTCAAATATGTTTTTGTTACATTATGCCTAGTATATAATTGTAAAGTTTTTGGAGGGTGTGTGTAGTTCTTAAATGAGTTTCTTTGTTGCTTTTTGTGAATTTCTCTTCCCCCCCCCACAATTAACTAAATATTTAACCAACGGAACAGAACTGAGCCAAGAGTCCCATGCTGACACAGAAACTGTACTTTTCTCTTCCTGTTCCACTTTATCTCAAAAAACTGCCCTTGAAAATCGTAATGCTGGTGTGTGTTCTGCATCTGATGCCAGAGAATCATGAGCCATTGTGTGATATCCCTATGCAATGTGTGAAAAATTAACCATTAAATTATCATAATCTTTTGCAAGAATAAACGGAGTGATCAACCGTGTGTGTTCCTTTTCTGGCTTGTGAGGAACATGGATCAGCTTGGAATATCAACATCTGTGACTCCCATGGAAAGGCAGGGCAGGGCAGGGCAGACTAATACTCAGGATGGCTAACAATTTGCTCGTCCCCATTGCAAATAGTCTCAATTTATTTCCAGCTTCGTTAATATCAAGATTGCATAGTTGAGCTCAACTTCTGTTTCCCACCAGGGAACGTTGATGTAGCATAGCCGAGACTCAGGGATGTAACACCATCATGCTTTTCTTAATGGGGTCGCTGATACCCTCTAACTGCCCCCCTCCCCGAGGCTCCCTAAGCACCCCAACGGGGCAACTGGTCACTGTGTGCCCTTATCCATTGCAGCTTTGATGCTGAGCTTTAGAGGAGCTCCATCGTTAAAAGAGGTCCCCACCGTAGCTCCTATGGATGTCAGAATCGGAGCTTCAATGGACAAAGGAGTCTTCAACTTCTGCTGGGCACCAAGCCCTGAGACCGACACACTGCTCTGCAGGTCCAGCTTGAAATGACGACACACCTTCCTCCTCTATTTGATTTTATCAGCACAAACCTAGACATGTTTATCCAGAAAGTACACATTGTAGAATTCAATGAGGTTGACTTGCTGGTGAGCTTAATATAGGGTTGCGGTGTAAGACACAGACTGCATGGACTTCCCGGTCACAACGTCTCGCTGGCCTTTGCGGGGGTGCCTGCTATTCTTGTCCCCCCCACCAACCTGCTGTTTGCCTTCTTATGTTCCTATTTTGGCCAGAATCCATTTCCACTCACTGAGCAAACAGAAGGCTATAAGCTCCTGGAAAAAGTGCAAAGAGACATGGCAGTGCTGCTATTTTTACTTTTAAAAAATCAAGCCCGTTCCGTTTCCCTGATCCCATGATTTGGGAACAGGAAGCGGGAAGGCAGCCCTGGAGTCTGATGGTACAAATCCACAGCCGTCCCAGAAACACGGTCAGAGGTCGAAGTCTCTCCACCATCTCCTCAACTTCTGCAGAGCTTGCTCAGTCGTTACAAGGAGCAGAGGGAAGGCTTTGCTCCCTCAGGGCTTCGCAGGAAGACCGCTCTCTGACATTCTGGAGCATCGATAAGTACACTTAACGCATGCATACAACTTTGGCAGAAGCACATTCCAGTGCAAAGGTAGCATATCCTTTTACTGATTGGGCCTTTAATTATATGTTGTATGTAGTTAATTGAGATGTAATGAGAGCAGTGTCAGTACCCACACCACAGCAGGGGTCCACCAATAAGGGTCCCCATTCCTCCTCCTCGTTGTAGCCCCCCGCCCTGCCTCTCGCTCCAGTTCAGTGAGCGGGAGACACGTGGGCGTCCTCGGGGCAGTGTCAAGGGTAAGCATAACAAGGCACTTGCCGAGGGCCCACCTGCCAAGAACTCCTGGGGTTCCTCCTCACTGTTGCTCCTTGTTCAATCACCTGTCTCTCATTTCAGTCCAGACAGCAGTGGAAGGCACTGTGGCACAGTGGTTAGAGTGCTGACTGGGACTCAAGATCCGGCTTCTAGTCCCTACTCAGCCATGAAACTCACTGATTGACTTTGAACCAGTCGCACCCTCTTGGCCTCCTCACAGGGTTGTTGTGAGGATAAGATGCAGAAGGGAAGACGCATGTGACCCACCTGGCTCCTTGCAAGAGACAGGTGAGTGGGATATAAATGTAATAATTCTAACCCTGCAGTGGTGGTGGGAAGGCGCAGCAGGAGCTGCTGCAGCTTATTAGCTGCCCGGCAGGTGACAGGCTTGGTTTGCAATTTGCAAGGAATGAATGCTAAGACTCTGGGGAAGATCTGCACACCTGAACTTCTATGGCTTTGTTGAATTGGTGCCCCAGTTCCTGCAGTAACTAATGAGAGCATGTCCCCGGTGTGGAGGCAAACACAAGTACAAAATCACGGCCCATGTACAGACACTTATAACTTGCTAGTCACATGCACCAGTACAGAGTGTTAAGTTTCCAGATAATGTTAGTACAATGGCGTCTTGATGTCTTTATGTCATAATGTTCTAAACCAATCAGAAGTACTGGTAACAATAGTACGGAAAATATTACTGATTGCTTTATTGACATGTCAATTCAATAAGCCTCTTGCAGTTTGGATTAGACTGTACCTGTTTAAAGGTGCAAATGTGTCTGATTGAGGAAAGCTGTTAATTAATAAACCATTCCAGAAAGCTGGTTTGACAACTACATTGGGCAGGTGCTTGTCTCTGTGGAACTAAATGGGTCCATTCAGACACAAATGAATGTCTTTGCCTCAGCTGATGAAAACATGCCATTTTTTCCCATAGATAGTATTAGCCTACACCAGCGGCTCAATCCAGCTAAGAATTCCATCTTAAGGGAGCAGAGATGCTGAGCAGTAACCTGTTTATTCACTTTGTTCTTACTGGCTCTAGGCTAAAACCTTTTTATTTCCCCAATATTTTAAGGTCTGATTGTCATTCTAATATGTGTTTTATCACTGGAGATTAATGGGATGCTGCATTTTATTTTATTTGGTTTGGTTCTGCTTTGCTGTCAAACCGTTCTGAGGCCTTGGAGGTGGTCAGTATAAAAATAAAAATCTCAGTTGAATGTTATCTTGCTATTGATTGATGTATTTATTAGGTATTTATCATATTATAAGCCATCCAGAGAGAATCCATATTGGACAGGATTTAAAAATATCCTAATAATAATAAAATTAGCCTGGCCTGGCATTCTGCTGCTTCCTAAGAAAGAAGCACAGGTTTGATTTTATAACACAAAAGCACATAGAACCGAACTTTTTCTACCAGGATTTATCTGAATTTTCCCCACACAGGCAAGCAAGTTTTGGGGGGGGAAATGAGGAGCAGATGAGGAGCAGGAGCTGCTGGTGCAAAGGACAGTGAGAAGGTAAACACACCCAGTTGAGGGCATCTTGCCCCAAGGGCATGCCAAAACCAACAGCTGGCCCTCTTTGATCTGAGCTCCAGCCAGGCGGCTTTTAACATCCTCACGCTGCATTGCCAATCCAGATGTTCTTACCCAAAATGGGGCCGGGAAGCAGCCTCTCTGGCCTTCCGTGACTCATGAAACAGTCCCCTTAACTCCACACACAAAGATTGCAGCCTGTGTGAACTTTCCCCTCCAAAGCGCCAGCTGAGCCTCATTTCACTCCCCCTTCCCACCTCCATCGCAGCAGGATCCCATCACCTCCAGCTGCAATCCCTTTCCCTTCATATATAGAAAGGGTCAGACGAAGACCTTCCTGCTCTTTGCCTTTGCATTATTCTTTTGGTTCTCCCTTCTGGTCTTTTCAACGATGCCTGTGGATTTCAGTGGCACCTGGAATATGACCACTAGTGACAACTTTGAGGGTTATATGCTGGTCCTTGGTAAGCAGAGCAATTTTTTTCCCTTCTGTGTTGATCAACTGGTGTATGTGGAAACAGGTCCTGTGGACAGATTGTCATTCTTTCTTTCTGGGGTACCATTTGAGGCAGTATTGGATGGGGTCTCGGAAGAGCTGTGTTCTGGAACCCCCTAAGCCATGGCATTCACTGGGTGACTTTGGGCCAGCCACAGACTCTTAGCCCAGCTTACCTCACAAGGTTGTTGCTGTGAGACGGAAATTGGGAGGAGAACAACAGTGCAGATTGCCTCAAGCTCTGTGAAAGAGGAAGAAAGGCAATGTGTGAATGTAACATAATTATAGTGAAAAAGACCAGGATAAAACAAAAGAACGAATGTAAAATTCTAATTTATGGATGTTCTAAGGTCTGTCTTCTGTGTTTAAAAGCATTCTTGCTCTTAAAGACACTCCTATTTGTAAAAAGGGGTGTACAGACAGGAGAGGAGGGAGTATCTGGTTTAAAAAAACTCAGCCAAAAAGTTTCAAGTAAAGACAGAGGCAGCAGGAAGGGAAGCACGGGTGGGTAAAAGGCTGTTAAGCCAAGGGAAAATCAGATTGTTCAGGGATCAACAGAGCCTCTGTCACTGTATTTTACCACGGTGGTGGGACAGGTGTGGTTTTAAATCACTGTGGGTCCTACTAGTGCCGGTTCTTGTGACCCTTTGGTCACAACAACCTCAGTAAGGCTCCTGTGAGCCTTCAACATACCTTAAACCCGAGCATGCTTCAGTCATGAAGCGCACACCTAAACTTTCTCTTCTCCCCCACTGCTGCTGCTAAAAACACCCAACAGCAGTAGTGGGGGCTCTGCCATGGATCCAAAAAGTCCAATATCCAAGAGATAAGCTTGTCAGATATATGTATATAGCTAAAAGTGGTTGCTCTGTAGTTTTCCTCTATTAGTCATGAGTGGTTATATTCTGTATGTTACTGTGTTGAAACAGATTACCCACCTCATTAAGGGAAAATACAACCTGTAAGTAAACACTCTATCTGTGTGTTTACCAAGAAGCTGGTTTGATTTTTTTCCCCTTACCCCTTTTTGTCTACTGTCTGACATTTATCTGTGCTATTTTAGCTATAGTACGGTCACTGTGTGTGATATTTACCATTCTTTCCTAATCTTATTTCTCTTGTGAAACCTCTGTCTGTGTAAAGGTATTGACTTTGCAACTCGTAAGATAGCAAACCTGTTGAAACCCCAGAAAGTCATAAAACAGGATGGGGACTCATTCACTATCAGCACAACAAGCACTTTCCGAAACTATTTTGTTCAGTTCAAAATTGGGGAGGAGTTCGAAGAAGACAACAAAGGCTTGGACAACAGGAAATGCAAGGTAAGTAGACAGCTAACTGGGAATACATGGACTGGGTTCACACAGCACAAGAAGCAGGGACATGGGTTAAATACAGGTTGTCACTGGATCAAGACTGACTGGTTTGGATGAACCCAGCTGTGCTGACAAACTGTTGGTAACCTGTATTTCATAATCCAACAGACCAGGGCTGTGTTTTGTGGGTTGTTGAGTTCATTCAACAACCCACAATTCAAGAACAACCTGTACTCGGGCTCATTGTGTTTCACAAACCCCGCCACTCTCTCACCTAGGCTTGTGGATAGTATCAGAAAACATTTTTCTGGTGCCAAGAAAGAACCTTTATTTTTCCAAGATGCAATTTTCATTGATTTAATTGCTTCCCTCAAAGCTTGTTTTTAATGTGTGATGAGTCACCCTAAGCATATTTGATGAACAGTGTTTAGATCAGAAAAGATGCAAGTACCCAAACTGCATTACTGTGTTTAGATCTTTGCCCCACTGCTTAGATCTTTTATGCAAGTTCTAAACTTAAAGGTTTTTAATTAGGTTTCACTGTGTTACATTTTATAGTTTCAAACTTGGTTTTGTGAATTGCCCCGAGAGCTTTGGAGACGGGACTGTGTAAAAATATTGGTTTACTATCTTTAGACCACCCAGTAGTGGAAGTTTTCAGGCCAGTAAGCTAGCTTGCCAGCTGGCTGTGGGGTGAATTACGCTTGAATACTGACTTCCTCCTTTCTTCCCCACCCTTCTCCCTTCAACCCCAGAGTGTGGTGACCTGGGATGGTGACAAACTTGTGTGTGTGCAGAAGGGAGAGAAGAACAACAGAGGCTGGACCCACTGGATTGAAGGAGATGAGCTGCATTTGGTATGTAGTCACAGGGTCTCTTTCTCAGGCGGTGGGATGGAGCCCTCCAGGTGAGAGAAATAGTCTAGGTGCAGGGTGGGGTTTTATAGCAATGACGCAGAGCTTTTTTTAAATGGGAGGTCATTGATTAGCTGTATCTATCCTTTCTAATTGCAGAACTGAGATCCGAGTGATACACAAGGAGTTTCTTTCTGGTTTTTCTGCTAAATAGCAGAGTATGTAATTGCCTAGGTTCGGAAAGCCAAGACTTTGCTCTCCTTTGATATCCAGATAAACCAGCCCTTGGCTCTTTGGAGTAAAGCCCATATATGTAAACAAAGCTAGCAGGCACCTCTTTGGATGCCTGCCAAGCTCCTTATCCCAACTGATTTTTATTTTACTAAAGTTTTTAATTCTGAGGATGGCTCACTGCAAAACAGTGCTGCCCCTTTAGGGCCGTCTTCATTTAGGTTCAAAAGAAGGGTTGGTTGTGTGTCTTGATACTCAGGCTCAAATGCTTCCTTGTACTTGGCTTCTTGGGCAGACTTATTTAGCTTCACTAGTTACCTTCTGAAAACAAGCATTTTGTATCTGGCCATGCCTACCATGGGAGCTATGATTGTGAATGGGTAAGCTACTCACATGCCTTCCATTTTGTGGGAGTGCCCACAACACTTTCGACATTCCGTCTGTCTCCAGCAACCCCCTGGCTTTAATTACTGTCCTCAGAGGTTGGGCACCGAAAATACCTGTTTCTGTGCAATGTGTCCTCTCCTTTGTAGGAACTCCGTTGTGAGAACCAAGTAAGCAGGCAGGTCTTCAAGAGAGCGTGATGCAGAAGCAGTGACATCCCGAAGGAAACCACGGCTGGGATCCTTGCACAGGAGTGCTCCTCTATAGCACAACCTTCCCAGCTGCCATCAGCTTCTTAAATTAAGCTTTGTTTCCCTCATTACTCGTTATAATAATAAAACACTTTCAAGTGATGTCTGGGATAAATTGACTGCTCCTGGTGCTTAATATGTACTAGTTTCATTAAAGGTAGCCGTTAGCAATGCTGCTTTATTAAAATATCGTATTTTCCAGCGTGTCCTTTTGGGCTTTTAAAGCTTGTCTGCACGAGTTGGGACGAGGAATAGAGTCTGAGAAGGGCTATTGCGGGAGGAAAGGCACTCGCATAAAACAGATCTTGGGTGCGTGAGACTAGAACATTGAACTGCTAGTCTGTGGCCACGAGGTGGCGACTCTGCGCCATACAAAAGAGCAGCCGCATCCCTAGATTTTCGGAGCCCGGTAGCTCTTTTCATGGGAGAAGTCAGTCTTATTTGAACTCCCTTTTGAGCTGCTTCTGGGTTTTATCCTGCTCCAAAATTAAAGTTTCAAGTAAAACCTTGTCCCGCTTTGCAAGAGGAGGTGTCCAGTGCCAGCGGAGGTGTAGTTATTAAACAAGCACACCGGTTGCCTTCGAACAGGCTTTGACATGTTTTAAAAATGCTGGGAAGGGACACCCCAAGAAAGCATGCAGCCTTGAGTTTTAGTGCTGCTTTTTCAGTGAATGCCAGCATACAGGATATCCTGCTCCACGTTAATGGATGAGCTGGCATCAACCCGTTTCACTTCAGAATGATAGCACTGGGGTAGGACTGTGTTGGTTCAGCCAACAGGTTGGGAAAGACATAACTGAATGCCCACCCATCTAAAAGCCCCAAGATTAAAATTAGGCCAGGTAAGCCTCTAACAAGCATGGTTTTATATCCTTTTAAGCTTATGAGGGACTGAAAAGGGTGTCCCAGGTACTGTCTTGGAAGATGCATTGCTCATCCAGTCTCTCTCAGCGAATGCCTCTTCCAAAATGCTTCCTGTGGTGCATTAGGCGCATGTTAAAAAGCAAAGTCTGCCATGTCCACCTCTTTAGAAAAATAATTTCGGTGAAAGACTCTTTAGCTGGGGATAAGCTTTTATGGACCAGATGTTAGTGCAACCGCAGGTATCTTCCAAAATGCCTTGCCTTGACAGCCCTAAGTGAAACAGTCCTCTTGAAAGTATTAATATTCCAAGTTTAATATGGATTGGCAGGAGATGTTTTACAAATGAACTCCAATTTTAATATTTTGATTTTAACATTGGACAACAGGATGATTACTGATCTAAATAGTCCAAGTCTGATACGGATGGTGAGGTGTAAATGTCTTGATATTATTTTAATCATTAATTGGCATTAAGGTTAATGCGATGGAGACATTTATATGGCATTTTCTGATTTTAAAATCAAACTCAAAGTGGTTTGTACGTATTAAAATGTCCTAGAGAAGAAATCCTGCCTCTCCCAATTTGCCCCCAGACAAGCTGCTCCTCCCGGTCTTTTCTTTCCCCTTTCCCGCCTCAGCAAAACCACCTCCCCTTCTTCTCGCGTGTCTCGCTCCGCCCCTGTTGCTATGGCACACCCAAACAGGCGCCCGTTTCCCCCAATTAGGTCGCAAGGTTTTGCATAATAGTAACAGTAAAGCCCGCCCAGTTTTTTTTCCTCGCAGGCACTGGAAGTGGGCGGGGACGACCGCTTCCGCCCCTCCGCTGCGATTGGCCGCTGACGGCGCGTTCTCGGGGATTGGAGCTAGATCGCCTCGTCCGCCTCTCCTCCACTGCTATTGGCTGATGTTCGCGCGCGCGAGAGAGGAGGCTGGTGGGGAGGAGTAGGAGCCCTCCTCCCCCCTTTCCTTCCTTCCTATTGGCTGGCGGCCTCACGCGCACGCGTGCTGCCTTCGGCGTCCGCGCTCACTGCGAGCTGCATACACGCCCAGCGAGAGAGCGGCGGCGGCGGCGGCGGCGGCGGAGGAGGAGTGGAAGGAGGAGAAGGGGGAGGGAGGTCACGTGATCCGATGCCAAGATGGCCGCCGCCGCCTTCTTGTTTTGATGAATAATCTCTGTGTGAGGAGACGGAAAAGACTGAGGGAAAGTCAGAGGGGCGCAGTTTGTATTGGGGTGTGTCTTGTGCGTTGCTGAGAAGGGCGAGGCCAGTCCTTGGCGTGTCTTTTTAGTTTGGTTTTATTTTTACAGCCTCCAGTCTCTTCTGCAGCTTCAAGCCAGGCACCTGGAGGCTTCAAGGGGTTGGGGGGTGGGGAGGAGGTGGCTGAGGAGATTTGAGGGGTGGGGAGCAGCTAGTAAACAAGGGTCTTCGAGGCCTGTGGGTCCTGCGGTAGGATAGCTGGCAGTTGGGGCTGTATTTTACAGGAGCCAATAGTCAGTTGGGACTTCTAGAGGAGAAGAGATTTATCTGTGTAATCATCTATATGGGACTAATAGGGTTTCTGGGATATTCAGAAGGTAGTCCGGGATTGGGGAGAGGTGGGAAGCGACAGGGCTTCTAGGATACATGGTGGGTGTTGTGCAGTCTCAGACTTGGGATAGGAAGAGGAGAGTGCGCTGTAGACTCTCTGGGGTAAAAGGAGATACTGTGTTCACCCAGTTGTGCCCAGCTTTAGAAATTATAGGAGGTGGCAAGATAATAAATAGCTGCTTGCTTGTTTGTTTTTAGCTCATACAGGAATGAGCCCTCTAGTGTGGCTTTAGGATATACAAGGAGACCGCACTAGATTCTCGGGGCTCTGCTGGAGGCAGCTTGGGTCTCTATAATATAGGAGGCAGTTAGGGTAGTCTGAAAGGGGCATCTGGATTGTGGAGAAAGGGAGGTCAGCCCCTAAGGGAAGAACACTAGCCAGGACCCTAGGGTGTTGGACAGGGTCCTGTGGAAGGCAGACTTCAAAACTGGGGCTGAGAAAAAACAAAAGGCAGCAAGGCCTGGTGGAGCTTCAACTTTCAGATACGGTTGGAGTGAGTTGTGTATGTCCTATTGATGTTCCTTTAGTTGACTTGCAAAACCGGGAGCAGGAAGTTCTGTGTGCCCAAGGCGAACGTGGTGCTGCTCTTAACCTCTGACTATGCAATTCTGAGACATCCCTAGGGAAGGAGGCAGCAGGACAGGAATTCCCTGAAATACTCTTTCTCCTGCAAGCACGCCCCTCAAGGGAAGTACAGAATCCCCCCTTCCCCAAACGCCTTTCACCATTAAGAGGAAAACAATGGAGGAGCTGAGCGCTGATGAGGTAAGTTTGGGATTTCTTGTCTTGGGTAGTAGGTGCCTTGAAAGGGTGGATGGGTAGTTGAATGTGCTACAGGTAAATACCTATTCAGTAGAAGTATTTTAGTGGATATTGAAATATTTTGGGTACAAGAGCTGTGCCCTAGCATCCTTTGCCCTGATATCACCAGGTCTAGATCAATATTTTGCTGTATTGGAAAAGTAGTAGTAATAGATTTTCCTGTGTTTTTTCTTCTTTTGGATGCATCTCAGCCTGCTTAATAAGACTGCAATTACCTAGAGGGTGGGGATATTTTAAGTCTTGGTTTCTCAATAATTGTATGTTTATGAGGTTGCAGGAACTTGTAAGAAAAGGCAATGTTTAAAGCCCAAAATTGGCAATATTGTTGGTGTATGCTTGAAAAGGACTGGATGAAAGGATACTGATAACAAAGGGATAGATAAGTGCTTCCCTGCATTTTGTGCTTTTTCTTCTGAAGCATCTATAGAGAAGATGCTATTGACCACTGATGTGGCCTTTCATAACTGTTTCTCCTTTTGTCTGAGTTGCCAGCGGAAAGGTGTTATGTAGGACTCGTGTCTCTTAACATGAAGTCAGGTGAACAGGAAGACACTTTTTCAGCAGCTGGCTTTGGCCTCAGGTTCTGAGTTATACATTTTGGCAGATGAAAGAGACCATGGTATGAGCAGCAATAGTATATTTGTTAGCCTTTAAGGTGCCACAAACCTTTTTGTTTTTGCTGCAGTAACTGCCCTCTGAATATTGTGATTCAGGGCATGATTGAGAAGTTGTTGAATGCTTTAGCGGTGAGATATTCTTCAAAGTACTTCCTGCCTTACTAACAAGATGTCCTGAGTCTTACTAAGACCTGGTATAATTTCTATAGTTTTAAACATTTGATGAGTAATTACAACAAGGACATATTTTCTGCCATCCTGTCCCAGCCTTTCCTGACCTTATCTTTCCGCCATTGCTGTGGTGGCATATTTCTAAAGCCAAATATAAATAGGCGAATGCTGGATAATGGTGCTCAAGATTACGTGATCAATTACTTATAACTAGGATTTGGCTGAAGGCAGTTCTCTAGATGTTGGGGCATCAAGCTCCTAGCAGGCTGGCTGGCACTCAAGAATGCTAGGAGGAGAAGTCCAAACATCTGGATATTGCCTTCTGTTCACCCCATCCCATCCAGATTGGTTGCATGCTTTGAACATGTTTATAGCTGTGGGTGGTGCTATAGCAGTTCAAAGCAAGGTGTGTGCCCCATAGTTCAGTGCAGGTGAGAACCCTCTGAGGGCCTAGGCTGGATGCTCTAATAATTTGCCATAAAGCAAGCTTTCCTGGAACGAGCAGTCACTGTATATTTAGTATAGATGCTTTTCAGCTTTAATGATTTATTTATTTCATGTAAAGCTTTTATTTCCCACCCTTCACAATGTCTCAGGGAGCCTTGAGGCACATCTAAGCACTCTGGGCTGCAGCATAAATGAAGCTGAGCGAGCTCAAGGACTGGCTCGCATCACCCCCGTAGTGCAGTAGTTTGCCTTTATATAATTTTATGGAATTGTGATTGTTTTATTGGTTTTAATTGTACGTTGGTAAGCCGTCCCGAGATGCCAAGGCATGTGGTGACAGCATATAAAAGTTTTAAATAAAATAAATAAATAAAATCTGATATTCTAGGATTTCCTGGAACTCCCCTCATGCCAGCTAATAGTGATTGCCGTAATTTACCTTCTTATTTATTTATTTATTTATTTATTTATTTATTTATTTATTTAGGGGACTTCTATGCCGCCCCATTCGCCGAAGCCTCGGGGCGGCTCACAAACCATAAATAAATAGAATTCAGTAAAACAATATAAATTAACAATATAAATATTCCTGTTGCCTTGGATACTGCCCAGTTTCTAAACCATTACTTTCAAACTGAAATTTGCTATTAGAAAAATAAGTAAAGCAAGTGATAAAACGCAAGCAGTGTGCCATTAAAAAAAAAATGCTAGGTACGATCAGACTAGAGAAGGTACAGTGAAATTCCCAAGTTTTTATTTGATTCTGAATGGGAGGGAGTGTACCAGTGTCACGTAAAGCAGGACAGTATTCAGTACTTTGGAACCACCATCAAAGTAAGTCTTGTTCCTCGTCAGTGACAGTCTAAACCTTCTAACTGGGACATAATGGGACAGGTCCTGAGTACCTAAGGCTGCATACCTGTAGGTAAGTCTCACTGAGGTCAATAGGATTTACTTCCATAAAGATATGCATTAAGGTGGATTCTTATTTAGACCAGAAGGATAAGTTACTTTGTTTTGATTTCAGGATTAGTTAGTACCAGGCATAGATTCTAGTTTACTAGTTTCCCAGTTCAGATACTGGGGACATGGAGGGCTTAGGCAATCCAGGAAGCAGAAGAAGGAATTAGTGAGGGGCAAGAAGATATGTGTAAACCTATGACACATTTCTGTGTTTGTAGAGTTAATAACATCTGAATTGACCCATAGAAAGTGTCGCCTCTATTTGTTTATTTCTTTTATCTGCTGTGTATGTGTGTTCATAAAGGGAACAACTCTACATGTTATCCACTCTAATGTTTACTAGCAGTAACTATAGAAACTTAATTTCTGTAGTTTACAGGGGAAGCCTTCGCTGGGTTATAAGCTTTAAGAACTGCAGGGAAATAGAGTATTCCTTTTTTCAAAATGATATCAGGCTGTGTCATGTGCCAAAGGGAAGCACTGGCTTTGTTTCCATGGATTAGGAAGCGAGAAAGTTTGGGTGGTAATAATGCAACATAAGAGTGATAGTAGAAACAATGGTTGGTTCGTAAACTCGGGAAAAATGTGTGGATGCGTGTGTCAGTCTAGGCAGTCGTGCTGGGGAAGGAGAGCAAGTAATATACACAGTGAACTTCTTTTGTGCTGATTTTCCACATGAACCCGTTGGTGGGGAAAACAAACTTCACCTGTTGCAATGCATCTTGATTCGCACGAGTTGTAGGATTTCACTCTTTCCCTACCAACAGTGCTTATCAGCTTTCTGCAGTCTGGTTCCTGGCAGATAAGTTTAGCGGCAACTAGTGGTTTGATCCAGTTGGCATGGCTGCCTGGAACCTGTTGGGAATAGTAGTGTGCCACATCTGGGGGGCGTCAGGTTGGGGAAGGCAGCTGTACAACCTCATTGATTGACTCTTGGACCAGTGGTTGGACTGCAGAACAAACTCAACCAAGTTAAAGTTTTCTTCCTAAGAAGAAAGTTTTAGAGTTTGCTAGGTGGATATCTGTCTTCTCCACAAACTGGGTAAATGAGCCAGTGTGATGTAGTGGTTAAGAGCCTGGACTGGGACTCAGAGGATCCGGGTTCGAGTCCCTGCTCAGCCATGAGGCCACCTGGGTGACTTTGGGCCAGTCACAGACTCTCGGCCCAACCTACCTCACAGGGTGGTTGTTGTGGGGATAAGATGGAGGAGGAGAGGTAAGCTGCCTTGAGCCCTTTGTTGGGAAAAGGCAGGATATAAATCGAAAAATAAATAAATAAAAATGAGAGATAAAGTGGTGATTGCAGTTCAGTGTCAATTACAGAAACTTCAGTGATACACCTTAGCTTGAAAAAATGAAATCTAAATTTCGGATGTACTATGAATCAGTCTGAGCCCATAGTTACTTATCAGGAAAGAAATCTTGGTGTCTAGCCTAAGCAGCCTGATGAAAACGTTGCCCCAGTGAGCTGCAGTTGTGACAAGGGCAAGTTTTATATTGGGCTGTTTAGTTATAATTAGGGAAAGGATCAGAAAGAACACTGCAAATGTCAGCATAATATTTGTGTTGTAAGCCGCCCCGAGGCTTCGGCAAGGGGCGGCATAGAAATGTTATAATAATAATAATATCTGTATATGAGTCTGTGGTGTCGCCACCCCTGTAATACTGTATGTATTTTTGGTAGCCAAACCTCAAAGGATATTTTGTAGAACTAGAAATGTTTCAGAAAATAGCAACCAGAATGATCGGGGGGGCTGAAGCAAGTACCCAAGGAGGGACAGCTTTTAAATTCTCAAAAAAGCCCCTAGTGCTGGAAGAACTTCTACATTAAAGAAATCTTCGTGTTGGTCAATAGCTTGATGAAAAAGTTGTTCGAGCTGCCCCTGCAAAAAGGATAAATTTGTGAGGAGCCACTGTTGGCAGTACTCGGCTAGATGGACCAGTGGTCGGAGGCATGGGGCCTGTTCGCGCTTTGCACTCCTAGCATGCCGGGTTAATCAGGCCCCAAAGTTTAGTGGGGCCGATCGGAGGCTCATTTATATATTCAAACTACAACCGTGGCTTGTCATGTTACGCAAACCTGGTTAGCAAAGCGCCCGCAACCCATGCTGTGGTGTTGAGGTTGAGATCTCAACCATGCCAGTGTTCTGCTCTCACTGCCTTTGCGTAGCGTAACAATCCACAGGCATGGCCTGGATATACAGAAGCCGCCTGGTCCGTGATGTGCTATGGTGATCGTGTGAAGCATATTGCTGTAGAGCAGCTTCCGTGTTTCCCGGCAGTAGCAACTTCAGGGCAGGCCAAAAAAGATGCGTCGTTACACTGTGGAATTCTCCACTATGAGACGTCATGATGGGCCTTTTTAGCTTGGGTGGCTTTTGCAAGGGGTTTAAACCAATGGATAGAGGGCACATTCATGTATAGCCAGCAGTGGGTGCCGGGGGCACTACGCCTACTGGTTTGTGAGGAGCTGAAGCTGGAGAGTTCTCTTGCTGGCCTCTCTCTTTGCGAGTATTTTATTTGCCGCTGTGAGCAATAGGTTGCTGGGATAGATGAGCATTTGGTCTGATCTGGCAAGGGTGCCCGTGTGCTCTTAGTCACTTGTATGATTGCTGGCCCTCGTACCAGATATTACTACATTCTTGTGGAAATTACGCTGAGATTGAGTGCAGTGAGCAGTTAAATTCTAGAACTGGAACTGGGGAGTTCTGGGTTCCACCCTTCACTAGGCTCAGCCGCCGACTCAGCTTAATCTACCCCATAGGGTTGTTGTACAGATAAAAAGAGGGCAGGAGGACCATGCCATGGTCCATTCCAAGAGGAGTAACCGCAGGGTATAAACATACAAAAGTTAAGAAACATCTTACAAACCTGTCAAAACCAAAGTGACCCGGCAGCATATAAATCATGTGTCATTTGTAAAGAAAAGCATAATATAAAGTTGAGTTGAGTAACTGGGTTTCTTGGTATGAAGAAGTGTACTTGGTTTTGTGTTTGCAAAGAAAATGCTTTGGGAGTTTTAACAGAACACAGTACGCAGAGCACTTTCACAGCAGTGAGCGTGAGTGGATTGCTTTTATGGTCCCTTTGCAGTGTGGTGCGTTTCTGTGTCGCTTGCGTACTCCGGGCCTCTGTGAAGATCGTATTGCAACAAGTGACATGTTTATGCAAAGTCATCTGATATAGTCCAAAATATCAGGATGCGTTCTGGTGATGTGCGGGGACAGTATAACGATTTGGCAATCCTCTGATGTTGCAACAAGGAAAGGCTGTGGGGAAGAAGGGTGCTACGAAGGCTTTGGCAGGAAGGGTTGCAGTTGGTCAGGCAGTGATGGTGATGGAACGGGGAGGGGCTTCACTTTTGGTAAGTGTGCTAGTGGCAACTGGAAGAGTAGGGCTATGCTTGCTGCTGGGTGGGGTCCCAGGAGGGGAATTGTGAAAGATTTGAGGTTGGCTCCTTCCCTAGAAGCTGGATTATATGATGCTAATGTACATTACTGGCACCAAAAATGCTGTGTCATGAAGCTGGGTTATACAACATACAGAATGTTATCTGTGGCAAGGACTTGACTAAAGTGTTAATTAAGTTTATTCAAGCTCCTCCCTCCAGAATAAAAAAACATATCATTGCTTGCAAAACAATCCAGCCACACTGCAGCTCTGCAGGAATACTTTGCTGTCACTTGAGTCAGATCTCACTCTGTTTTCTGTCTCTGTCAGGGGTCAGTTTTTCCTCTTGCTTGTACAAAGACATCAGGCTTGGGGAGGGGAAAAACGCTTGCTTGTGAGAGGGATGTAGTCGTCCCAAGTGATTAGGGAAGGAAGATCTTTTTAAAGAGGATAATAATGAAATCCCCTTTGGGCTTGCACTATGCTACCAATGACTTAGATTGGTGTACTGTGGTGTCCCTCAGTGTTGTGCCTACTGGATGCTTTGGCCTACACCTCCCAAAATTTCCAGCCAGCTGCTGGGAACTCTCGTCCAACATACCGAGAAGAAACCAGGTTGGGAAAGACTGTGGCACAGAGACAAGCCCTGTGGACCTCTTTGCAAACATTTCCCCAGCTCTTTATGACACAGATGCAGAAATGTAAAACAGAATTATTCTGTATGTTTCATGCATATTCTTTATTTCTTCTGACCCTCAGGGCAGTGCTAGTAAGTTTTCCAGGGAGTGTCTTATCTGCTTGTGAGCAGAGCAGCTTAGTTTCGGAAAGGTGGTTGCCTTCAGACTTGAATCACACAAGCAGTGCACACACATTTTCAGCGCTGCATTAGAAAGAACCATTTTAAAAGGACATTGACTTCTTACTGCAGAAGGCATGGGAACTTTGCCTCTCACACAACTGCAGCGAAATAAACCCGAGCAAAGTTGTCGCCAGAGCTTTTTGCAGAGCCAGGGAATTGGCAACCAATCCAGAGCTGCCATTCTTAGGTAGGCACGAAAGGGCCATTTCAAATACTGAATGTAAGAAGTGGAGGAGCAAATGCAGTACTTTCCTAAATAGGCTTCATTGATGGCTCCATTCAATGCCTGGTTTAAGTCAAATCATTTTAACATTGATCTCCACAGGCCAAAGCTTATGGATTAGGAAAGAGAGCAAGGAGGAGTTTATGTCTGTTTGGGAGAACACTGGGATTCCTTAAAGTAGGGGCAAAGGGCCTGGTGCAGCCATATGTTTTGGGCTATAGAACTCCCATAAGCCCTAGCCTACATGGCCACCTTGAAGTGGCCAGGTTGCCTGCATCTACTTTAAAGGTTTATTGGGGCTTCCCTGCTGAGAAGATCAGGCGTGGTGGACAGGCTTCTTTGAAGGATAGTTTGTCCTGCTGGTAGCCAACGGCCCTCTAAAATGCTCAGTTGCTAGGAAGTTTTGAATGGGCTTTTGGGGCGCATTTCTGTGTGCCGAAGGGTCTCTGTGAGCTGTGCATTCACCGTGAAATGCCCCCTGGAATCTTTTGCAAGGGGCAGCAGTTGGCTTAGATGTTCATCTGGAAAGCTGTGCTTGACTTGCTGAGGAAGAGGTAGGAGATCCCTGTTGTGTTTCTTCCTGCTTTGAGCCACATCACGGTCTCGTGTAGCTTTCTAAAAACTGCAAAAGGACCTTTGCTATAGCCAAAGTGGCTGGGCTGCTAGTGTTGTAATTTGAACACTACTGGACTGCGACCCTTGTCCTCCTTGACCATTGGCCATGTTGGCTGGGTCTGCTGGAAGTTGTAAATCCAAAACATCTGCAAGGCATCGGGTTACCTTCTTTGCCCTAAAGTGCAAGCCCTGAAAAATAAGGCTGTAAAATTAGATCGACTGGATGTGGATGATGAACTGTGGTCCCCAAAGCAGACCATGAGTTGCGTGAGGGACAGCCTCCCTTGCATAATCAATATTTGCCAGATTTGGGTGACGGAGCACCCCCTGGGCAGGGGCTACCTATTCCAAAGGTGGCCATGCATGTCCCACACCCACTGCAGCCTCACTCTGTTTTAAATAGCCCAGAGTGGGCGGTAGTGTCATGCAAAAATCCCACTGGACAGCTGCTTGGTTCACACATAAGCCAAACTGTGCTTCTTTTAACCTACAGTTTGTTACTCTACAAAGGCTTGGAACCTAATTCACCCATCATTTCAACCCACGATTTTGTTGCTTTACCCAGGGGTAACCCACAGTTTCACTGCCAGGTGAACAAGCAAAGCACTGTCCTTTGACTGTCCAGCTTAAGAAGACAAAGGATGCTTTGGGCAGCTTCACCTGTCCAGTGGCAGAAGGCCTGCACTCAGCAAAATTGGTTCCTGGCAGATGCAGCCACCTGTCGCACCTGTGACATACCAAATTCTCAGGCAGCCCAGCCCCAGAGGGCTGGCGGGGTGTCATTCTGGCCCAACACAGGCTTTGTGTCCATACCTTACAGGTGGGATGCTTGAACAACCTGTTAGTGATGCGCTTCTTTTCTTTCCTCTCATCATATCAAAATGCATTGCCCTTTCCCAGGAAGGATGCATTTGAACCAACATGAATTGGAAATGAAATATTCAAAAAGTTCATTCTTGTGCTTTGGTATATAGCATGGCCTTGGCAAAGCTGAAGCACTGCTCTGTGTAAACAAGCTTGCGAAATCCAGGTTTTGTGGACCTGGCAGAGAAGACGACTTCCTTAAGATTGAGAGGAAGGGAGGATGACGCTGACCTTACTGCTTAAGGACACTGGAAGAACCTGCACCATTTCTAATTATAGTATCCCATCTGAGCAGTGAAATGAACACTGTACTCTGTTTTCCACATGTTCTCTATCAGTTTCCGGGAAAATGTTCTTTGGAAATCTCTTGGAATGGAAAGGATAGAAGTCCAGGTGGCAAATCACTGCAATGTTCAGAGGTCTGCTAAATTGACAGAATGGAAGCATGTTATTTTTGGATGGGGAGAGCCTCAAACATTTATCAAGCAACAACTCTGGTCATACGCACCAGGTCAGGGTGGGTGGTGACACGGTTAACAAACCACTCACAAGCAGCCCGTGAGTTGTTCTAGGGTTCCAAGGGTTTCTTCGTAATGGAAGATCAGCATCCCTGGTATGTAGGACATGCGCCTGATTCAGCTGAATAAACCTTTCCTGTATCTTAAGTGTGTTGTTTAATTCATGGTTCTTCTTCCTGGACGTTGTTTTATTGTTGATGGTCTGTAGGATTAAAATTGCAAAACAAAGTGCCATTTCAATATCTGCTTTTTTGTAGATCCGTCGAAGGCGTCTTGCCCGGCTTGCTGGTGGGCCATCTTCCCAGCCTTCCACTCCACTTACATCTCCACAAAGGGAGAACCCACCAGGACCGCCTGTGGCAGCACCGTCCCCTGGCGCACCCCACAGCCTTGGGCTAAATGTTCACAGCATGACTCCTGCTACCTCTCCGATAGGCGCGTCAGGTGAGCAGGTCTAATTTTTAATGTATCGCTCTCCTGCGCACACATGCATAAGGGACCTTATACCCCGGGACTGAATCAAACCCTTCCGGGACTGCAGCCTCTGTTCCTTTACCTCTAGGTGGTTTCCTGCCTTTTGTGGCATTACCCTCCAAAGGCTTACTTACTGGCAGAAAACGCCTTAAGATACAAAATGCCACAAAATTTTTGTGTTTTGGTTCCATCTTTATTTAGTTTTGGCCTGCCACCAGAACACAGCTCCCAAGAACTTCTCTGAAATTGAATTCAATCATCAGGTTTAAACTACCCAATAGCCCAACTTCTCTGGGCAACTTACAATTTTTACAGTATAAAATACAATCAATAAAACAATGAATGAAAACCGTACGTAATAAAACAAAAGCAAAACCAGTATCAAAGCCTGAAAACACTCCGATTAAAGCCAGTGTGAAACAGCAAGAAATATCCCATGTACATAATAAAATGAATGTTGGGGTCCCTCTGATTTCAAATGGTACCTTCAGCCCTGGTGTGCATGGATGCATTGTTTGGATTCTTAATTTAGAATCTCAGTTTGCTAGGAATAGTCCAGATACTGAGTTCTCTTTTACTTTGTGGAAATGTAAAGCATGGTTTACTTACGCTTTCCCCAACCTGGCGCCATCCAGATCTGTAGGCCAAGACGTCCCCTCAGTCCCAGCCAGCAGGGCCGTTGGTCCAAGAGTGTGTGTGCTGGGCAGGTCAAATAATGTAATGCACACCAGTACCATGCCTATTAATTTTCCTTTGCTCTCCTGCCTTCCCCCTTGATCTGCACGTGTGCAGTTTAGTTAATGCACTGCTTTGCTGCCGCCACCGTTAAACTCTGATCATTGACCTTGTGACTGAGGGGCAATATAACAATAAAGAGTTACTTTTCGTGTTTGAAGCAGCTCAGGTAACACAAGTACAACCACTCCCTTATCTGTTTGCTTCGAGAAGTCAGTTTGTCTGGCCTACTCCAGTGCCGAATACAATATCGTTCATGCCCCCCGGAGAGGGGGAAGATTGTCATTTAAACTAGTGATTAGGCGCAGTTCTAACTTCCTGAGTCGTCTTCTGAACTTTGCCAGAACTGGATAATATAAATGTTTCATTGCTTGGCAGGCAGCATGTAGATTGGGAGGGGGCAGCAGGCTGATGTTTCTTTTTCTGTGCTTTGCATTACTATTATGGGCTGGCCTGATGGTAGCAGGTTCTTTCAATTTCAATTGATTGTTCACAGTTACAGATCGATCATTCATGGATTTTTTTTTTTTTTTTGTGCACTGGAGGAAGAGGGAAAGTTTCTAATCCTGATGTTAAAGTCACTGGAGTCCCCTGATATGTCTGACGTTTTCAGTTTCTTGCCTACTTGAGAGAACAATAGTTCAGGGATCACAGGATGTGTGGGGGGTCCCCACTCTAAAGCCATAGGCACTACTGCAACCTTGGGAAGCAGAGGTCAGGATCTGATCCCTCCTTCTGTCCCTGAAGGACCTGATAGCCAGTAGTCAAGAACACCGGCAGTCGTCGTCCACATCATCTGGAGGGTCCGGAGGTGGGGAGGAGGCTGGCTTGCAGCGATCTCAAGGAAACACACAGCTGGCCGGAACCCTGACTGGGAGCACTACTGTTGGGGGATTCAGATTTTGTTCTGGGTCTTCTCTCCCTCCCTCTCCCCCACCTCTCCCTCCCTCGGGGTATGTGTGTTTGTGTGTATGTTTCAGGATGTGCTTAACATTCCACACATGTAATAACCCCATTTTTCTGATGTCTTCCCGGAAGGTGTAGCCCACCGAAGCCAGAGCAGCGAAGGTGTGAGTTCGCTCAGCAGCTCTCCATCGAACAGCCTCGAAACACAATCTCAATCTCTCTCCCGGTCACAGAGTATGGATATTGATAGCGTCTCTTGTGAGAAAAGGTAAACAGGATTTCGTCTGCTCTCTGGCGCAAGGTGGTCTGGTTTTGGGTTCCCTCTCTGTGCTTGTGTTGCCTTCGCGGGAGCTGCGTGTGCCGTTTCTGCCCTGGCCGGTGGGTTTAATGGAGCTGCTTTGCCGGCTGCTGATGACGAGTTAGAACTGATTTTGGCCGATTAGGCAGGGTTGTTGTTGCTGTGTGCTGTCACGTTGCCTCTGACTTAACGGGCATCCTGTGAGTGAAAGCCTTCCAAAATGAGAGCCAGTGTGGCGTAGTGGTTAAGAGCACGGGACTGGGACTCAGAGGATCTGGGTTCGAGTCCCCGCTCGGCCATGGAGCCAACTGGGTGACTTTGGGCCAGTCACAGACGCTCAGCCCAACCTACCTCACAGGGTTGTTGTTGTGGGGATAAAATGGAGGAGGAGAACGATATAAGCTGCCTTGAGCCCTTTGTAGGAAAAAGGCAGGATATAAACCGAAACATAAATAAAAATAAAAAATAAAAATGACCCATCCATGACAGCCTTGCTTGGCTGTTCAAAATCCAAGTCTCTGGCTTCCTTTGTGGAGTCAATCCATCTCTTTTATAAAGCCAGGGCACCTTTACGAAGGTAAAGCAGCTTTGTAATTTTGGGGCCTGAAATACCAGACATAGGTAGGGAGGCAGGCTAGTAAGGAAATTCTGTTTTCTTGTAGCTTTTCCTGAATCATTAGGCTGTTTTGAGTTGCTTCTTCCTAAAAGCTTTGATTAGCAACTGGTTTTATCAGTGGGTGCCAAAATAGCCCAGGGCTGATAAGCCGAGATCATGTCTACCTACCTCAAAGTAACCTGGCAAATTTAGTTAGAGCTACCAGATAACTCCCCTCCAATCTCCACATTGGTAAATGGAGGTCATGTGCCATATTGTCTGTTGGGGGCAGCTTTGCCATTGGGATGCTATTTCCTGACCCCCCCAGTTGGGGATGTGTGAGGACGTGAATTTCAGCTTGTTTCTGAACAGGAGTTAACTAGTTCACACCCCCAGAATTGAGCAAAGTCTTGGAACCAGCAGACACAGTCAATAGGTTTCCAAGCTCACTGTAAGGTTTGCAGTCGCAAAAGCATTTGGCCACATGGGCACATTTACAAAATGCACATGAAAATATGTAATCTTCTGAAAAATGTGCATAAAAGGTGGGGAAAGAATACATTTGTTTCAAAGATAGACAGAATTAATACATGTACCTGGTAAAATATGTGGGTGGGGGGAGAGGTACCCCGTGCAAATCTCAGTTTTGCATTCCAGGCAACTCTAAAATGGTCTCATTTTTCTATGACTCTTATGTACATTCCATGGCTATAAAAAACTACTATTTTAGAGTCATGACATTCTAAAAGAAGCCTGCAGAATCGAAATGCACCCTCAGCATGCATGTTGTGTGCTCTGCTTTTGCAATCCTGTGAAGGCACCAACACAAACAGGAGAGGTTGTTATGGCTCCTTGTGGGCTCCCTATACATCCGCTCTATATGGCTGCTTTCGGCTTGGGTCATAGATGGCGCGCGCTTTCTCAAAAGCCAAGCAGGATGAGCAATAGATTGCAGAAGGTCAGGCTATTGACCACTTAACTGTTAATGGCAACCTTTTAATGGTTCCGGCTGTTCCTCGGTGCGTCACTCTCTTTCTCCTCCTGCTCCTTTCACTTAATAGCAGCTGTCCATTTTGGTCATCAGCTTTCAGGTGTAAGACCCTTTGGAAATACCTGGAGATAAATGGGCCCTTTATTCTATTTCTAGTATGTCCCAGGTGGATGTCGATTCAGGAATTGAAAACATGGAAGTCGATGAAAATGACCGAAGGGAGAAACGGAGCCTCACCGATAAGGTGGATAAGCTGCCATGGGGGTGGGTTTGGGGGGGTACTTGACCCTAATCTTTGACGGGGCAATGCATGTACGTGTCTGAAAGCTCATGGTATTTACGTATTTCTTTTGATTTACTCAATCTGTTTTCAGAGGCTTGAGGAACATAACATGCTAGTATCCGTAGTACACTAGTAGTACACTAGTGTACTACTAGTGTACTACAAATACTACACTAGTATTTGTAGTACAAGCATTAGCAGTGTCTGTGTGGCATTCCATATCCAGGTTGATTCTGGAGTGGTGGTAAATGGCAAAAACATCAGTAGCATGGCTGGTCGGCAAGAAAGGCTTCCCAGAACAAAGATGCGAAGGTGCCAATCGCAAAACAGTTTTGGTGCCTCTCTGACCTCCAGAGGCAGGGAATGCGATAGAAACGGGGCTGCCAAGCCGAACCCCCTTTACCTGGTTAGCTCCAGTCAGGCCATGTAGAACCACCAGGAAAATGTCTTCTGATGACCTTCTAGGCTTTTTCTAACTCTCTGATTCTGTGACTGGGCAGGTTGATCATATAAGTGATAAACAGGTACAAAATGGTGCATGGCACGGGGAAGGGGGTAGCAGGACATGGATATGTTGGTATGGCGAGGGAACCTGGGCCTTTGGAGAACGTGTCTCTCTGACTTCAAGCAAGCCAGAAAAAACTGGATTGCCGTGGGTACCGTTTGTGGTCTTCTCCGAAAGTAATTTGTAAACACCTAGTCAAAAACATTAAATAAAAAGCTAGTCTTTGCTCTGTTAAAGAGCACTTGATCCATATAAATATAAGAAAACCTAGATAGGGTGTGATAATTAATTCATAAATAGATTTGGACTGAGCCATCTGCTCTATTGAGTATATGTAAGATATTTTTAGCATCATAACTGTAAAACTTTAAAAAATAATAATCAGGCTGATTTGTTGAGATAAAATCCTGAAATAGTTATGCCCTGCCATTCTGTTTTACTCTTGGCAGTTTGATGCTTTGGTTGAAAATGGATGTCACATAACAATATGTCAACCTGCTTTTGATTTGCTAGTCCATAATAGGAACATTCCTTTTGACTCTTATTTGCAATCCTAAAGAAAGATCAGACTCGGTACCCTTGTACGTGCGTTGAACTGGTGGGGCTGGGTGAGATCCCTCCATCTGTAAAAATAGTGGTTAGACGGGTTGCAGAGCCCGTGTTATTTCTGTACTTTGATCTTCTCCATCTTGGTTCCTTCCAGATGTCTTAGATTTCAGCTTCTACCGGCCCCAGACAGGATGGCCAGAGGTCAGAAATTGTCAGAGCTGTAACCTAGCATCTGAAATGCACTAGGCTGGGGAAATACACTCACTTGAGCACCTGGCCTTTCATTGCACTTTGAAATGACTATTCCCCTTCTTTTTTCTCTGGTAAAGGAGCCCCCCTCAGGATCAGAAATATCAGAGGAGCAAGCCTTGCAACTAGTCAGCAAGATCTTTCGGGTCTCCTGGAAGGACCGAGACAGAGATGTCATCTTCCTGACTTCACTTTCTGACCAATTTAAGCAGAACCCAAAAGATGGTAAGTACCTTGGGCTCCCCCCCAATGCATTGTTAAGGCTGCTGAATCCAGGCCATCTGACTTGGTGCTCTTTAGATGAGTCAATAGCAACTCCACCTTTGATTTAAAAAAATGCTTTCTCATCCCTCTTAGGTATAGATTATTTATAGTCCAACTCTAACAGAAAATTCCAATGGGCAATGAGTGTAGCTCTCATTTTCCAAATACATGAAGAAATACATTTAGCATGATTAAAATCTATATCCTGCTTTCCTAGGCAAAATGCATGTATACAACAGTTTCCAGTGTCAAAAGATCAAAGGAGGTTAGATGTTCTCGAGAAGTGAACAGGACCCAGTAAAAACAGCAAAGACAGAAGAAGAAAAAACCTCTCAGAAAAATAGCACAACATGCCTACCGAAATGGAAGTGCTGGTTATTTCTTGCACATTCCTGAGTCTTGATTCTTCCCCAAATTAAAAGTTCTCTATCTGCACCTGCTTATTCTCTGGGTGTGTTTCTCTGTCTTGCACATGATATATCACAAGTGGGATGTGCCAGTCAGTAGAATTCTGATCAGTACATTCTGCATGTGCGTATTTCATGTCTACCTATATTCGAAACAGTTTTTTGCTTTTGTTTAACATTGCAAGCTTGGAAAAGGAAAGACCTCAGTTAGAGATTGTGCTTAGGTTCACACTAATTTCTGGGATGTGCGAAGTGGGTACAGGACTGAAACAATTTTTCATACAGTTGTAATCACAGCTCAGCCTGTTAGGCCAACTAGCGGGGCAGCGCTGGCACTTCCGAACTCTCCTCCAAATCTTGCTCCCTGGGATCCTTCAACTCCGGCTTGGCCAGCTTTGGGGTGTCTCCAGACCCCCTCCGGTAGGCTACAGCCCCAGCACTGGTGGGGGGGGGAGGACATTTTGAAGCCTCTACGGAGCCCCCAAAGGGTCACAGGGGACATGCTGGAAGCAGCAAACTTGGCGACCCTCTGCTCAGCTCTGGTCATTCTCCCCGCACCCCTTCTGAGCCAAACTCAAGGCGAGAGAAGACTGTAGATCTTCTCGTGGGAGATTCCTGCCGGGAGTGGGCTGGTGCCAGAAGGCAGCGAATTCCCATCTGACTGCTGTGCTTGGCTTCCCTCGGCGGAGCCCCCAGAGGCGCTTGTCATCCGCAGATGGTGGCCGTGTGGGCACCACGAGGCCTGCATGGGGAAGGGATGGGCTCCTGGGGGCGGCTCAGCGCCCACTTGTGGTGACTCGGCAAAGGGTGGCATTCAGTCTGTTCTGCTGGCAAACTAACACGCTTTGCCTGCGCCTTCAGATCCTTTGCAGCATCTGCTTTCCAGCGTGGGGCAGCGTCCATGAATCTTACCGGGACACATTCCCCTGGGATGTAGATCTATAGGCCGCCACAGGGTGCTTGGTTGTGTGGCCCTTCTTTTGTGAAAGCTGCTTTGGGTGGTGACGCCAAAGAAGGCCTTCGTGGCCACTCCTCCAAGCCAAGGGCCTGCTTCTCCAGGGTGGTCCTTCCACCAGCAGGCTTTCCGTTCAGGCAGGCCTCTGGCACATGGGCAAGGCTTTCGGGCTTTATTCTGTTCTCATTTCATGTACGTTGTGTCTAGCGCATTTATTGTTTTTGTAATCAAGCTTTAGTCGTACTTGTAAGTTGCCTCGGAAGCCATTTTTCTTGGTAAAGAAGTGGGTAATCAGTCAATCGGTCAATCGCAATCCTGGGGTGACAACCTCATAGCCTCACTTGTGGGGGGCACCACTTTTGCGGGCCAGACTCGTAGCTCACCCCATGGTCTCTCTCTTGTCCTTTGCCCTCAAAAGTGTTTTCAGACTTTAAGGACTTGATCGGGCAGATCCTGATGGAAGTTCTGATGATGTCAACCAAGTCCAGGGAAGAAAACCCCTTTGCCAGTTTGACAGCGACATCGCAGCCCATCGCAGCCGCTGCCCGGTCGCCGGATAGAAATCTGGGTCTGAGCACCGGCTCTAATCCGGGCACAAGCCCTGTTTTCTGCAACGTTGGCTCGTTTGGCTCTAGTTCCTTATCAAGGTAAGCTTGGCCGCCTGGCGCTGATTTACGAACCAACCTTAATGCGCACTCCATGTTCACATGGCGGTGGGAAAGCAGGGGGCACATCTGCTGAGCTGACCTTCCCTCCCCAAAAGCTGTGGCAAGGTGGAGTGGAGGAGGAAGGGGGCACGTGGAGGGGCCTCGGGGGGCCCAGGCGCCTGACCTCTCAGCTGGTCTTCTCTGCAGTTGTCGTCCTTGGCTGTGGCTTTCCTCTTCAGTGACGAAAGCCACGACTTTGTGGGTCCAACTCCCCCTGCTGTTGAGTAAGAGCAGACACTTCTGGGATGCCAGGCAGTCTGTTTCACAGGAAATACGTGCAAATGGTGGCCATTCCTCCTCTGAGGCAGATGATGTCGACCTAGTGTGACATTCAGGGTTGGACTCTTTCCCGAGAGGCTGGGCAGAGGATCCTGGGACTTGTGGTGCCACACAGCTGGAGGGCGCCTGCTTGGACGAGGCTGAACTTAGGAAGTGCAGTGCTAAGCGGCCCGGTCTATTTTTGCATCTTTCTCGCACCTCTTGCTGTATTCTCAGTTGCCACTTTGTCTCCTCCCCTCCTTTCTCTTTCCTCTCTCTCCTTTTCCGATGATGGCAGTCTCTACGGAACCAGCCCGGCACCAACTTTCACTTCCTCAAGCCACGCTCCCTTGGCCGGTTCTTTCCTCACCTCTTCTGCCAGCCCGGTCACCCCCACCCCTGCCCCTTCCCTTTCTGTCAGCCCTCTTGTCACAGCAGCAGGTCCGCTGGGCCCTCAGCCCTCCTCCCCGAGGTACCGCCCATACACGGTCTCTCACTTTCCGGCTCCTCCCGCCTCACCCTCAGCGGGCACCTCCGTCGTCTCCCGCTCTCTGACCCCTCCAGTCGTGAGTGCCAGTCCTCCAGGTGCCCGGGCCAGTGTGTCCAGACTTAGACCTGTAGCCATAGCCCTGCCTCTGTTCACTGCTCTTGGGAGACACTCCTCTGTCCTCAGCAGGACACCCTCTAGGTACACTTTGTTTTGCAACGTGGCGAGTTTGCACTTGAGCGTGTGCTCCTCAGGGTTGCAGTGATGTGGTTTGCTTTTGAAGAACTTGAGTGTCGCTCTTGTCTAACTAACTCCTTTGTGATACTACTTTTCTTCTGGTTGGGTTTCTGACTCATGCTTCAGCCAAGTTAATACACTGATTGCAAGCAAGGCCTGTTGAACTACTCCACTTCTGGGCATCAGGTGCAGTAATACCAGGGGCATCTTGCAGGGCAGCATAGGGGAAGCAGTAGGGGCCAAAACTGTGCTAGAGAAAGAGACGTGAGTGGACCAGCTTGCTGTATACAGGAAAAAGATGAGAAGTTGTGTGGTTTATCCTGGTTTAAAGGCTTTATCCAGTATTTTTTACTTCAATTTGTGAACTGCCCGGAGAGCTTTGACTGTTGAATGGTATAGGAATGCAGCAATTGAATAGGGGCACTGCCCTAAGCAATTTCTGGTGGGAAAAAGGTCTTGAAACTACCAATATTCCCTACCCAATAGGCAAGGCTTTTGTTTCCTCCAAGGAACCAAATCCAGATGATGGAATCCTCTTTATTTTTATCCTCACCAACAACCTACCTGTTAGGTAGGTGGTGAGGCTGAGAGTCAGTGACTGGCCCAAAATCTCCCAGGGAGCTTCATAGCTGAGTGGGGCTAGAAGCCAGATTTCCCAAGTCCCTGTCAGCACTGTAGCTACTACACCGCACTGGCCCTTAGAACAAGGGCTACTTGAGCTGTGATCTTGTGTATGGTGCCACGTGGGCTCGATGGGGCTGTGCTATGAAGCCACTTCCCTACTGAGCTAGCCATTGATGGAAGAGCTTGCCTGCGTCGAAATTAATTCGACATTGGGCGGTATGTGTGTGGCTTTTTTTTTAAATCAGTGTCGCTAATCCGTTTCATTCATAGACGCCAAACTCCTTAGGTGCACTTAAAATCCAGTGTGGGTTTCTCTGATTCTATTCTTCTTTTCAGGGAGGCTTGATGCCTCCTCCCCTTTCACGGTGGTCATGTCCCCCCGCTGTTCCTACCTGCAAGGGACATGGCAGTGACGAGCAAGGGGCCGTTTGCTTTGGGCTGCTGCTGCGGTGGTCCAGTTCTGATGCGAGGCTGGAGGCAAGCAGGGCATTCCAGTGCTTAGCACTAGTGCTGGCAAAAGACACCCCCCCACCACCCTGGCCCTGTGTCTGTGTGTGCTCCTCACTCGGCCCTGCCGACTCCGTTTGACGTGGCCCTTGGGGTCCAAAATAATGGTGCAGACCAGGGTCGGCGGGTCTTATTTGGAAAAAGGCAGCTGTGTCTTTCCTGGAGGAAGGCCGTTCTCTGTGGTAGAGCCGTGCTTTTCACAGGGAGACAATCCCTTCCCACAAAGAGACCTGCGAGAGATGTTGGGGTGACCCAACGGTTTGAATAGGTAGCACCAGGCTGGATGGACCCAAGGCCTGGCCCAGTGCAAGGCAGTTAAATCAGGCAATCAGAAGATCGCACAGCTTCTGGGATTTGCTGCCTCGATTCTCTTGTAGGAACTCTGGTTTAAAACACACTTGCAGTAAGTTACTACTATAATTCTGCGCAAAGATAGCCTCCTGAAAACACGTTTATTTATTTAAAACATTGGTATGCTGCCCGATTCTGCTGCAGCACCTCTGGGCAGCTCATAATCACAAGATCAAACACAATAAAAACCAACTACAACATATTAAATGTACAATATCCATAAAAGATGGGCAAAATACAAAACAAAGATCAAATGGCGTTATCTAGTAATTTTTTTTTTTTTTTAAAGGAAGGTCTTTACCTGGCACCAAAAAGAATGTAAGGAAGGCACTAGGTGAATCTCCTTGCGGAAGACATGACTGAGAGAGGGAGGGAGGGAGGGACAGAGCAGTCTGCTCTGCTCTGCTTTCATTAGTCTGGAGTGAAAACTTTGGTCCCTCGGACGTCTGGATTCTTTGCAGCATTTTGCCTTGCGATGGAGCACTTTAACCGTGTTGTGGCTTTTAACGAGTGTGGCTGCGACTTGATTTGCTGCATGGACTCTGTGAGGATTATGTTGGCCAAACCAAGAATTCGCTGTTCTCCCGTCACTCTTTTGGCCTTTCTCCTGCCCTTCTCATACTCACTCCATATTTGCTTTTGTCATGATAGTATGTACGACAACCCTTTCTCCCTCTTCCTTGCTGTTTCTGATGTGTCTGGCGACAGTACTGATGAAGAAGAGGAGGAGGAGGATGACTTTTCTTGTGTCCAGTTTGGGACCAGGTATTCCACGAAGCGTGTGGCTTTACCTCTGTCGTTGCTCCTAACACATGTTTGCATCTAGTGTTCTGCTTTCCCTGTCCCCCTCTCAAAACCCGCATCTGATTGCATTGACACAGTAACACTTAAAAACAAAATGAAAAACCATTGTGTCTTTGCCCACACGTTAACTGTTATCCTCGTTAAACCTGTTTACGCTCTTCCTGTGCTTTGGTATAAGACTGCCTGATAGCAAGTGAAAGAGGTGGAGGAAAGCCATTTTGAACAGGCACTTTAACCCGTAGCTTTCGACAGAGAGTCATAGAGGGGGAGAGTCCTGCTCCTAGAACCCTCTGCAGGATCCCTGTTTGCTCTGGCATGTTCTGAACAGTCGCAGTGCGCTCACTCGATCCAGCGTAAACAGTGTTAGATGCTCCTCTAAAAAGGGGTACAGAGCTGCAGGCAGTCCCTGGGAGCCCCCCGTTTCCATTGGATGGTTTCCCCACTTCCCTTCCATCCGGCAGGTTCCTAAGGCTTGACTACTGGCTGTAAGCCTCGCTCTCAGATACGCTGGCATTCATTGCATTTTGGCCCTGCCTCTTCTGTGTAAGCTGCAGTGCAGCCCCCGAGAGGTCCAGCGCCCCTGCTAAACAGCGGCCGGAAAGTGTGTGAGGCTTTGTGTAAGCAGGAGCCTGTGTAAACTTGGCTGTGAACCCAAGCTTGTGAACTGGTGGGGCAGCTCCAGTGACGGCTCTTTGCCGATCATGTGAAGAAGAGTCGGGAATTTTGTCCCATTCCAACGGGAGCTTGTTTCTGCCTCAGATTAACTCCCGTTTTGGGAGATGCCCACTGGAGAAAGGCGGCATCTGCTCTGCGCTTTAGTGTGACCATAGGCCCTGCCACTGCACACGCAACATTAGCAGTCGCTCAGCTGGTTTGTTCTTGCACCAGCATGCAGATTTTCTCAGAGTCGGAAGCAAGCAATTGGAAACTATTAATGGCACGGGTGTAAACAAACATCACGAGTCCCACTTAGCCAGCACTTTCCAGAGTGTTGACTTCAAGGAAGTATCCGTGATATCTGGCCATGCAAGTTTAACAACTGGAGAGGTTGCTTAGCCAGAAGTGCTGCTTGAAAAGGTGCTGAGGAGACTAAATCAGAAGATGTTCATCCGCGTTGCTTCACAAACCCAAGTATCTCTGGAATGCGAGCACTGGCATTTTTATTTTCAAAAAAGGTTCACTTGGTTTCCTTCCAGGGGGGTGCTTAGGATTACGAGCAACACAGATTCATACCCAAGATGGAAGTAAAATATAAAGATAGAACTGGCTGAGAGCACAGAACCTAGTTCGGCAGTAATGAACAAGCAGGCCGTTGTCCTAGGGTTGCTTCTGCTGGGCCACAGTGGTAACGTCTTCTGAATCTTAAATAGGTAACTTCACAACGCATTTGTCAGTAAAGCAAATGTTACGTGATTAAACTGCCTTTTGGAGACCATAGGTGGTACATTTGGCATCAGTCTTCTGACTCCCTAATCAGTTTGACTAAATGCAATGTTGCCTTTTAGCCTTTGGGCTTGTGTAATTTCTTGCATTGCTGACACACACGGCATTTGCAGTATTTGCTCCCTGCAGACCAGGGAGGTCTCTCTGTCTCGAGGCAGACGACATAGGAGTCTTTTTTTTGGTTTGCACTTGGGCTTCTTCTGTTTTGGGTGCTTCAGATGCACAAGACTTTTCCTGGCTTGCAGGGCGCCAGCTCCTTGGCGTTCCCAGCATACTATCCCGTCTTCAGGTTTTCCTGACATCTGTGCATTGGAGGTCATAAAATGGATGGAGAAGCCCCAGCCTTCCTGGACTCCCAATCAGGCTTTCTGTGGCTTCCCAGATGGCTTTGTCCTCTTCTCCTTACCCCCTTTCCCCTGATGATTTGGGGTTTTTTCCTGGCTCCCCTCCCCCACCCCCATTAAAAAAACCGAAACCCCTCTTACCAAGGATTGGATACTGGCAGTAAGAGCTTTAACCTGCAGTATGAGGGTAGTTTTGGCTTCATCCCTTCTGTTGCTTTTACTACCCTTTAATGTCGGTGTGACCCACCAGCGGAATGCAGCCCCCAAGACCACTTCTGGAGTCGAACCTGACCCTCGGGATCAAGAGGTCCCGGCATCAGCACATTCAAGACTGATTCATAGCCATTCTTGCTGCTCTTCCACCCCTTCCTGTTGAGAGGTCTGGCCCTCTTGGACGCAACTGTCATTCGTGTTAACCAGTGGAACCCCCTGCCTCCTGCAACGCATCCTCCTCGCTCACGGTGCACAAGCATGGCCTTCCCTGTGTGGGCTGCCACCCTCCCCGCAGCCCTGGCTCTGGATTTCACCCCCTTCTCTTGTTACCCTTTCTTTCCCCAAGCGGCGGCGGCTCTGGAGGGGCCAGCATTTCGGACTCGTGCAGCGACCATTTCAGCATCGAGACGTGCAAGGAAACAGAGATGCTGAACTACCTCATTGAATGTTTCGACAGAGTGGGGATAGAGGAGAGGAAAGCGCCAAAGGTATGTCGTGGAGGGAGAGAAGGGCCCCGGTGCCCCACAGGGAAGGCATTTTCATGTGAGGAGAACAATGGGGTGGAGATGCCACTCAAATCACGCTTGTTTCCCAGGGAAAGAACTGCATAGAAAGCTCTGTGTTGACTCGAGATGAGCGAGCCAAGCCAGGCTGAAGGGAAATTTTCAGGTGGCTCTCCCAGCTTTCTTGACCTTCGGCTATGTTAACAGACCACTGAGAGTTGAAGACCAAAACATACGGGCATCTCCCTTTTGCCCACCTGTAGGCTGGACCGACAGCACCCCAGAATCACTGGCCAATAGCATTGCTTTCCAGTCTTAGACTGCTCCATCTGCTCCTCCTTTCCTTGGGTTGCAGTTCCCATCATCTGTCTGCAGGCCATTGGGACTCATGGGAATTGTACCTGGAGGGGAACCAAACTGGAAGAAGCTGCTTTGGGGAATGATCCTGTATCTGGTCATTCCTGCCCCTCCCAGCAGGCTGGGGATTGCTGGGAACTGCAGGGCCTCTTTGGTTTGGAACATACATTGGATCGTGCCTTCGACTGTGAACAGGACGCAAACCCCTCTGCTCGGGAAATTGTCCCAGGAGACGAGCTCTCCTCTCAGCCCAGTGGACCATTGTGTGTTCTCGCGATTTTAGGACCCAGGAGTCCATTGACAGAATGTATCAAATAAATGCCCCGAACTGAATAATAAATGAACAAAATTCATTTAATTGCTGATATGCCTGCTTCGACACATTATGTGCTCCTGGAAGGTCAGGCATGATTGTATTGGATGATCCCCATTTTACAGATGGTGGGTTGGAGGTTAACAGCAGTTTGTTCAGGCTTGGCTGGGGGGTCCATGGCTAAGCTGGTGTGCCCTGGTGGAAGGCATGGGGAGCTGGGGAGAGTGGGATCCAAATGCTGGTCTGGCCTGCATCCTGACTTCATGCAAGTCACTGTCGCTCAGGGTCATATTAGAAAACGGGTGAAATAGGACACACCCACAGAGTTGCCCACAAACGAGGGACCAGAGAAAGGGAGGAGAATGAAGGACTAGGGACAGCAGAAGCTGCCACCATCCCAAATTGGTTGCTGGATCCAGCTAGCTCAGTATCATCCATGCAGATAGGCAGCGGTTCTTCAGGTTCCAGGCAGCAGTTTTTCCAGCCCTACCTGCTTTGTGCTTGACCAGAGAACTCAAAGATTCGGGGGAAATGTGCTGATTTGTGATGCTTATATCAGACCTGCTCTTCTATGGCTGCTTCGATTGACACATTTTGGTCTGCTCCTGTTCTTTCTTTTGTTGCTTGATACTCTCTTAGATGTGTAGCCAGCCGGTGGTGAGTCAGTTACTGAGCAACATCCGCTCTCAGTGCATTTCCCATGCAGCTTTGGTGCTTCAAGGATCCCTAACTCAGCCTAGGTGAGTCAGGGGCATGATGCAGCCATGGAAGAAAGCTGGGTGGCCTGCGCTTTAACCCTGAAGTGAGCTGTAAACGGGCTCAGTTGTTAGGGCTTCCGCTCTCCAGTCAAAGTAATTTTAGCAACTGCACTTTGAACTTACTCGAGCATCTTCTCCTATTCCTTCTCAGCTTAAAACCGCAAGCATGTCACTCTCATGCAAGCTTGCAGTCTTGATGCGCTCCCCAAAGATGCATTAGCCCATGACGTGCGATCCAGGGCTTTTGTGGAACGTTCGCTCCTTTATTACCTATTGTTGTTGTTCGTTATGAATGTTCCTATGCGCGGCTTCTTGTCCCGCACCTCCTCAGGGCTGCCGTGAAAGGCAGCCTGGAAGTCCTTTAGGTAAAATACATAACATGCATCTGTGCCCTGGCTCCACCCGTTCTTTCCCCCTCCTCTCTCAGCCACCATAGCCCCCTTCCCCCCCCCTTCCCTGAATGTGCCCTTCGTCATGAGGTCTCTCTCTCTCTGTGCTCGCAGGTCTCCGCAGCAGCAGTCGTTGCTGGTCCCGTACATGCTCTGTAGGAATCTCCCGTTCGGCTTCATCCAAGAACTGGTGAGGACGACCCACCAGGATGAAGAGGTGTTCAAACAGGTAAGAGGCTTCTCCTTGGTGCACAGGGGTTTGAAGGCAGGAACACTGCGAGGCTCTTGTTCTGTGTTATCCCTCTTGGACGCTTCGGACTCAAATTATGCTCTTGCTTTTATCTGCGCCCCCTCCCCAAAAAAAAGAGGCCACAAGATCAGTTGCCAAGAGAGGTTGTGGGCTCTTCCACACTAGAGGCATTCAAGGTGAAACTGGACGGTTATCCTAGTGCGACGGCGTCGGGTGGTGACTTGCAACAGCGGGGGGTTGGGCCTGATGGCCTTCTTGGCCCCTGTTCTATGATTCTGTGAAATGGAATTGCATTAGCATGCAGGACGTGTATAACTTTGGTCCTAGGGAGGTCATACATGAACTGAGGCTTAATACAAAGTGGCCTTTTAAAGTCTGCCTCCTACATTAGAAGGTCAGAGAAGCATGATTTCTTTTGCTCACCTTTGTTCTTCTTTAAACAGATATTTATCCCCATTTTACAAGGCCTGGCTCTCGCTTCAAAAGAATGTTCCCTTGATAGTGACAACTTTAAATACCCTCTTATGGTGAGTAGCGTTCCTTAATTTCCACTTGCATAATAACCCAAGTTTGATCCTGGGCGAGATGCCGTTAGTCAATGGCGGCCTCTTTTTCACTGAGGAGACCTGTGGATGATAAAATGCTTCTCCATACCCAGGAGGGCAGGGGAAACACTGAACATAGAGACCCAGCAAATGGATTCTAGCACAGCTCTCTCTCTGGCACGCTAGCTTTCTGTGTGCGGGGATGTCTTTCCAGGAAGAACTGATCACATCTGCCTTTGTCTGCATGCTGCACAGATGAGACTCCAACCTCCATATGCTTTACCTCCAGGGAAAGCTACCCCTGCAAGTTTAGTAGCATGGAGTTTACAGAAGAGTCGAGTTGTGAGGCTTGAGAGGAAACATAGATGTGATCGGAGCCGAACTGAGAGCAGCAGAGACCTACCCATGCTAAGCTCTGCCAGTGTGGTGTCGTGGTGAAGAGCATGGGACTGGGACTCAGACGATCCGGGTTCTAGTCCCCGCTCGGCCATGGAGCCCACTGGGGGACTTTGGGCCAGCCACTGGCTCTCAGCCCCCAGCCTACCTCACAGGGTTTTGTTGTGGGGATAAGACTGAGAGCATGGGGAAGAGAATGATGTAAGCTGCTCTGAGTTCAAGAGAAAAAAGGCAGCATATACGTCTAATAAAATTAGCAGGCTCTTGATACCTGTGGGTTAATTTCACGGCGGTTCCCGCCTGCTTCTTGAGCTGAGTTGTTCCACGTTTATGGTAACACAGCTTTGGGGGCTGGGCCAGCAGAGGGATGCTTTAAGGAGTCCAGTGAAGATAATTTAGCCAGGGTTCCCCACCCTTTTATTGTAGGTATTTCTAGACTGCTTTTCAAGGCAGAAGTTTTTTTTTTTTTATGTATCTGCTACTTTGCTTTACCTGCAGCTGTTTCTCTCATGAGTTTTGTGTCATGTTCCTTCTTGAAGGCAGCAGTAAAATACATTTTAATGTATTGATCTCACATGAATGGTCTTGCATATGCCCAAAGGAGGTAAAATAATAATCTTCATTATTGTTAATAATACAGAATGATATGCACAATATGTTGTACCAGAGATGAATCAGGAAGTCTCTAGTCTGAATGTTGCTTCAGTATGAACTCAGGAGGTGGCCGTAGGCAAGCCAGTTCCTCTAAGCGTCTCTCACCCTCTGCAGTATGAGGAATAATAAGACTTGCTTGCTTTCCATCTGATGGAGTGGGCAGTGCCCACAAAGGCTTATGTCAGAACGAGTTGGTCAGTCCTTACGATGCCATAAGCCCCTAGGTTGTTCTTACCTTACAAGGTGGTTGTAAGGACGACCACTGGATAATGACTGTTGTGCACTTTGTACACCTGCAAGTGTTGTGCAAATGTTGCATCTTACCATCGGAAGGGTTTTTTTCCCCAGGACCGTAGAATGTGAATGTTGTGGAGAGTTGGCGCAAGGGAGGGACGGGGCGGCCTCATTCTTGCCACAAACAAGCCAGGAGATCTGTTGTGCTGTACGTCACCCACAACCCTCTCTTTGTAGCTTCTTTTCTTTCATTCTGCCTGAGCCCTTTGAGGATGGAGAGAAGGTTCTTTTTGTTCCGGGTTCTCGACAGTCATCCAGTGACTTTTGGCTCTCGATTGTAAGACAAAGGCTTTGGTGTCTGGAGGACAACAAGAACATTCATTGCCATCCCCGGCTCTCAAATGGCCAGTTCAGTGTTTGCTGACCGCTCCTCTGGGCACCAAAGGCAGAAAGGGCTTGCGCCACTGGCTTCCGAAATGCAGTGGGCCTTCTTTCAAGGAAGCCGCCTTTCCGGGGCCTTCAGCCTTTTCGAATCCATGGGCACTCGCACGAAATGGCTGCCACGGGGGCGTGCCCATTCCCCAGATGGCTGCCATTCTTTCAAGAGCGCTCCATTCGAGGCGGACCTCCTTCATGAGCTGACCAGGCAGCGGCCTAGAAATGCATACCTGAGCCAGGCATTCCTCTTTGTGTTTCCACGCAGGCTTTAGGTGAGCTGTGTGAAATCAAGTTTGGGAAATCGCATCCCGTGTGTAGCTTGGTAAGTGCCAACCCTTCCCGTCACGCGACCTGTTCTTTGTATTTGTGCACCGGCCCTTTATTCCCTCCCGCCCTGCGGTGCTGGCATCCTGCCAGCCTGGGCAGAAGAGCAATTCAACGCACCCGCTGCCCGCATGGCTCATTTTCCTGTCGCCCTCTTGCTTCCCCAGGTTGTGTCTTTGCCTTTGTGGCTGCCAAAGTCCCTGAGCCCCGGTATGGGTCGAGAACTACAAAGATTCTCTTACCTTGGGGCTTTCTTCAGTCTCTCCGTCTTCGCTGAAGATGATGTAAGTGTGGAGCAAGAGGCAGTGAGGCCAAAAAACAGAGAGCAAAAAGTGCCCACGAAGCTGCTGCCTGTTTCGCAAAGTGAACAGCCGCCCTGTCTGATTGGTGTTGTTTACCTGGAAGGCCTTTCCCAATCCTTATTCCTACAATTCCCCTTAATCCAGGGATGCCCCGCCTCTTTGTGTTGGTGAACACACTTGGGATCTGCTACGGGGGTGGGGGGGGATTGCAGTGATTATGGCAACATTTAAGGGTGCAGTTTGAGCGTGTCCTCTTCACTGTCGCTCACGGAGCTTTCTTTTGTTCCTCCTCGCAGCCTAGAGTCGTGGAAAAATATTTCTCTGGACCTGCAATTACCCTGGAAAACACCCGAGTGGTTAGCCAGTCTTTGCAGCATTACTTGGAATCTGCCCGGGTAGGTGCTGCTGTGCTTAGCATCTTGGCTGAAGGATGCTCTCCAGGCCTGCTGGTCCAGTCGGGAAAATCTCAGTTTCAACCGAGGGATTACTGGCATATGTATGGAACAGATGCTTTTTGGAGGAGAAAGTCATGCTGCTTTGGAGCAGCCCTCATCCAGCCACTGGGCCATGCCGCTGAGAGTGATGGGAGTTGTAGTTCACCACATCTGTAGTTTGGGAGAAAACATTACCATTTGGCACCTTTCCCCTGAGAGTGGTGCCTGCCATCGGCAGTTTTTGAAAGCTTGCATTTCAGCCAGTGTTGCCTGGTTGATTAGGGACATTCGTTCTTATTAACACATGCTAATCCGTCCTTCCTTCTGACCTGTTGTGCCTTGAAATTTGCTTTTGGGCTGCACTGCCCAGCATCCCCGATGGCAGAGGCTGACTGGAGTTGTAGTCCTTCAGCTGTGCAAGACATGAGGTTGGGGAAAGTCGGCATTAATGCAACTGGTTTAGATGGTTAAAAGTCGGCTTTAGTTGTGTAAAAATCTAATTTGTGAGGGATTGAAAAAGTAGTAAGAATGCCAGAGAATAAAGAGCAAAGAGCTTAGTCGGTGAGGCTTTCAGGCAGGGCTGCACTGGTATAGGCTTGTGGGCCAAATCTGGCCTGTCTCTGATCCCCCAGGTGGTCACACCCCTCCCACCCCCGCCAGCCTCCAATCATTCAGTGATTTCCCAGCTCTTGTATGATGTTTCCCTGTTCAGAAAGGTTGAAATGCCTATTTGGAGGCTTAGTCAACTGTAAGAGCCTCGAGGTAAAAAATGTGAAGAACCTTGGCTTGGGCCCCACCCACTTGCAAAATGCACCCCCCCCCAAAAAAAATATCCTGCTTCAAAACCAAATTCAGCCCTGCTGCAGGAAGAAGTCCAGCCGCTGTTTTCCTTGACTGGTGGAACATGACGTTCTCAGCGGTAACTGTTCTGTTCCGGATGCCTTTGCTTCGTGTCCCCTTTCCAGCAAGAGCTGTTCAAGATCCTGCACAGCATTCTGCTCAACGGGGAAACCAGGGAGGCCGCTCTCAGCTACATGGCAGCCGTGGTCAACGCCAACATGAAGAAGGCACAGATGCAGGTGAAGCGGCACCCGCTCTGCGTTTCCATCGTTCCCCCTCTTCAGCCAGCCGAGAATCCTAAACTCTCCCCCTCTCCTGCCATCACATTCTGCTGACGGCTGTGCACCGACTTCCTTCGGTCAAGGGTCTAGTTCTAGTCCTTTTAAACTGTCGGCCCTGGCACCCCAAAAACATTTCCTTGTGTCCTTTTGTCGGCCCTGCCACCTTGATACCCCTCTTCGTTCTTGTTTCTGTACTTTGTCACACCTCTCCCTGCTTCCCTCGCTCCTTGGTGCCAGAGAAGCTCTTTGTTGACTTCTCTTGCCAAAGCTGCTTTTCTCAAGCCATCCAGCTCCCCTCTTTCCTACACCTCCACTGTATTCTGAAGGAAGGTTAGGCGGGCGTGCGCAGTGGGAAGAGGGAAGAGGCTAGCCAGTGCGATGCGTGTGACTGGAGGTTGTGAGACGTGGCTGGCCAACTTTCTGCAGGCCAACATGAAACCCAGCAACATCCTGTAAGTCTCAGTGGGAGAGTCTGAACCAGCATTCCCCAGCCTGGTGCTTTTCAGATTATGTGCACTGCAACTCTGGCCATGCTGGCTGAGCTGATGGGACCTGAAGTCCAAAACATCTGGAAAGCAACAGATGTGGAAGAGAGTCGAAGTAGAGAGGTAGATTTCTGGGTCCTGTTCCAGGTGTGAAGCTGCCCGTTGTTTGAGTGCCTGGTTGTATTGTGATAGCATTGGTGTTGCTTTCTTGGACTTGCAGACAGATGACCGGTTAGTGTCTACAGATGGGTTTATGCTTAACTTCCTGTGGGTGCTGCAGCAACTAAGCACGAAGATCAAGCTTGAAACAGTTGATCCCTCCTACATCTTTCATCCCCGGTGTCGCATTCTACTCCCGGCAGATGAAACTCGAGTGAAAGCAACCATGGAGGATGTTAGCAGCTGGATGGTTGAGCTGTGTGAGTTACAGTCCTTTGATTACACTTCTTTCACGCTCAGTAATTTGTTGGGGAACAGACATATTCCCCAGTTGGCTTTGGTCTGTGATATTTGGGGCTGGTGCCCCCAGTGTTCTTGCATCAGTGGGCACATGTTGGGGTTGAGTGAGCCATGGGCACGCTCACAAAATGGCTGAGGGGGGCGCCTGCCCAATCACAAAAGAATTCGCATGGGGACAAGACTGCACAGGAGACCCTTTTTCCAGAAGGCGAACAGGTGAGAGGGGCTTGCCCAAGACGAAGGACAGAAGTGTGGAGGGCAGAGGAGCAACTGAGCCCCAAAGCTCAGAAACCGCTTTTGAATCCAGATGAAGACAGTGCTGCAGGACGGGTCCTTGTTGTGCAGCGTGGCTCCCTCCCAGTTTAAAAAAATGAAGTGAACAATGTTTGTTTGTTTTTTAAACCCTTAAGAAATAAAATTAAAATCAGGTGGGCATGGAGCTTGACAGGCACCAAGAGAAATGTCTGGGGATGCATTAATACCATGGATCACTCCCCCTCCCCCTGCCAAAATAATCCAGCTCAAGGGTGGGCAGACATCAGGTTTATCAGATCTACTCTGTGTTTTGTTGTTATCAGACCCTCAGGATCCACCCACCAGAACCAGGTGCAGGAGGGGTGCATGGCTGTGTCCTTTGCCACCTCCCAGGTTCCCTGCCCCTTCTGATTTTGATGTTGATTTCGTAAAACGTCTTGGAAAAAGGCTTATTCCTCTTGCCCTCCTCTGGCATCGTTTCTGTGTGTGTTCAAGAGTGTGGACTTGGCTCAATACAGAGCAGAGGTTCTCTGGCGTTTTTACCTATGCAGGTGCTGTTTGTGCCAGTGCCAGCGATTTCCTTCATCTGCTGTTTGGCCCGCATCCTCATCTTCTCCCCTAAGTTTTCATCTCTGTTCTGTTCCCTTCGTTTCCCCAGCTAGGGACCTGTCTCTCTTTTCTGAGCCGAAATTCCCAACGGAATGCTTCTTCCTGACCCTTCACGCACACCACCTCTCCATTCTTCCCAGCTGCCGCCGGTACATACGCAGGCTGAGGGCCATCCGAGAGCTCAACAGGTAAAAGCTTGGATTGTTGCACTACTGGTGGTGGGCCTGTCTTGTTTAAAAAAAAAATGTCAAGAACTAGGAGGCAAAAGCAGCAGGAATTAATGAGTGCCAAAAGTCCCAAGGAAATAATTTATGGCATTATTGTTGGTTTCAGGGGCTGAGTTAGGGACCAGCCCACTAGGGCTGAAGCCCCAAAGATGTGGCTTGGAAGCCTGATTCTCTGGGAGGCCTTCTGCCTCGTCCCTGTTCTTTCCATAGGTGCTTTCTGAAAAGGACAGGAGCCCTGTGATCCTTGGCTGCACCTGATCCTCCTGGGTTAGCTGGCTTTCTGCCCATATGCTTCACCTGCCCCAGTCTGCACATTGCATCTTTCAGCTTGAGTTTTCCTCCTGAAATGTTTTCCTCCACCCTGTCCATCCAACCCTTTTTATGTATAGGGGTAACCTTAGGAACCAACATCCTTTAACGACTGGAACTTCTTGGTACCTAGCACTAACTCTGACTGGCAGGTAAAGCCCTGAGTCACATGGGAGCAGGTGACTGGTATTAACCTAGAAGCGGATCTTCTTTGGGGTGGCATTACATCATGGAAGGTAAACTGTGATGCTTTTAGGCCCTGTTGAAGATCCATCTCTTTCCCTAGAAGGGTTGAGCTTCCTAGCTGGTTTGTCTGTTAACTCTTGCGTGTTACACCTTGGTTGAAAATATTTTTAACCTCTAACTGTTAGCTTCTTGCTTATTATGCTGTACTTTAATTTCCGGACTTGTAGATCTTTTAGCTATTTTCAGGGAAGGCGAGTGGTAGATAAATTAATTACATAGTTAGGATGACGGTGCTGAAAGCAATCGTATTAAATTGATAAAAAGATCATAGAATGATGATACAAAGTAATGGTGCTAATGATAGGTAACTGTTAGAATTATAACTAAGAAGGGACTCTGAAGTGGAAATAACTGAGAAAGGGGCAAAGTTCTTTTTTATCCCATATAAAATCTTCTTTCGTTCTTGGATCAAAGGGAGAGGTAACCTTGTTTGGACTGTAGCTTCTACAAGAGCAAGCTGGGAAGGTGCACATTTGCGACTGTGGCACCCGGCTTCCTTTTTTAATTTACTTGACTGAAAAAGTTGACCAGGGAGCCGTTTTCCTTAGCAGGAGTGGTTAATAGACAGGGGAGAGGGCAAGTGCCATCCCTCTCTGCGTGAGGAAGCCCGTGGCTTGCATGCCTTTTCATGGCATGGCAGCCACCTTTGAATCCTTTGGGGTTTTGGTTCCCTCAAAGCTCTGGGCTTGCTGACGAGAAAATAAATAAGAAGAATGGTGCTGGGTCAGGCCACGGGGCCACCTTCTTCAGGATTCTGTTCGCCCAGGGACCAGCTCTCTGCCTGCGGGGAAACCCTCAAGCAGGCCCAGAATTCAACAGCCCCCTTCCAACTGGTGCTCCCCAGTATACTGCTACGGATACTGGAGGTGGCAGAGAGCTGCCTGGGCTTGTAGTCCCTGGCGGTGCTGACGTGCGGTAGGATTGCTGCAAATCCAAGTCAACTTGCGTGTGGCTGGCTTGGCGAGTCCAGATGGCTGTGGGAGGTGCGGGGGGTGGTCTTCTGCCAGTGAGCTCAGGCTCTGTGCGCACTCTGTTGGGGGCCCACGCCACTGTTCCCCGCCAGCTCTGCCAGCTGCCAATAGCCTCATTGTTCACCGAGGTCTACGGCGGCTTGAGTCATTCCTGGCATAACTCGTTGAGAACGTGCTGAGGGCGGGTGCTTGCTCCGTGTCAGAAGGGAGCCAGGTCCAGGGTGCCAGCAGAGCGGGGTGCTGAAGCGACACGTCTGTCGAGGAGGGAAAGAAGCAGACCGGATATTCTTGTAGGGGGGCAAAACCCAGCCGCCACAGCCTATGCCCAGACCCCTCTTTTGGACATGCCCTGGGCTGGTGGAAGGGCTTGCGTTTCCCTCCTTGGCCCTTGGTGCCTCTGTGCCGTTGCCCTGTTGACCAGGTAGATTTATTTTGCTCTTCATCTGCTTTTGCAGGACTGTGGAGGATTTGAAAAACAATGAAAGCCAGTGGAAGGATTCCCCTCTGGCCACGAGGCATCGAGAAATGCTGAAACGCTGCAAAACACAGCTCAAGGTTTGTAGCCACAGTTGGGGGGCCGTTGGCCTGATGCTCAGCAGGAGTCCAGCCTTCAGCACCAGCACTGACAGCCCCTTAAACTTCCACATATCAGTGCTGAACTCTTGCAGCCTTAGCAGTCCCAAGACGTGCGTGAGCATTGCACCGAGTCCGCTAGGCCTTAATTGAAAATGCAGGGGCAGTCAACGAGCTGAAAAACGAGTCTTAGACCAAAGACAGCCCCTACAGGTTGTCAGACAGGCCCAGAGTGGGCCAAATTGAGAACAACTGCCACGGTTCCGCCTCCTCTTTCCTTGCCGTGCTTAGTTCTGCCTTCTTGCCCTTTGGTGTGCTGCCTGGATGCATCTTGCTGACCTCTGTGGGACAGCATGAGGCCGGGGCGGATGGCCTTTATTTCGATCCAGCAGAGGAGTCCTCATAAGGTCCATGTGCTGTGGCTTTCCATCTGTCGGGCCTGTTGGGCTTTGCATTGGGCAGCCTCTCCTGGCCCTGGTAGTTCCCTGAAGCAAGACACATTTACCCTTCCGAATTGGAGATGGGTTGATTGGGTGAGTGTGGGCACACGCTGATCTTTAGCTTTTGTTTCATGTTGGTGTTGCAACTTCTCACACAGAAACTAGTGCGGTGCAAGGCTTGTGCAGATGCTGGACTGCTAGACGAAAACTTCCTGAGGAGGTGCCTGAACTTCTACAGCATGGTCATTCAGCTGCTGCTTCGGATCCTTGACCCTGCTTACCCTGAGTAAGTCACCTCAGAGATTTCCCCAATCCCTCTCTTCGGGCGTCCTGCCCCCAGCTGAATTCCTGACCAGCTTCCGCCAATTTACTGGTCTGACCCAAATAAATGTTAGAGCTGAACGAGTTCCAATTACGGACTGAGCAATGCCTCATCTGCCTCTCCAGGGCAATTTGCCAGGTGGCCATTTTGCCCTGAGGAAACCCTGACAGTTCCTGTTGGCTCCTCTCTAACCTTGCACCGCTCTTCTCCGTTTTGCAATTATTATAAATAATCCTGGCGAAGAAGGCCACAGGGTTGAATTGTTAAACTGCAGGGTCCTGGGCCAAATCGAGCCCCCCCATGAACCCAGCTGGCCCACTGGCGTTCCCCTGGCTTCTGCACAGTTTTCTCATCCTAAGAGGCCAAAGTGCCTCTCCTAAGGCTTAGTTAATGGTGTTAAGAGCTTTAAGCTTAAGTATCCTGGTATTTCTGGTATTTTGCCCCAACACTCAGCCCTGCCTCTCTTGCAAGAGCCGCTTGTCCCTTGCCTGGGGTGGGGAAGGAGAGGAAGGAGGATTGGCAGAAAGGAAATGCAAAAATTTTCTGGCCCTCTGTTGCCTCTGAGCCGATCCACCACTAGTAGTTTACTCATGGTGGTAAAAGAAATTAATTAGATGGATTGGTGCACTTGGCTCTACAGAAGTTCTTGTCATAAGAAGACTGGCACTTTCCCCCTTAAAATGTGGTGCCTGCAGGAAATTGGTCCTTGCATGTGTATTTGGGGGTATAAATATGGTCTTCCCTCATCCATCCCTTTGGCTGTATTTTTATGGTTTTTCTTCTGCAGTTTGCACTATTAGTTGTGAATTGGCTCTCTGTGTCTAAATCCATCCAGTTTAACTTATATACTGTGGCTTTTGGTTCCTGAGTTAAATATGTATTTGCATATTACTTTCATAGGACATATAAAGTACATCCAATAAACCCAAACACGCCGATGAAAGTTCTTTCCCAAAGCGCTTCATTTAAGGTCTCCCCCACCCCCTGTTCCCATTCACAGCATAAAACTGCCTTTAAATCCCGACGTCCCGAAAATGTTTGCGGCGTTGCCTGAGTTTTATGTTGAAGATGTTGCGGAATTCTTGTTCTTCATTGTACAGTAAGTTTTTCGAAGTCTCTTTCTGAAGTAAACTTTTAGTTTGCATTAACGGGTCTGTAGATCTGAACGTTCCCATTCAAAAGCTGGGAGGGAGGGAGGGAGGGAGGAAGATGGGGCTGCCCCGGATCTGCAACAGGAGGGTGTCCTTTTCTCCGCATCCTGGTGTCTCCTGACTCACCCTGTCCAATATCGCCTGACGTCTTGCATCCCACAGCAGCCAGGGTGGTCCTGGCAGGGGCAGCTTATCCACTTTGCCTCTAGGTGGGGGTGCTGAGAGCACCACTGCCTTGCAAGACCAGGGCATGGTCTGCAGCTGATGTGGAAGGGAGTCTTGCTGGAATACCAGTGAAGATCAGAAGGCTGGAAGCTGTCCCGTCTGGTTGTGGGCCCCCTAGGCTCATGTGGCGGGTCACTGCAAGAAATGGGGGGCTTTTTGGGTGGTGGGGAGGGCAAATGATTGCTGCCTGCAGCTTTCTGCAGACTGGATGGTGTCACTTAGTTCCCGTTCAGAGCTGTGGCTGAACCCTCCACAGACCAGTTGGGCAACCTCTGTGGGCCACCAGTTCCCTGCCTCTAGACTAGACACAGGCCTTTGGTCTGGTCCAGAAGAACTCAGCTTCCAGTGTCATTGTTCGGCTTACGATCGCTTCCTGGCGGCTTTCTCAGCGGGGTGCTCCCCTTCCTGTGTTCTCAGATACTCGCCTCAGGTACTTTACGAGCCCTGCACTCAGGACGTTGTCACGTTCCTGGTTGTGATGTTGTGCAACCAGAATTACATCCGCAACCCCTACCTGGTGGCAAAACTCGTGGAAGTGATGTTCATGACCAACCCCGCTGTCCAGCCACGGACACAGAAGTTCTTCGAGATGACGGAGAACCACCCGCTTTCCACCAAGTTGCTCGTCCCGTCACTGATGAAGTTTTATACAGGTCAGCTGCTTGGCAGGTCGCTCCGAGTTTGGTATTCTCCAAAATGCTTCCCTGCTGCACTGATAGTGCTTCTGTCGCTTGGTAGTCCTGAAATTATACAGAATTCAGCTTGCTCCCTTCCTTTTATAAGGTTGGAAGGTAACCTTTTCTAACCTGTGTTGGAAGCTGTTGTGTGTGCCCAGTAGTATCTGGGAAGCCAAGAACATTTTCTTTTAGCGTCCACACACTGGTTTTTGACGACACTGTTTTCTGGCTGGCGGGGATGGGAGCTGAGGGCCAAAACAGCGGAAGAACCACATGTTGTCCAGCTCTGTCTTTGTTCTCTGGCCAGGTCTCTGGGCCAGTTTTACACTTTGGCTCCCACCAGTCCCAGCCAGCATGGCCAAAGGTCAGGGATGCTGGGAGTTGTAATCTAAAGCATCTGGCGGGCCCCAGGCTGGAGAAGACTTTCTGTGCCTTTCCTACTTTGCACGATTGCCCCGAGAAACCGAGGCTGCAGCCTTCTTGTGGTTCCTGGAGCAGCACATCCTTCCCTCGTGTTCTCATCCGAAATGGGTGCCCTTTTTCTTTCTTTCTTTGCCCCTCCCTCAGATGTTGAGCACACCGGCGCCACCAGCGAGTTCTACGACAAATTTACAATCCGGTACCACATCAGCGCCATCTTCAAAAGCCTCTGGCAGAATATTGCGCACCATGGCACCTTCATGGAAGAGTTCAAGTGAGTGAGAGGCGGCTTCCTGCCCCCGGGAGGCTCCTTCTGAGCGCCGCATCGTGCAGGAAAGACTCTTTGCCTGGGGCAGCAGCACCTGCTTTCTGGGCAGAAGAGGGGCTCCAGGGTGCTGTGGGCAGAGGGTCCAGTTAGGCTTGGACTGGGACTCAGGGGACCCTGGTTCCTGCCACCACTCAAGTTACGAAGCTCACCAGGTGATTCTCAGCCTCAAGCCACTTCACAGGGTTGTTGTGAAGAGAAAGGGAGAGAGAGGAGCCGGATCATGTGTGCTGCCTTGGATTCTTTCTGAGGGGGAGGGCTGTGTGACTGTAATAATAAATCCATAGCATTTTTAAACTCGAGTAACTCGAGACGGAGAGCAGGAGGAGTGGAAGAGCCAGTGTGGCACAGGGGTTGGTGTGTTGCATGGGGACGAGGGAGATCCGGGTTCTTGTCCCCATTTGGTCAGGAAGCTCACTGGATAACTTTGGTCTTGTGACTGTTCTCGGCTTCACCTACCTTACAAGATTGTTGTGGGGATGAAAATAAAGAGGAGGAGGATCCTGTAAGCCACCCTGTGCTTCCTCAAGGGAAAGACGGGGTATAAATATCGCCATCCAAGCAAAATTAAGACCCAGGTACATTTTTTCAGCGTGTCTGATTAAAATGACCTTTGAGAGCAGCCTTGGCCTGAGAAAAGAGCTGACTGGACCAGTGGCGAAGGATTAGTAGTATAGCTTCATCCTGCATGTCCTTCGTAACAACAGCCCTGCGAGGTTGGTGCCTTATGCCTGTCTTGCGGATGCAGCCACTGGGGCCGAGAACTAGTGAGTGCTGAGCAGGGACCTCCACCTGGGCTCTGCCTGAGCGCTCCGGGCAGCGCTGGGCTGGCGTCCTGCTTTCGGCCGGTGGAGCCCAGGGTCCGCCTCAGTGAGGACTCTCCCTTTCCCAGCTCCGGCAAGCAGTTCGTCCGCTACATCAACATGCTGATCAACGACACCACGTTCTTGCTGGACGAGAGCCTGGAGTCTCTCAAGCGCATCCACGAAGTGCAGGAGGAGATGAAGAGCAAAGAGCACTGGGACTTGTTGCCCCGGGTGAGGAACCCCGGTTTTCCCCCCTCCAGGGAGCTTTTGTGCCTCTCTCAGTGGGCACTCGGGTGCCGTGTGGAGAGGCCTCCAGAAACCCGCTGCTGCGTTGGTCGCCTCTTCCCCTCGCGGGGAGAGGAGGCCCTGCGTGGCTTGGGTTTCCTCCCCCCCGCCAGTCCCCCAGTGGGAAGAACGCGGGGGCTGAACTGTAGTCTCCCCGCACAGCTGGCGGTTTATGGAGCGCTGAGGTGGGGCGCCCCTGGCCTTCTGGCATCGCCCGCAGAGCCGCCCCCTCCCAAGCTGCCCCCTCCCCGCCCAGAAGCCAGCCAGCGAAAGCCAGCCAGCCTCTCCCTCTCTCTGCTCAGAGAAAGCCGTTTCTCTGCTGTGATTTCCAGAAGAGTTGAAACGCCGTTGTCCCCAGTGTGCCCTGGCCTGCAGGGGTGGGGTGTGGGGGGGACTCGAGAGCAGCCTGGCAGCTGGGGCCGAACACGCCCCTTCCTTGCTTCTGGTGTGGCGTGCAGGTACCCCTTTTTCCTGCGTGCAAACTCATTTATAAGGGCCGCTGGCAGGAGGGACTGGGGCGGGGTTGCGGCAGGCATGTGCAGCTGGGAACAGTCGGCTGCACCGTGTCCGTGACGCGGGACGCACGGGAGCTGATGTGCAGCGCCTTCTTTTCAGGACCAGCAGCAGGCTCGGCAGTCTCAGCTCGCCCAGGACGAGCGGGTGTCGCGCTCCTACCTGGCCCTGGCCACCGAGACGGTCGACATGTTCCATATCCTCACCAAGCAAGTGCAGAAGCCGTTCCTCAGGCCGGTGAGTGCAGCTCCCATGCTGTGGCTCCCGTGACGCTGTGCTTTCCGTGATGAAAGGAGCTCGATGCAGCGGTGACAAGCCGGATCGGCAGGCTGTTTCGAATTCCTGCTTCGGTCACTCATCATCAGCTGGAGTGCTCTAAAGTTGCTGCAACGGGGATTGCGGGCTTGGCTAGCACAGGGCTGGGGGCCCCGGACTTCCAAGAGTGTTTTGGGGGCTCTGACAAAAGGGGAGCTGTGGGAGTTGGGGGCAGCCATGAACAGGCTGCTGTCCTGGATATGGGTGTAAATTTCCCAGAAGCACACCACTGAGGCGAAAAGAAGAGGTTTGCCCAAGAGCTGGAGCCTAAGGCAGGGGCGAAGTCTGAGTCCCAGAGTGTAAAGCCACCTTTCTGAACCCAAATACAGGTGGTGCTGGAGCAGAGCCCTTTGCATTGCAGCCGCCCGGTTAATGCTCCTGATAACAGTTGTACAGAATGAAGTAAAAAAGCAGGAGGGGGCTGGGAGCTTAGTGGGCTCCAGGATTGGTGCCCACGAGGGCGCTGGAGGCCTCGTTTCCTGGAGGGAAGCTCTGCTGAGCAGGAGACTTGCGCTGAGGGGCGTTCTGCATGTCACTTTAACCTCAGGCAGCTTGGGCTATGGACAGAGAGTAACCGTTCCTTCTGGTCTCATAACTATGATCATAGCTGTCCCGTGGGCTCCCTCATTCCCTCTGCCCTCCGTTCATTCCCCTTATCAGCCAGGCCCCGGGAAGCACACTGCTTCTGATCCTGGGATAATATATACCCATCATGACTGATGGCCGCTGGTTGCCTTCTCCTCTGGGGCTTGGCATGGAAAGCTTTCCAAGGCTATGGCAATTTGAGGCATTCTGTCTCTCTCTCTTTGTTCATTTAATAATTTTTATTTATTTATTTATTTAAAACATTTTTATGCTGCCCCCATCGCAACAAGGCCTTGGGGCGGCTTACAACAAAAACAAAGTTATACAATAAAAATATGAAAACCCGGTGCATCTCGGCTTAATTTTTTTTTTAAATCCTACACAACAAATTAACACTTAAAATAAGTTTTAAATAAAAAATAAAAATGGTATTTATATACCATTCTTTAGCAGGCAGTTCCAGAATGGTGTGCAAAACCCTCTTTGGGTGATCAAAGATGCAGATAAGATTGGCTTGGTTGCTGTTGGATCGTTTGGGACAAAGGAAACGCGATCTGCACCGGGTTGTAGTGGCAGGGAAGCAAAAGCACCTTGAGAAAATTCACATCCATGTCTCAGGCACCTCTTTGCTCTTGGGCATGCGGCATTTTTGGGGGATTCGCGAGCTCTTCTCAAACCAACCTTTTCTGGTTGCCTTTTCAGGAACTTGGGCCACGTTTGGCTGCTATGCTGAACTTCAACCTTCAGCAGTTGTGTGGCCCCAAATGCCGTGACCTGAAAGTGGAGAACCCCGAGAAGTACGGATTTGAACCAAAGAAGCTTTTGGACCAACTGACGGACATTTACCTGCAGCTAGATTGCCCTCGCTTTGCAAAAGCAATAGCTGACGACCAGGTGAGTGGGGAACCGTGATGCTGAGGGGAGGAGGAAAGGGGGTCGTGCAGGTGGGGAAGCCGTGGGGTTTTTCTGGAGGCAAACAGACCCGGAAGGACAATGTAACGCCTTTCTGTATCCCTTTGAGCTTTTGTTAATTATGGCAACTGGTATCCAAAGAGGTACAGGAGGAGTCGGTGTGGTCATGGGAGGGCTGGCCCGCTCTCGCCGTCTGCGCACCTGCCCTCTTTGGAGGAGCAGCCGCGTCTGCCTCGGGCCTCGCTTTTCGCTCGAGGGTGGTTGCGTGGTTCGGAAGGCCAGGGCAGGGCTGGTACATGAGCAGTGGGGAGAGGCGAGGAGGCGAGCGCCTCGTCCAAGCGCCCTCCAGGACCTGGTGCCTCCCCTCGCTTTCTTCACCTGCTGGGTTGGGTTTGGGTCAGGAGAGCACAGTGGGTCTCTGCACTGCACAGAAATCCGTATCGGGTCTCGGGCAATGCGGTGCGGTGTGATGGAGCCAACGTGAAAAATGCCTCGGGGGGTTGGAAGACAGTGGCCCCCAAAGGTTCGGGACTTCCTGTCTGTCTCAGCCTGCATGGCTGGTCGAGTGGAATGGGTGCGGGGAGCTGTCCTCTGAAAACCCACAAGCTGGGGAAGGCGGGTGTGGAAATACGTGCAGCTAAGGTCTCATCCCCCCCCCCGCACCCCCGAAGCTAGAAGGTTGTGGCCATTAAGCCTCCTGGTCTTGAGAATCGCCGCTGCTGGACTCCACGCAGCTTGCGCATGGTTTTGACTGCAGCGTTTCCAGAGCTGCCTCGGGTTTGTGCTCCCCCTCCCTCCTGGCTGATATCACTCCGGTTAGCTGTGCTGTCCTAGAACCGACGAGCCGCCCTTCCTGCAGTGATACTGCATCGAACTGGCTCGTTCCCAGCAGGTGCCGGCTTTTGCTTGCTGTGTGGCTCCTGACTGCAGGATTTTCTTGAGTGAATGTGGTGAGGAGGAAGAAAGCGTCTTGACGGCTGGCCAGCAGGATCTGGCACGGCACGGCCGTGTCCAGAAGCGTGTGTGACTGGCGGACTGCAGGAGCAGATGACCTTCACTTACTCTCTGGACCACATGCTAATTTTAGGGATCGCCCATCTGGTGTCTTGCCTAGCTGTGTATCCCTTCTACTACTGCTGTGGAACGAGATGCCTTCACAAAGCATGCGATTGCCACTCCTGTTAAATTCTGGGTATTTAGTTCTGGCAGGCAGGGTGGGAGCTGTATTGTGTGTGTTTTGCTTCTGTCAGAGGGCAGAAATGTGTAATACAGCTTCGGAGCATCTCAGGTTTCATTTAAAAAAGCAAGTTTCTAGCCCTTATGCCTGTGAAAATCCATTTTAAAGTGCATGTGCCAAACTGCTGGTTTCTTAATCCCCCCACAGGCAGGAAAACGTGTTTTTATTCAAACAGGCTTTTGGCTTTCGAGTTGACATGTCTGCTGGAGAGGGTTATAATTGGTGGGTGCTCTTTTATTTCTGTTAGCAATGGGATTTTAATTTAGTTTTATTTTTCTGTTTTCATTGCGGCTTTGGGTTTTTATGTGTAATTTATTATTGTAAGCTGTGCCTTGAGAAGTATTTTTAGAGGGAATATGGGAAGTAAATGTGACGAACAAATAGTAGATACACAAACCAGGCGGGTGGCTGAGCAAGATTTTCTTCTTCGGCAGTTAATGGAACGGCAGCTTGGTGCGCTTCCCTGTTTCAGTACCAGGCTAGAACAGCATCAGTGATGCAGAAAGGATTGCACAAAACAGTTCTGTTCCATGTGCACGATATGGAGACGGCACAGACAGCATGACCTGCGTGCAGAACCATTTGGCTTTTAGCCCACAGAGGCAGCCAGGAGCCCCCGCTGAGGTGCTGTGAGCTGCTTCATTTGACGTGGGCCTGCCAAACGTTGGGTGATGCGGCAGCGTGACAGAGCGAAGAGGCTGGGGCCACAGCGGGGAGAGCACAGGGCTTCCTTCTGGGCTTGCGGCACGCTTCGGGCTCCACTGCCTGCAACGGCGGTCAAGATCCTGGGTCAATGCAGAGAAGCGGTTTTTCCCTCGCCGCTCAGTACAAGGCAGCCGGTTAGGTCAGCCCTCCCCAGAACTCTTCCAGAGGGCACCATGCCTTTGTTCTATAGATTTGAAGGCAGGCTTTGTTTTATTCCCCTGTGTGGGCACAAGTTCACATTCCTGTTGGAGAGAGAACGGGAAAGAAGCTCAAAGATGGAATAGAGTGCAAACAGACTTTTTAAGGGCGGGCTTTCAAGATCGGTCTTCCCTTGTGTGAATTGAGTCCAGTTCTCCCACAGTAACTGTGCCAGGCAGTGAGAAATGCTTCTGGCTTTCGTATCTTTATTTATTTTTAAATTTATAGGCTGTCAGATAACCCAACAGGACTCTCTAAGCAGCGTACAACAACAGTACAATTATAAGACAAAATATTACAATTTTTCGTAGCAATTTTAAACAAAGTGTTTGTTAAATCATGGCTGTTACACTGAGGGGGCCCATCCTGTGCATGTTTAGATCATGAAAGGTTGCGAGTTGTGGGGCATTTTGGCCGCCTGAACACACCTAAGATTGTGCCCATAGCCAATAAGACAGAATCCAGTATTAAGACTGACTAAAAGTGTTCTCTTTGGGGAGTGGATTTTTTTTTAGAAAGCTAACTATTTTTAGTATAAACTGCAGGCAGAAGACACTATTCTTAGAAGATGTGTTCTCTTGCTTTGTGTCCATGGACCCCCTTTCCCTCCCTCTGTTCTAAAATTGTGCTTGCCGTGACATGCGTCCATCGTACAGTTCCCCCTGAAATTCCATGTTTCCTTACCATATTTTTCGTTCTGTAAGATGCACCTGACCATAAGACGCACCTAGTTTTTAGAGGAGGAAAACAAGAAAAAAAATATTCTGAATCAAATGGTTTACTAAACTATTTAATAAACTATAACAGAATACAGTAATACCGTATTTCAACCTTGTAAAGTGAACAGCAGTCAACAGTGGCATTAAGAACCATCATCACTGTCATTAACAAAAGAGAGACTTTAAAGTTCGAGTACTCTTCTAGTTTTCATTGAACCCATAGAACTCATCATCACTAGAGTCAGAATTTATGAAGCTCTGTTGCTCACAATCACTGACATCACTTTCTGAGTCAGCAGTGGAATTATTGAAGGAATCTACAATCTACACCAGTTATACAAGAGCTGCTGCAGACAATTCAATAACAAATCTAAAAAAGCCAGTAATGTCCACGCTGCCCTACTAGTAAATAATAGAAAAAAAACTTCTGACAAAAAATGAGATATTGTACGGTAAATCAAACATACAGCGGACTAAGTAGCCTTTGAAGAATAAACTTCATACACAAAGGTAATGCTGTTCAAATATCCACTGATCCTAAAAAAAAATGTGTCTGATCAACTAACAGATAACTGATCCATGGAAAGCTTCCTGATAATCACGGGCACCTTCCCCATCACTTCCCCATGGGCATCATTAAAAGACGGGTTGCCATTTGAAAACACACACCGACCTGTGATTAACAGCTCTCAGCTGCGCCGGAGGGGTGGGGGTGGAGCAGGGTGCACCGAGCGCATGCCGGCCAGGTGGTGCCACGTGGGGCCAGCAGCATGCCAGCGGTGGACTTCTGGGTGGCGTGGCGGCGGCAGGTCTTCCCAGACGGTGGGGGTGAGCAGTCCGTCTCTCCGTGCGGCCGGCGGGTTAAAGCCCGCGTCTCCTCTTCCGCACCTCTCCCCCTGAGCAGCACAGCTCTCACCTGCGCCGGAGGGGGGGTGCGGAGCAGGGCGCGCCAAGCGTGTGCCTGCCAGGTGGTGCAGGCGGGCTGGCAGCGTCCCGGGTGTCGGGCACACACGCATTCGCTCTATAAGGCGCACAGACATTTCCCCTTATTTTTGAGGGGGGAAAAGTGCGTCTTACAGAGCGAAAAATACGGTATATGTGAGTATATGCAGCTTTTTCATTGGTGACGCTTAAATGATTTAAGATTTGCTAAAGCAGGTGATAGCTCTTTATGATGCTCATTCTGATTTATAACCTATTTATAGCTCACCCTCCTTTTTTGGGGGGCCCATGGGCATATTTGGCAAAACTGTCCTGGGCACTGCCATACAGGGACTGCCACTGGAGGTATGGCTAGTGGCACAGCATTGGCATTCTGCCCAGATGTTGCCCTGCTCTGTGTCCCGAATCACCCTAAGGAAGGAAGCAAAGGAGGCCGAGCATTTAGCCGGGAGTTACTGAAAGGCTGCTCTGAAGGGTCTTTGGTTCCGACGAGCCCCCACCCAGCAACAGTGCTCGAGACCAGAGTGGGCGATGACTTTGGGCTGGAAGCTCACCGTGCTCTCTGGTTTTGCAGAGGTCCTACAGCAAGGAGCTGTTCGAGGAGGTAATCTCCAAGATGAGAAAGGCTGGAATCAAGTCGACAATAGCAATAGAAAAATTCAAGCTGCTTGCAGAAAAGGTAGAAGAAATCGTTGCCAAGAATGCCCGAGCCGAAATTGACTACAGCGATGCCCCCGATGAGTTTAGAGGTGCGTAGATGTTTGTGGAGATGCAGAAGCTCAAATTTGTTCCTCCCTGTTGATCGTTGAGCCTTCCTCGAATGCGAGCCTGTTTTAGGTGCCACCACTTGATGCAGGAGGGACGAGCAGCACATCTTTAAATTTTTGACAAGCTTACTCTCCTCCCTCCAGACCCACTCATGGATACGCTGATGACGGACCCTGTCAGGTTGCCCTCTGGTACCATCATGGATCGATCCATCATCCTTCGGCACCTTCTGAATTCCTCCACGGATCCCTTCAATCGGCAGACACTAACGGAAAACATGCTAGTACCAGGTAGAGGACGGGGGCTTTTGTCATGGCAAAGGGAGCAAATCATCGCATGTTGAAAAGCCGTAAAACTCCCAGCAGGCGCCTGAATTAAAAACAACAGCCCTGAAGCAGTTCATGGCAAATTTTACAATTTCATGAAAGCACAATATTTAATGTTGACCTAAACAAGTCGTTCATAATAATCGAAGGCATGTGATGCCACGGGTCTGACCTGTCACAAGGTGGGGGGGGTCATTCCAGAAGGAGGGTGCCACCACTGATAAGGCCTGTTCGTGTTGCCTCTGGGTGAGGGTCTCCCAGGTGCATGGCATCAGCATCGAGCCCCCCCCCCCCCCCCAAAAAAAAAGATGATAGAGGAGTCTCTGAATGGGAAAGACAATCCTTCCACACAACCTGGTCCCAAATTGTTTAGGGCTTTGTAATTGCTTGCTTGCTTGCTTGCTTTTCTATCCTGTCCCCTACAGAACGTCTCGTGACAGCTTACAATACATACAATAACTATAGCCATAATGCCCTGAACCAGGCTAAGCTGTTGAATTACACGGGCTGTTTCTATCATCTGGTCGAATGATATATCCGTGTCCCAAAAGGACTTTGTCAGAATGGCACTCTGCATGGCTCTGCTGCTTTCTGGGAGAGGGGGCTTCTGCCGCAGAACTGTGCAGCTTGTTACGTAGTCTAACAGCATGTGGCTGCAGCAAAAACTAAACATTCCCTTTTGACCTAAGGACCTGTTTGCGAGTTAAAGGTGCTTGACGAGGCAGGAACAAGGCCGCAGTTCCCGGCATGCCCCAGCCAGCGGGGCTCTGGCGTGCTGGAGCGGGGGACGTGGGCTTTCCTGGGCAGGTGAGTCGCAACCAGCGTCCTTTTCAAAGGCGTGACCCCTTTCTGTCGTGCCCCTTTCAGTGCCAGAGCTGAAAGAGCAGATCCAAGCCTGGATGAGAGACAAGCAGAATGCCGAGCACTGAGGCAGTGGAAACGCACACGCCACGGCCAGCTGTGTGGAGCGGGGCGCTGGGCCAGGCCACGGGATGTGCCGACGGAGCTGGGGCCAGCCTGGGGCTCCCACGGCGCCTGCTGCTGCAGCAGACGACAAAAAGCAGCTTGTGGGCGGAGAGAAGGAGCGACATCATCAAAGCAGCTTAAGTCTTGTACATATATTTAAGTGACGAAACGATGGTCTAGAGCCTTGGGGGGGATAAGCTAAGAAGCGCTGTTATGGAACACAATCTTCTGGCATCTCATAATTGGGATTCATGACGAGCTGAATCTTTTTTTTTGCAAAAGATGTGTGGATTAAGGCAGCAAACCCTCAACGTGTTGGTTTTTGTTTTGTTTTTTTAAGTATATATTGCCAGATCTCCATTAATTTGATTGTGGTTGATACCTTGAAGATGTTGCTGCTAAAATAATCCCACCCAACTTTTCATTTCTTCCCCATCACCTCTTCCTGCACTATCCCGTCTCCTTTTTTCCTGTAATGTGAAGAAAATGTTCCCTATATATGTATATATATATTAAAAAGTCCTCCTCTAACCCCAAGAGAACATAATCTTGAAAAGACAAGTGTGCCTGGAACAAGTGTTAATCTTGGGGGGGAATCATATTTTTCTATTATACATATTCATTTATTTTTATTTGGTAGGCCGTGTACAAGGAAAGTAATTCACCATGGCGTTTTTTTTCTCCCTTGGCTTTCTCTTTTTTGGCACATCGATTTTAAGTTGTCTGACATGTCCCTTTGTCTTTTGGGAGGGACTTGATGCTCTGGAGGTTTTTGGTTGAGTTTTCTTTGTGGAGCCTTGTAAGCCTACTGAAACAGCTGCCACGGAAAAATTGGTGTGGAAAACCGGGGCTCCATTGACTTAAAAGATATATATAGAGAGAGCTATATATATTAAAAAAAATCTTTTTAAAGCCAGAGAATCGAATAAGCTAAATGGTGATGATTCTGAGTCTTTAAAGAGCTTGTCTCCAGGGGTGGCAGGGTAGAGCGGGCAGGATGCAGATCATTTTATTCTCGGCACCCACCCTAGTCGAGGCCGAGATCCATTTTTTCGTTGCGTACCAGTTTTGTATCCATGGCTTGGCCTTACCAAAGCAAAAAGGGTGCAGAAAAAAAAATGTAGACTTGCTTTTTTTTTAAAAAAAGAAACTATATAAAAAAGACAAGACATTTTTGTATGACTGCCCCCTGCTTAAAGATACTTGAATTTCCTTTTTAAAAAGGATTTGAAACCACAGTGTTTTAAAAAGAAAAAAATTAAGCCTGAAAAGAAAACATTTTCTTTTCTTTTCTGCTGACAATGTCCTCTGTTCAGTTCCTGATTCTTGAAGAATAATAAATGGTGATAACGCATTCACAAGAACCCTCCCTAGTCTCTCTCCTTTTGTTGTCATGTGTCATAAAAGAAACTCACTCCACTCCCTAAAAGGTGATTTCCCCTTCCCTTGTGGAAGTCAAGCTGGCGTGCATCGAGGGTGCCCAGCGGAGGGCAGGGCCATAACGGCAGGGCATCTTTCCGCCTAAAGCTCTTGGTCCCAGCCACTCCACCGTACGAGAGGCATCTAACTGTTTAAAATGGGTGGGCACTGCACAAAAGCCAGGAGAACACTACAAGATTGGCAACTTGTCCGGAAGTGGGGGGGGCGGAAGAATGGGCTAAACCCTTCTGGGGAATCCCAGGGGGCTGGATTGGGCTCCCAGACCTGAGATCCTGCAGGCTTGGGGTACACCGTCCTCACCTGGCACAAACCCTGTGCTCAAGCCGCCCACGTTGGTACAGAACAATTCACCAGGATTCCTGGCGAGCTTGTGACCTGGCAAACTGCTCGTTCTCATGTTCTTTGGTCCTCCCTTTGTGTGAGTGAATGGATTGCTCAGACCGGGGGTCGATGCTGCTCGTGAATCCTCCCTTATCTGGGAGCAGCAAGCCACGATCCTGGGTTTGGAAGTCCGTCCCTGTTTTGGTTTGTCCAACAGGCTGCACGCACTGGGGGTGAGAGCAGCCAGTGACTTTTCCAAGGCTCCCAGTAAGCTTCATGGCTGTGGAGGAGCTGAAGCTTGGCTCTCCCTCAACTTTCGACCAGCATTCTAACTTCTACACCCCAAAAGTTCTTTCCAGACCAATCATCAATCTTTCCAGAAGGCAAACCTTCCAGATACATCATCCGGCATGTCTCATGTGGAAAGCAAGTGCCTGACCACCAAAGGATCCACTCATGCTATGGAACAGCTATAAAGGAAAGCAGACATCTCCTGTGCTTGGACTCATGTTGGGTAGTTTCCAGAGGCTGGCTGCGGTAGTCTCTTGCACCGAAAATAACAAGCCTTGTGGAATCCTAAAGAGAGACCAATCGCTTCTGGCATAAGACTTTATAGGCTATTGCCCTCTTCATCAGATGTAAGTGGGCTACATTCCATTTAAATTTATGCTAGGAGAAATTGGTTTAATCTGTACAATGCCCCAAGACTTTGTTTAGAAGTAAAGTTGCAAGCCAAAGTGCTCTTATTTTTAAAAGGGTGCGGGGAGTTAACTGGCTTGCATGCACACTACATTTCTGCAATAAAATTCTTACAAGGGAATAACTCAAATATTGCAAATAAAGTTCATGTCCATGAACTTGCCTATTTCAGATAGTTCTGCTTGTGGAAGAGGAATCGGAGTATTGGATAAAAGGCTGAATTCTATTTTGGAGAAGCGCCTGGGGGACACAGTGCAGTAGTGGGAGGAGGGGCAAAGAGGGCAGGGCCAAAAAATGAAATACAGCAGCATACTTTAAAGTTCTTACGGCCAGAAAGCAGGACAAGGCGGCCAGATAATTCTGCCCCTCAGCCTATCGCTCTCCCTGGCTTTAAATTGTAGGCTATAAAACTCTGTGGTTAGGGAAGTTTGCCCCTAGTGGTGTGAAGGTGTTATTGCAGACAACAAAAAGGATACATTTAAATTAATTAGAATAAATTAATGCATTTTCAACAGAAACTCAACCAGCGGAGGACATCCCTACAGTGCCCTTAATACGCACACCAAGTTTCAGATGTCTAGGTGACAGGGTTGGCTGGTGGTGAGAAATGTCCTATTTTGTTATAGGCAAACATGGATTATGTTTGCTGATAAAATATTATATGGGCAATGGAAAAGTGGAGTAAGGAGAATTGTGATTGTTCTTTACAAGGAATACAGATTGCAACTATAAGCTATGTCCACAGTTTTAAATGTCAGAACTAGAACGGTTCTCTAGCTTAACACCCAAGAATCATTGTGGAAACAAATGAACTTATTTTGTAATGACTCTGATGTATAAGCCTGCTGACTTGAGAATACTATGCATTTCTAAGTCTTGTGTGCCATGATGCACAAAGCAAAGAGTTGTGAAGGAAGGGACTGACAGGGCAAGTTAAAAGGCAATCTTGTATGTATTTAGACGGAAAATGGCCTACGACTCCCAGCATTCTGCAGCCGGCTGTGCGGTAAGGTTTTTTTCTATCTTAAGGACTGTGCTCATGCCATCTTCATCTAATTTTCCCATCTGTGAGAATATTTACAGCCTGCTCCTCAGGTTTGACAAGCATTGTAAAACTTTTTGGACACTAAGCTCTGCTTTTAAAGTCTAATAGATGTTAGCCCTGTACCCTTTAATTGCTAAAGAAATTATGAAAATATTAATTAGCAGCATCGTGTATGGATTACCACTATGGACGATGGAATACTCTCAAAGGCAGGGCAAAAGCTGCTTCAGCTATCGTCACTACCAGAATATGGCATGAACACAACACATTTGAAAGAGGCTAAGATTGCTAAATGCATGTCAATGACTTGCAGGCAGAGCCTGATATCCTCATTCTCATCATCCCACTTTTCTCTCATTTTGGAACTCAGGGTGCCGACATGGATTCCCAGGTGGTCTCCCTCCAAGCTCAACATGATGGATGTCTTAAGTGCCTTCAGACCATAATTTGGGATACAATGGAGGGAGAAAATATTTTAAGAGAGGAATGATGATGTGTATTTCAGCCTTTTCTAAGGCTGGCTATCTTCTAGAGGTTTTGGACTTCATCTCCCATCAGCCTCAGCCAATGTGGCCAGGGATCAGAAGTGCTAGGAGCTATATAGTCCAAGACCTCTGAAAGTCACCAAGATGGAGAAGGCTGGTTACTTTGTCCAGTTCTGTTCAAACCATAGGGAAAGCTTCCATTTTCCTTGTATGTCTGTTTCCCTATAGTTGTCTTAAAATGCCTTCTTTAAATCACAGCTACTGGAAGGAACCTACCAAAGGCAAACAGGCAGTATTGAATTACCATTGATCCAAGTTAAGGGGCCATTTGATGACTAAGTGGTCATTCCACATATTTTTCAAGTGAGTTCAGAGACTACAAATTTAGCTCAGAGCAGATCTGTGTCAGGGAAACAATCAATTTGGAAGGATGAGTGAAATTATCCTAATTATCAACACAATCAGAACACCGGAAGATGTTTTATGCTTAGTCAGACCTGGGTTTATCTAGGCCTGTTCTGCGGCTCTCACGGGTTTCGGGCAGCGTTTCCCCAGCCTTTCCTAGGGGTGCCTGCGGAATGAACCTGTGGCCTTTCCTCTGCAGAGCAGCTTCCCTTCCACCTCCTCATGGGAGTCAGCAATGCAATGATGCAGTGTCCCCCGGTGCGCTCCAAAACCGAGGGCACCGATGAGCACAGAACAGGCACGTGCTGAACCGCATTCGCAGATGTGCCTCTGGGAAGAATGTCTGAGAAAGAGATGCAATCCATTCTCACCATCCTGAAATGGGCTGTGAAAATAGTGCCCGGGTGGCTTGCTTGCTTGCCCGCTGCATTTGCTGACCAGGTGTGAAATGTGGATGGCCCAGTGCCCTGCCGTTCTCTCTGGGGGCTTTTTATCAGCAAATGTGAACTTGACAGCCCATCGAACAGCGGATTGCCACACCGCGAAGCAGGATACATGCCCCCGCCAAGCACTACGGACTAAACTCTCCCGCTCTCTGCAGATGCTCCAGGAATACATTCACAGGGTGAGCCTGGATTTAAAGGGCTTTACAAATAAGTCTTTACAGACTGTTGGCTGTAATGGTTGATGGGTGATGGAATCTGCTTTTGAAACCAACGTGCGGAAATGGGTCCTAAAGATACTGTTGGTTATTCTGCCTTCTCTCCCCACGTCCCACATTCTTTTGTGTCTAAAAGGCATATGGCAGAGGCCTCATCGCCCAGCACTAAGCAGGTCCATCTCACTCATCTTCTACCTTCCTGCAGAAGCCCTTTAATTTAGGTGGACCCTTTGCTCAGTCAGATTGACTTCTTGTTTAATAACTGTTTGATACGAAGACCAAACAAACATGCAAGTTTGCCCTTTCATGGAACAGAATGGGGTTCCACCTAGATTTACCAGCCAGAATCTAATGCCTTAATTTTAGGACGACTTCAGCATCTGCAGATGATTCACTGGACCAAAAAGAAGAACAACGGTGTGCAGGAAGGTTAATGAATTTCTGGATTCAACTAGGTTTTGACAGCAACAGGATAGTATAGATTTTTAAAAACTCCTCCCTTTTTAGCAAAAAGAACAGCTGGGCCTTCCATATACTTTGGACTACAAGTTCCAGCCATCTTGATCATTGGCTGGGGCTGGTGGGAACCTAAGTCCACAGTCCAGGCTGGCCTAGATGGAGTTCTGAGACAGGCCATTACTACAAATCAATAGGTAGAATAAAAAAATCTGAGGCACCATAAATATTTAAAGGTATTTGGCTATGACTTTAGAGTATGCTGCAGAGTTCCTGAACAAAAACCTGCTTTAGTATTTATATGAAATCAACAATTTATGAGCAGGGCAGTGGGAGATTGCCAAGCATGCTGAATTTGAGGGTCAAACTGCACGTTATATTGAATATATAGCATGCATTGGGACTTTTTTTAACTCACAAGTAAGTGCTTGGATTAGAACCACTACCTGCAGGTTTAAATCTTCTTCTGCCAGCCCCGTTTTCTGAAATACTCAGACATTGACTAAAAAGCGGAGACAAAGTCTTCACTGGAGGCTCCCCTTCTCCAAAACAGGGAGGGAGATTTTGGAAAATTAGTGGAAGAAGGGAGGGAAATATTTAAATGTCCCCTAAACATATGTCCTCAGTTGTTTCTGCTATGGGTGGAAAAGAAAAAGGGCCGACGGCACCCCGTGTGTTCTGGACACTGTGCAGTTTGGCCCCAAATGCGCCATCTTTGAAATGCTGTGGGGTGGGAGCAAGAATTATCCACAAGTGCTCATGCTTTACAAACCACTCGGCAGACTTACTTTCTCATGCTGAGAGTTTTATCTTTTGCCAAAGGATTTGTTTTCTTAACCGAGAAATCAGATTATGGGATAGCATAATGATCTATGAATAGTCTCCTGAATCTGAAACGCATGCTGTCAATTCTAACCCGTTTCGTCCTGGGAGCCCTCCCAGGCAGGTAGCCATGCTTTGAAACTTGAAAAATTAATGAGGTAAACATAAATCTAAAATCCTCTGCACTAAAAACAGATAGGAATGAGCTCATACTTGCTTCACCCCCGACCACTAAAACCTCACCGTTGCCAATCCGAGTTGACCTCTGTTTGCTATTCCCTTCTGTCCCGCCACCTTTCTAGCTTTAATATATCCTAACATCTTGCGGCTGCATTTTTTTGTGTCCTATGATACGGAGTGGCATTCAAAGTACACAAAATTGCCAGTGGTGGCAGAAACCTGGAAGCAGGTAGGATGAACTTGCCCCCAGCCTCTCCTTCTCCCTGCTGGAGGTCTGGCTCACTAAAGCCTCTGCCCCCCAACATTTTCTCGGGGCACTTGCTGAAATAAAGGCCCAAGTCGCCTTTGATTACACTGGATTAACTGGCTTTTGGCCCCAAATGCTTCCCTTCCAGCAATTTTTCTACCTGTGTGAGTGTGGGTTTTTTATCAGATGTTCTTCTCCCCTTTGTCCATATATTCCTTTAATACAGATGGATCTCCTTAGGAAAAATGGCTCTTTGTGCATGAGCCGGCTCAAATGTGGGCATGTCTTTTCCCCCCCTTTGGTCCCGAGTGCTGCACCTTTTTGGAACTGAGCCCACTCCTCAGCCTTGGGGGATGGCATTGCTATGGTGAGCAAGACCAAAAATGTGAAATACCCCAGCTTATTTGAGTTTTAAAAGCTCTTGCTGCCAGTAACTCAGCCTTAGAAAAGAGGCACTCCAGGTTTTCAGAAAGCGGGAAAATGGCGAATGCCAAGAATCCAGCGAAATATTGGTAGTTAGAAGGGCACTTCGCTTTCTGGAGGCCACAAAAGGCCCGATTTGGGCCCCGGGTTTGAAGTGCAGCATCCCTGGTATGTGAGGAGCATATTTGTATATTGGCAGTCTGTGCCAGATGACGACTAGGAATTCCAATACAACCTACACATAATTTTAAACAGTAATTTAAAAATCCTCCTATCTGATGGCCTATTGGCAAATATTCCCTGGGAGGAGTTACAAGGAGTAAAAGGAGAAAACAGTGATAAAGAACAGAAAACTTTCTAGGGAAAGGATAAATTCTTGTAAACGCGTTTGCTACATTCACACGTTCGCTGCGGGCCCACTCTTTTTTTCTCTTTATATGCTGCTTCCTCCCCTCGAAGAGACCAAATTGCGCCTTTAAACAATGTCCTTCTCTTAAAAAATGTCCTTCCTACCAGGCGCCACACAAAAGTGAAAAGAAACCCACGTCTGGGAGGGAAAAACGCGACGAGGTCCCCTTTTATAGCTCCCTGCGGAAGGCTTCTCTGCCACCAGCGTTCTCCGTCCGCTAGAGGGCGCCTCGACATATTCCTGCGCGACCGGCAAAGAATCCCACAGGGGAGTCAGATTGGAGCGGAGAGGGAGGGACAGCCAGAGAGCCGGCAATAATTCCTTTTTCGACCGCTAATTGGACGGCTCGCCAGCACCGTCCCGCCCTCGCGGCGTTTTCCCTTAATTGGATTGGCACAGAGACGCCCGGTGATTGGCAGGTACGGCTTTTCTCCCCCTCGACCTCAGCTTTCCGATGGACTGGACGAGCCTCCTATCCGCTCACTCCCCGGCCGCGGCGATTGGACGGCTGGAATCCGTTCCCTTCCCTCTGGTTGGAGCGTGGCCGCGAGGACGGGGTGGGGCTTTCGGAGGGAGGGGGCCGCGCTCCCGGATCGTTCTCTTGTCAGTGCAGCGGCGGCGCTCCTGTCAGGCGCTCGTGGCCGAGGCCCCTCCCTCCTTCCCTCCGTCGCCCCCGCTCCCCGATGCCGCTTCTCGGGGGCTCCGTGATGAGGCTCGGAGGCCTCTACCCCGCTGGCTTCGCCGCCATCTATCGTCTCTGCTGAGGCGGCAGGCGCTGCGGCTGAACCTCGCCGCCGGTGTCCCTCGCTCTTGCCCGCACTGAGGTAACGCGGCAGCTGTGCCGGGGGGGGCGGGGGGAGTCGGCTGGCGGGTCACGTGGCTGGATGAGGCGGGGAGGGGCGCGCGTCTGGAGCCCTCTCCCCCACCTGCCCTTTCTTCCCGGGGTTCTCCGAGCCCACCCGCCAGGCGCAGGGAAAAGGCGAATAAACGGGGGAGGACTGAACATGTCTTCACCCCCCGGGGCTTTTATGTTTTCTTTCTTGACCCCCCCCGTTACTACCCCCTTTTTATAATCTCCTTCCCTTTTCATATAATCCCCCCCCGCAGTGTCCTGCATTTCCCTTCCCTTAGTTACCTGTGATCGATCTCTCTCCCCCTCCCCCTCCCCCCTCCCCCTTTTGCCTGTTTTTCCTCTGACCATTATCAGAGAACTCCCCCCCCCCAATAGGAGCTGGGGGTGCTAAAGGGGGAGAGGTGGAGTTGGGGTGAAGCCAGGGCTGGCTGTTAACCGCTACATCCCCCTCTTTTCACCACGCATTTAGGCAAAGGCAAAAAGCTGCCCCATTTCCCAAGTGTGTGTGACCCCAAGTGACTTCTTTTAAATGGATGGTATAGGAAGTGTTATAGGTATTCTTATATTGCTCTTCAATCATATATTCCCAGGACAGATTGTGAGAAGGAAGAAATATGTGTCTGTTGTTGTTTTTTGGACACAATTAAAAACAACACAATGGTAACGGAATATTAGGTTTACTAATGTATCCACCTTTTAAAGTTGTCTTTCTTCCTACACATTTCAATCAGAAGGGCGCACACCTGCCTCTCTCTCTCTCTCTTGCAAATGGCCATCCTGTTTATGTTCTACTCGGAAGTCGATCCCATTGGCTTTATGGGGTTTACACCCCAGTAAGTGTACCTGTGTGTTGGAACTTGAACATTCAGTGCACTTGGGTGACAAAGGGATTGTTGGTTCCGAGGACACAGCTGGCTGTGCCATTTAGCGGGTGGGGAGGGAATCTCGGGGGGATGTGTCACTGGTGGGGGCGGGGCAGGTGCATGTGTAATGACGACACAATTTTTGCTTCCAGCTATACATAGATAATAGCCTGTGTAGGAAGTCAGCACCTGCGTATTTCTCCCCTTATACGCAAGCTTGTGTGCAGGTCTGCAAAATACACACAACTGAGAAACCAGCAGCTCTCAGTGTTTAGCAGTGTGCTTTAAGATGAGCAGCTGCCTGTGATTTTCTGGGCCTAAAATATATGTGTAAACATATGTGGATTTTTCTTGTTCACATACACACACACACATAAATGGGAACAGTAATTTTCCTGAACAATCCTCCTTCTCCTTAGACTTGCTCTAGGAGCAGCTCATTTCCGTACCAGTTCCTCTTCTTTTCCACAGAAGAGTTCCTACTCACCTTTTTATTGCTGTTTTCCATGTTCCTCCTGCAACTGTTTTCTATAAGAGACTCATAGCTTGAGATCTTGTGATAGCCTGGCCTTAAGACTCTCATCAAATGATGACATAGAGCACCTCCCAGCCCAGCAAAGTTTGAATCTTCTTGCCTTAGTGCACCTCCTCCCACCAAGGCCATCATTTTCCTACTGAGAACCACTTTGGGATTACAAAGGCTTGTTAGTCATAGGAAGTTTCTGTAGTGTTCCCTGGCAACAACAATCTCGAAATAAAATGTCTATTAGGCTGAGATTTTAACATCAGGGAAGAAGATCTGTCATTCCCAAGGAGATCTACCTGATACCTCTGAATCCTAGCTCTAGCAGGGCTGCTTTTGGTGTGAATTATCTCAGAATCTCCTCTCCGGATTCAACTGTATTGTCATCTTGGTTTTCACTGTTTGCCTCCCTTCTGCCTAAAGTGCTGTTGCAGCTAAGGCATATCCTGGGTTTCTTCTCTTCTCATCTTTTAAGCAGGGTGGGGTTTGGAGCTAAGGCCTCCTCCATTCTGTGCTTGCCTCTCCTTGTAACCCACCCGTTGTGGTTTCCTTCAGTAGTGCCTTGTCTGAGGACAGCAGAAAGCTCTGTGTTTTTGTTCCCCTCCCTCTCACTTTAGGCCTCTTCACCTTCCCAGAGAGTTCCCATTCGGCTTTGGTATGTTCTCTCCCGCTTCCTCTGTATCCAGCACAGCACAATTACCCGGGCAGCCATATTGGAATGATAATCTGACAGTCCTCCAGGAGCTTAGTCGGGGATGGGGCAGAAGCCTGAAAACGGCTGACTTGGAATCCGTGGCTTAATGCAAATGCTGACCAGGGATCTTGGAATCCTCTTTTTGCTATTGCCTGCTTGCATTTTCCTATCGTATGCTCTGTAACTCCTACGTACAGTGAATTTCCTAGGGTGGGGTTTTTAGATGTGGTGTGAGGCATCTCGCTGTGCCCTGTGCACTTCCTTAGGTTTTTTTTTTTAATGTATCGTGAAAACTGATGTTTCATTGTTTGGATCAAAACATTTAAGTCTTGCCCTATTTGCTCTGGCTCCCTGCTCCTTTCCTCCATGTTCTACTAGATACGTTAACCTAGCTTGTGGTGACTGCTCGGAATTTTTTATGCAAAGTGCTTTGTATACATTTAGCATTATAGAAATGGATGATGGGAGTTATTTAAAGGTCAAGTCCAGTTCACACCTTCTCTGGAGGAAACCTTATTGAACTTGGTGAGACTTACTTCTGAGTAGACACATCTAGGATAGCTCCCTCTCAGGCTTTCATAGCAGTCAGTATAAGCATTAAAAATACAGATTCACAACAAGCGTAATCTGATAGTGTTCATGTACTTGTTCCACTCATTTCATTTAAATTTTAACGTTTAGCAATCCTTATTAAGAGAGTTCAAACTGCCTGTTTGATCCCTTGATGGAGTCCCTAAAATTATGCTCTCTCCAGTCCCCAGGCTCACAGATATTCACCCCATGCCTGTCTGTGTTGTCATCTTAGTCATAGTGCAGTGATTGGGATTCCTGTGCTTAGTAGTGAAATGATAATTAAAAAGTCAGCATGGGTGTCTTCAGTTTATTTTATGAGGCCCTCCAGAATTCTTGGGTTTGCTCTGAATGTATCACTCTGCCTTGTGGAGTCTCTGATAGTTGCGTGTGGGATCCTGTGCTAGGAAAACACCCAGGACACATTATAAAATCTCAAACATGTGCCTTGTATTACTCAAGATTAATTTCCTCCTAGATAATTTGTATTTGTCAGATAAGGAGTTAGGATGGAAGACATGGTACAGATAGCGGAGGGTATGAACCATAGACCTTCGCCACCCAGCAAACCAGAATTGGAGCTTGGGCAGAATAATAATAATTTTGCACAGGTTTAGGGATGTGTGTAGGAACTGGAAACTCTGCTACATGTATGCCAGATTTCTCAGTTTTCAACTGATGAAGGCTGAAAAAACGCTAAGTGCTTCTGTGAACCAGCAGTAAAGTTTTTATCATCTCTCCTGGTTTTCTCTCTCCTAGTTGTATTCCGAAGGAAAGAGGCTGGGGGATTTTTCCATTGCTTGGTCTTGTCCTACCTATTGTCACTATTTACATGCTGTGCTGTAATCAGGAGGACTAGAAAATTGTCTTTTAAAAAGGCAGCTTCTTAGGCTACACAACAGATTTTGTGTGGTATTCAAATAGCCCAAAATGACACTGTCAGTGCTATAGACAAACGTCTAAATGCAGGGCTCCTAAATTATATCTTCTGCAACATGTATATGAATGCTAATTCAGCAGCTTTATTGTACTGTTTTGCCAGCTTTATAATGAATCATCAGTATTGTTTCTTTGATTGCGTGCATTTGCTAGTCACTTGTAGAGGAGAACAAACTTACTTGTATTTTTTAAAAAATCCTTGCCTGGACTTTTAGATTAAATTCCTATTCATCACAGGTGACCTAGTGAGTAGTTATTTACAGTTGTAAACTCTGGCTTAAGTTAGGTCTACTGTCATGCCTGTTGTTCTGTTACTACCAGTATGTAACATCTTCTTACTATAGACTAGTATGGACAATGTTCAGAAGGTTAAGTAACTGAAGGATGCTGGAAGGTGTGGCCCAATACATCTAATGTGCAGATTGGGAAGGCCAACTCATAGTCAACACCCAGAATATGAAAGAGCTGCAAAGTCTGATGGCGACTGGGGGTAGCTGTAGTGCTCTCCTCAGTGCAATTTTGTGGGCTGCATGCATTCTGATCCTGCACTCTGTTTCTGAGAGCGGCTCGTCGGAGGCATTTGTGACGGCTCGGGGACAGTAGCCCTTGTGGCCCCCACCCCGTGTTGCCATCTGCAGCGTGTGGTATTCATGTGTATCCTCGCTGAGATACCATGGTGAGCGCTACATCCGGTGGTAGCACCTCCCCTAGGATGTGCTGCACAGGAGCCTCTTGCAAGTCTTGAACCCACTGCTGCTGCTTGAGTGACTCTAAGCTCCAGTGTTACAGACCTGAGAGGGAGAAAAATGCCACGCATTGAAGCAGGGAGCAGCACGGGGGAAAGGCTGGTCTGTCTCTGTCTTTGCACGGTTTTGGCCTCCCATGGTGGCTCATGACCAGGACGGAGTGTTGCTGTGGTTAGTTTCTGTGTTAGAAGGTATGTTCCCCAGATTTGCAGCCCTCCCCCTTTGGGCTTCAGCTCCCCTTAGCCCCAGTCAGCTTGATTAGGGATGCAGTCTGCGGGAAGGCTGGTATATACTTTCTAATATATGAATCTGAATGCAGGTGTTTTGGGTTCCTTGCTTGTTTCGGGGAGCGGACGTGCATTGTGGCTTTCTTCCACAAGAGATGCAGTGGTCCTCTGTGTCTCTGCTTATGAACAGGAGCACTGGAAGCTGTCCAAGACCAGGCCCAGTGGCTTGTCTGGTCTGCCCGATGGCAGTTCTCCAGTGTCCACATCACCTGGTTTGCCTTTAATTGCAGGTGCTGGGGGGGAGCTCATTCTTACGACTTGTAAAGTTGCATCTGCAGTTAGCATGACTTGGCTGGAAGCTGTAAACTTGTGGAAGGAGGACTATTTAAAAGAAATCAAAATGTCTAGTCTTGCATGTTGTCTTTTAGGCGGACAGTCTCCCTTCTTTTGGAATCCTTTTTGTTTTCCTGACAATTCTGTGGAACACTTTGTTCAGCAGCCTCCTCCATTTTTCTTGGTTTTGTCATCTGCAGCGTGAAAATACATACACTTGCTAAGAAAGGCTTGCTTGTAAGAATGCAGTAGAGAAATGTTCATGCCGAATGTTTTAGTAAAATACACATTTTGAAGCCATACTAGAGTACTAGACTGTGTCCTCACCTAAATTTGACATTTTAGCAGTAAAACGTCCTTCCTTTAAAGCTAAATAGAGTTTTGTTGACGACTGTTCTGTAATTTTGCATGTTCCTTATTCTGAAATGTGTTTAGTATTTTGATGCGATAGCATATACCTGAGAATATGAAGGAACGTGGCACCTAAATTATATGATGGAGGAGAACATGAAAGTTCAATGAAATTTACGTTCGAAAGGCCTACCTCCCTTGCCAGTATGCATAAGGTCTGCTATATATGTCTGTGTCTCAATGTAAAGGTGGAAAGTATGGAGAAAGAACAGTTGAGCAACTATGGTGCTTAGGGAATCCGTAAATGAAATTGCTTTGCTCACGCAGCTGCTGGTATCTGTCATCCTGTGGGATATGCATGGTCTTCTGCTCTTTTGCTCTTAATTGAAGGAAGATGTGTGGTGTGTGATATTATTAGTGTAGCTCATTCTCTCAGGTAGGAGATGGTATTTGTTAATGGACCAGGAGGCTGAATCTGTGTTCCTTGCCTCACAGATGAGGATGAGGAACGCTTTGCCCGTGTGCTGTAAGAAATTGCAGAAGACCACTTAAGTGAAGCATTCAAAAGTATTCAACACAACTTTCTCTTATATAACTAGAAGCTTTCAGTTCCATTATCCAAAGTGCTTTTACTTATATTCTATGGCAGCAGAATCAATGATAAAATATTGGAGAAAGCTTGTTTGGTAGCATTAGAATTTGGATACTTTTGTCTTCATCTTCTGGTTCGTAATGTTGTAACACTTGTTTTACATACTCTGAGCTATTAGCTGTTGCATAGAGTTGGAGTCATTTATGTCAGCTTGTCGGCTCTCCATATGCTTTGGGCTACCTTTCCTATCAGTCCTAGCCCTGGCTAGTGATGAATTAGGAAAACTGGAGGTCAGAATCTGGAGGTCCACAGATTGTGCCCCCAAAGTTACATGCACATTTACAGGCTATGGATTAGGGCCAAGACTCAGCAGCAGAGCCCATGTAGAAGGTCTCTGGTTCAGTCCCTGCCATCTTAGGGCCGGGCTAGGGAAGGACCCTGCCTGAAACAGGGGGAGCAGCTGCCCGTCTTCATTAACAATACTGTTCTAGATGGCCAGTGCTGTGACTCAGTATAAGGCAACTTCCTATGTTCCTGTGAAGCCTTTACTCTAGACATCTCATTCTTCTTTCGCTGTGGCATGAGGAAGGACAAGTTAGGGAGCAGTCTTGGCTCCTCTTGGCTTGCGGATGGAACAATAGGGCTTGCATCTTAACAGTGTAATTGCTGTGGGAAACAAGATTTTCTAATTAACTGCATTACTAAACACTCATTGCCGATGTGGGGCCCTCTGAATATGTTTGACTCCAGCCCCCATCATCCCTAGACAGCTCGGTCATGCTGCTGGCGATGATTGGCATTGCAGTCCGTCACTTCCGCGGAATGCCAGGTTGGCCAAGGCTATGTCAGAACGTGGCCAAGCACCCACATTTGCTTCCTTTTCTTTCACTGTGAGTTGCAGCCTCATGCCAGTGGTGCAGTGACAAAACCGCATCTTTGATGCAGTCTGCTTTCCCCATTTAAAAATAGGTCCTTGTGTAAAAGAAGGTGATCATGGTAATAGAGATCAGAGCTTTTGAAGACTTCTTGACAGAAACTAGTCCTTTCGGTGAAGGGACGGATTTGTTCCTGCGATTTCTTTTCTCTCATGTGAAAAGTTTCATCTGGCAGAGTTGGTGCAGGCAGGAGAAACTGACTGGTTCCCTATCCAGCTGGTGGCTGCAAAACGTGCCATGTATGGGGTCTAGGCTGTGTTATTGCTGCCCAGGGTTAGTCTGTGTTTCTCTCAGGTCATTTAAAATATTTATTAATTTCCTTCAATCCCCAAGGTGTTACTGTCTTCTAAAAAAGCAATAATACATAGCAAGGCAATCAATTAAAAGGTTGAAAAGGGCAGCTGTTAATAATAGTAATAAGCAATAATAGAAAATAATCAGAACCAGCCAGAGCACAAGTCTTTTTAGCCTGCCTCTAGCTAGGCAAAGATGGAACTAATCTAACTAAATTAATTACAGTGGTCTGCTAAGTGCTTCCTCTGTACCCTGTACTGTAGTAGCCCCTGAATCACCCCAAACATTCCACCAGCAATGGTGGTCTAACACATCTTGAGGCTACCATATTGGGGGAAGGCTGATAGGACAAAGGCAGCAATTCAAAATGGAGAGCACAGTTGAATGTTCATAAAAATAAGGTTGATCGCTCTGTTCATTCCATCAGGCTGCTGCCAGTGCAAAATCCCAGACTATTTTGATTAGATTGCCTGTGGTGTTAGTGCAGTGGCTAGAAATTGTGGGTGGTTTCATCCTGTTTTAGTTCTTTTTGTACAGCCTGCTTTTAACACAAAGAAACAAGCAGCAATCTGTTTTTTAAAATAAGGAATCTGACCCATTAGAAAATGAGTAAATTTGTCAGTAAATATAATGAGTCAATAAAAACTGGGATTGAGGTGCTAAATGTTCTTTTCTATCTTTTAACATGCCAATTAACAGTTCAAGATCTGCTCCTCTCAAACATATTTGTTCTGAGATACGTTCTACTTCTTGCCCACAATATATTCTGTTATCTGTCCAAGTTAAAATGGATTTTCACTCTGGCTATTTGGAAACTGAACTCTGCAATCTGGGATTTCTAGGTACCTACAAAGGGGTAGAAAGCTGCTGAAGCAGAAATCGACTTGGATAGCTGAGTCTCTCTGTGGAATCAGGGAGGGGGTGGTGGTTTTTCTTAAGGTGACTTGGCAATGCAAAGCCATCATGCAGGCTCTTTATTTACTACATGAACTGTGGAGATCCCTGGGGGTGTGTGTGGTTCTTTTAAAGCTTTTCACATGGACCAGTAAAATGAACAAACGGCACAAAGAACTGCTATCCGTTTTAAGCTCTCTGAGTCATGAGCGGTATCAGTAATACAGGCTTCATTTTTTTTTTCTGCGGCTGGAAATTATGTCCCTTTTCAAGGCTATTATTTGACAATGATTGGTTTAGCTGTCTGGGTAGTATGGTTGTATGTGCTCTCTTTGAAACTAAACAAAATTAATTTGTGTATATGTTCACATTCTCCAAGCCAGGACCCTCCAGATCTGTTGGACCACAATGTCCAGCATCCCCCAGTCAGCATGGCTGGCTGCAGGATACTGGAAGTTGTACTGGAGCATATCTGGAGGGAAATATCCTGGGGAGCTTTGTTTAGGCATTCAGCTAACGGCCATCAGTTTGTCTGGAATGTACTTTAAGATCAACTAAATCTCTCTCTCTCTCTTTCTCTCCCACTTTTGAAAGATAACTCCAGGAGAAAAAACTGTGGAAGGTCCCTCAACCGTAATTTCTGGAGTACGCACAAGAAGCCATCAAAATGTCCGGAGCTTCTGTCAAGGTGGCTGTCCGGGTTAGACCCTTTAATTCCCGAGAGACCAGCAAAGAGTCCAAATGCATCATCCAAATGCAAGGCAACTCAACCAGTAAGTTGGGCATGGTGATCTTGTAATGAAGTGCTTTCCACACTGTGAAGCTCGATAAACTATAATTATCTAGATGATGTCATTGGCAATTCATTAAAGAAGCCCATTTTTATTTTTTTCATGAGTCTTGTGACATTTTTACATTTGTTTTGCCTTTTACTTCAGAAGGCAGTGTATTCCATCTATCTTGTTTGCTGATTTGTTGTCAGCTGCTGATGAGTTGAAACATGCAGTTTGGGTACTTCCTTACAGTCTGCAGCATTGTAAGCTGATTTCTGTGCCAGTTCCTCTTTGGAAGTGGCTGATGCCTTGGGAGGGGTGTTTCTTTGTGTGTGTGTTTCTGTCCTTGAGAACAAGACTGGCCAACCTGTGGCTCCTGGTCCCCTTCTTTGGCTCCTAGAATGCTTCCTACAGTTTGAAATGTCTTGGTGCTCCTCTTGTGACTCAACAGCTTATAGACTTTGTAGGATGGGGGTAGGCAAATCATTCCCCCACCCCCCCAGATAAAAATCTCAACATCTGAGGTCTTGTTAGTTGTCCTGCAAATGACAGCAAATCATCAATGAACAGCATGTGAGGGGGTCTTTCTTCCGGAATGATCTCCTATTTGTAGTCTGACAGAAGGAACTTAAGACACTTGAGTTCAGGTTTTCACTGGTGTGTAATTGCATTGTTCTGTGTTTTGTTCGTCTTCTATTTCTAACATTTTAATTTTTAATTTGGATTTTATATTGTATCTTTTGTTTTTCACATGTTAATCACTTATGGCCCCATGTAGTAGATGAGTTGTTTCAGTAAATACATAATTGTACTCTAATGCTTGATGCAGGCAGTCCAGAACTAGAATTTCCCAAAACTTGGCTTCAAGAGCTCCAGCAAGGAAGTCTGCCGTCCCTCTCAAGAATTTGTTCTATTCTTGACCTGTTCTGACTGTTAAGAAATATTTCCTCATCTTCATCTGAAATCTATCACAAACTTAAGCCACTAGATTTAGTGCTGCCATCTAAGCACTGAGCAAGTAGAGTCAAGGTAGCTGTTAGAGGGAAGGCGGCTTTCTTTAAAAAATGGAGATCTTGCCCAGATCAGGGAAGCAAGCCCTGTTGGGTCCAAACCTATTCTGGTTTGTCTGTATCCTTCTTAAAATGTGGTGCAGGTTTTCTATTTGGTCTGTTCACCATCCTTTTCTTCACACGTGATGCTGAGGCTGGGTCTGCTGATAGTGTAGCCTTGCTGTTTTCTTAACAGTAGTTTTCAAAGCATATGGTTTGCAAAGAAAACTCTGATGAGGACTGAGTTGAGGCCTCTTCAGCCAGGAAAGGCATCTTTTACATTTTTCTGTTGGATTCCTTTTTCTGGGAATATTCTGATCTGTAGCCTTTTGGTGAGAGTATCCGGACAGACAAAAGCAAATTGAAATGGCAGGTGGTTGAGTGTAAGTTGCTTGAATCATTAATATCTGTGGGAAAATAGCTTTAGAGATACTCTGGGGTCTTTGTTGTCTGTGGGTGGATGCGTCTAGTATGGTGTTAGTTGGGACATAAGCCAAGAATGCACAGAAAAGTGGATGTCATGAAAAGAAGTAAATGGAATCACATGGTAGAAAAGGAAATGGAGGGGGACGCTGCTTTTGTTTGGGACTATTTTCACACACTGATTTTCAGTTCATTATGGATTTTTTTTACAGCAGTAGTAACAACAATGCCTCCATTTCATGCCATTTTCCCTGAGATGAACTAATGAGGAAGGTATAAAATAATGCACTGAAAAAAGCAGTCTATAACTTATAACCTTGACCTGTTTTTATTGTATAAATATTGCCACTATATCTCCTATTCCAGTCTTTCCTCAGTTGATTTTGACCACTATGTGAAATGGGTTACAGGAGCCTTCCCTAAATGATGCCCTGCAGATATAGAAACATAGAAGCAGAGCCAGTGAGAAGGGGTCTTCCAGGCCATCTAGTCTGACCCCTGGCTCTGCCCGCTCTGCTCACGACATGCCCACCATGTGCATATCCAGCCTATCTTGGAACACCCTCACCAATGGGGCCTCAACCACCTCCCATTCCACACCCTCGGGGTCCTAACTGTCCGGAAGTGCTTCCTGGCATCTAGATGGTACCTGGGTTCCCTGAGCTTTGCTCCGTTGGAGCGCATCCTGCCTTCCTCTGTGTGTTGGACTTTAGCTTCTGTCTGTCCCTGCTGGCATGAATGCTCAGAGCTGTAATCCACCAGGTTAGGTGAGGCCTGATGTGCATCATCACTAGGCTGCAGAACAGGAGATGGTATCCCGGGAGTATCATCTGATTATTGGAAAATAGCAGGCAAGGAGTAGATGGATGGATTTCTTAGAATGAGTCCTGCTTTTAAGCATGTCAGGAAGTCCAGCATCTTGGGGTGGACCCGAGTGAATGGTTCCCATCTCTTCCTTGGATGGTTGCAGTTGTGATGTGTTAACAATCTAGTTGAACTCCTTTCCTTGAAGAGATGCAAGGCTGGAGCCCAACCCCAGTTGGCCACGCCACAAAAATCTCAATGGTTGAACAGGTCCTGTCTATTGGTTTGCATTGTTTGATTCACACAACTGTACTGAGATAAGCCAGTGCAGACAAGCAACTGTTTCCAGGTGAGTGTCAGCTTAACCAAATTCCCAATGTTTGTAAATTTCTCACGTAGAGAGAGAAATACAAACACTGTTTGAACAAAAAATCTTTCCTGCTTTTTCCAGGTAGTGGGGTAAGAAACGAAGTGCTGCAAAATCTAGAAACTCTTTCCCAACAAATAAGAGTCAGATTCAGCAGATGACTTGTTTGGCCTAGTAATAACATCTCGGCAATCCTGCGGCAGGTTGCATTGTCTTCCAGTGCATTGTTGTGGACATGCCACCACTTAGAAAAGCAGGAGGCTTTGGCTCTTGGCCAAGACAGGAAGTTGCCTCCTCTGACAAATATGCTTGGATTTAAGTAATTGGGGGCTGCCAAGGCCATGGTTTGCCTTTGTGCTGCCTGAAAGGGGGTGGTGCTGCTTTTTTATAAAGCCATTCTTAATATGCTATAGAAACTGCTTCTCTAAAGTAGCCAGCCTCTTTAATCCGCATATTTTCATGTCCAGTGACCATCAGAATCTGCGCAGGCGGTATATTTAAGAGCACGTGACTTTCGCCTTTATCATACTGGATTTCTTTTTTGCAGTAAAATCCCGCAGCCTTACTGAATCACATGTGCTGTGACTGCATTGTTGTGTTGGCAGTGAGGCTGAGCTGCCAGCATGGCGACCTGAGCTGACAGCAGATGTGACTCAGTGAAGGATGGGTTGCTGCTGGAATCGGGCCGGTTGCCTCCCAGTCCAGTCCGCTCCTGTCCACTTTAGAGGGGTTTGCTTCCTCTTTGGAAAGCAGTTTGGAAGAAGGTCCTGGGATAGCCACGCACGAAGGACAGCGTTCTAGTGATTCAACTTGAGGCTGTTCTGACATGCACCAGAACAACCTGAGCCAATTAGAAGGGAATGCTGCTCAGTCATATGACCGCAGCTGGAAAGCTCCTCACACGAGCAGTTGCTTCTTAAATTCATTTTAGTGTTTTCGGCCTGTTTCCCGGCTCACTGAGAAGTAACCCCGGTAGTTGAAGCAATTCTCCGTACCTCCCTCTCCCCTAATGCCTCCCCAGGACTTTGAGTGTGATTCCCTCCCGCAAAGGTCATCCAATTAAGCTTTCCGTTTGCACACTGGTCCCTTTTTGCCATACAGCAGCTGTTCTTTGTATTGCAGATATGCATTAATCACGGAAGGGATGGATGTGGACTCTTTATTATGACGCACAGTAGGCACAGGGGGGGAAATCTTAGTGATGCAATATATAAAACAGTGCAAACCTGTGGAGGCTTACTTGGAAGTAAGTTTAATGGGGTGCACGTCTGGATTTGTCTGCCTAGGATTGCAACCTTAAAATATATCTAATAAGTTGATCCTAAGTCATGAAAATACCCCAGAACTGGGGACTTCCAGAGCAGCCATTCAGCACTGAGCTCTTTTGTGTTCGTCCTTTTCCAAAAGCAGAATCCAGAAATGAATATGCAATTATACGAAGGTGGCGGTGGAGGAGGAGCTGCTGCTTCTGGAGGAGGCTGTCCTGGGGGAGCCTCTATATTTGACTCTTGTAAGAAGCGAGTTTTTAGTCTTAGTGAAGATGCATTTTACAGAAATATGATGTCTGCAGTTCGTTCTAAGTATGAAGTTGAGACTGGAAAATAAAGGAGAAGGAGAAATAACAGTAGGGTGCCATGCAGCAGTAGCCCTGTGGCCACATGAATGGGATGCCTCCTCCATTCAGCATAAATTCCTTCAAAAGTTGGGGGTTCCCTGCAGCAGTTATTGAAATATAGTAGCACATCCAGTCCATTCTGTTGTCAGGGAACCCCACTGCATTATAATTGCAGAAGTCTGCCATTGTTAAGATTTGAAAAAGTATAGTGAATTAACTTCTCAACTGTGGTAACATGCATAAATCACACAAGCGTTTAACACCTTCTTTAAAAATTGCAAACTGGTTTGGTTTCTTGAAATCCTGTAAAACCAAAATGAAATATATTCCTTTTTAACAGCAAAATTCCCTTTGTTTTAAGAAAAAAAAAAGATGGATTTTGATTTACTTTCCAGAGGGATCTCTTTGGATGCAGTGCAGGCTTTTCACTTGTGTTGGTTTTGAGGTTACTGGATCATTTTTAATTAAGCAATGAGATGGGGTGATCTATTCTCTCATTGCTTAAACAGTGAAATGACCCTTTCTGTCTGAAGCCGCAGATGTTGTGTGCAACAGAAGACAGTTTAGGAAGCTATGAAGACTAGAGTACATTGTGAGCTCTGGAACGGCTGTAGGGATTGGAATATCAGTTCTCTTTCTGTTCCCTGTTTGATTATTCATCTTCAAATAAGGACCGTACACTAGTTACGGAGCATGTTCTTTGCATGTAGAAAGTCTCTGATACCTCTAGCTAAAAAGAGCC